CTCCTTCCTGGTCTTCTCCGGGTCGGAAACGCCCCCAGCGCCGTCCGTGTGCCTTCTCCGGAGACACGGGGCAGCCGGCCAGCCAGCCCTGCAGGAGAGGCCCGGGGCCCTGCTGGCCAGCCCCCTGGAGGCCCCACCAGCCCCACCCCGGCCCCAGGGCAAGGGTAGGCCTCCGTCGTGCCCCCAAGGCCACCGCCATCCACAGGGTCACTGCAGGGCCTCTCCCAGCCGACCGGCCACTCTCCTATTCAGCTTGCTCGGAAGGGACAGGATGCCGCTCCCTGACCGGAGGCCTCCTGCACCCACCCCCACCCCCCCGGGCCAGGAGGGTGCACCTGCCGCCACCCACCCCGCACTCACTCAGCTCCGTCCCCCACAAGCAGCCTGTGTGCAACCCCACCCTGGGCTGTGACCCCAGTGGCACCTGGCCTTTCTCAGCAACAGGTGCTGGGACACCAGAGAGGTGGCCCTGCTGGAGAGGGAAGCGATGGCCAGCGCTGAGCCCGTGGCCCGGGGCTAGAGGGCCTGCTGGGAGGCTGCAGGGGCTGGGAGGCTGTGGGGGCTGCCCAGAAGACCTTGCGCACAAGCACCGCCCACTCCCCTTCCTGCTCCAGGGTCTCCCTGTGCTTCTGCGAGCGTCCCCGGGTTGGGCGGGTGCTGTGGGGCAGCGCGTCCAGGCGGGGACCCCAACCCCAGGCGGGTCCCTGGGAAGGGCGAGCCGGCAGGCCCTCAGCGGGGGTGTGGGCCTGTCCACAGGCCTCACTCTTTCTCCGTGTCTCCGAGTCCATGGTGCATGTTCTACTGAGTAGATAAATAATGATAATAAAACCGGTGTTTTGAGGGAAGTGGCCTCTGCCAGGTGCGAGCAGCTGGCTTCCCTGGGTCTGCCACACCCAGCCCTCCGGTCCCGGCCTTGTCCACCCCCTCCCCCAGGAACACCCAGAGCTCTCAGCGGATACGGGGCGTCCAAGGCAGTTCCTGCCCAGGGGACGGGCCTGCCAGCAGCCTGCTTGCCCAGCACCTGGCCCCATCGCCTTCTCTGCTGTGGTCCTGGCCCTGCCCGGCCCGGCCCTGGCAGGGGAACAGGGCCGGCTTGTTCTGCCTCCTTCCTGGACCCCTGGGCTCCGGGCCCAGGGCCCCTGGGGAAGGCGCGCCAGAGGGAGGACGGAGGCCAAGTGCTGGTGGGCAGGCCGGAGAGGCCCCTGCACACACCTGAGAGGGGGACTCGCACTTCAAAGGCAGGAAGGAAGCTCGGTCTGCAGGAGCCACAGCGGGAGCCACAGCAGGAGCCGGGCCAGCCGTGGGGGAGGGGAGGGGGCCACAGGAAAGGCAGGGCAGGCAGGGCGGGCAGGGCGGGCAGGGCCCGGCCCAGCAGGTGGCCCACGGCGCTGCCTGCAGCGGAAGCCCAGCCCCGGAGCCGCCCCCAACCCCAGCCAACCGGTCGGGTCGGGTCGGTGGGCGACAAGCCCGGCCATGGCTTTGCCTCCGCAGCCCACAGCCCTCCCCTCTCGCTGGGTCCGTGGGGCGCAGGTCTCGGAGGGATCCGGAGGCAGGGGGCCTGGGAGGCCAGTCCCCGGGGGAGAACGACGCTCCCTCTGGGCACCTGTGAGGGACCCAGACTTCCTTGTCGGGGCTGCAGTGCGCTCCCACGTTAGTGACCCCACCAAAAGTGGGTGTCTTTGGTGGCCAGTGTGCACTCTTCCCAGCGCAGACGCACCGGCAGACGGGGGCTGCGGACGGGGGCTGCGGACGGGGGCTGCGGACGGGGGCTGAGGACGGGGGCTGCGGATGGGGCCGGCAGGCTTTTCCAGCAGCGGGCCAGGGAGTGGGCACCTTTGGCCTGCGGCCAGGAGGGCTCCAACACGCTGCTCGTCTCAAGCCCCACGGACAGCATGTGAACAAGCGGGTGTGGCCTCGCCAACCAGCCTGGATTTACCACCCAGGGCGCGGCACAGGTCGGCCACAGTCTGGCCCATGAGCTAGGAATGCTGTCTAAATTCTTTTTTTTTTAAGATTTTATTTATTTATTTTTTAGAGAGGGAAGGGAGGGAGAAAGAGAGAGAGCGAGAAACATCCATGTGCGGTTGCTGGGGGCCGTGGCCTGCAACCCAGGCATGTGCCCTGACTGGGAATCGAACCTGCGACACTTTGGTCCGCAGCCCGCGCTCCATCCACTGAGCCACGCCAGCCGGGGCGGAATGCTGCCTAAATTCTTACAGTGCCGTGAAAGCAAAAGCACGAAGAAGGGAAAGGAATGTGCGACAGACAGCACATGTGGCCCAGGGGCCGGAGGACGTCACTGTCTGGCCCTCAGGGCAGAGCCCGCTGACCGGACCGGACCATTCACCACCACCCACGGTCAGCGAAAATCTGGCGTGTCCAGTCCCAGAGAGCAACCTCACGGCCAGGGCGGCCTTCCCACAAGCTCCCCGAGCTGGGGCTGGGGCTGGAGGGCTGCCGCCACCCAGGGACCCCCGTGACCGGACAGCCCACGAAACCAGCGGCTTTGCTGGCGCTGGAGTGGGCCAAGAGGCTCCCGTGTGTCACAGAAACCGGGGTGACTCCTGCCACCCGAGCCGTTTGCACGAGGCCTCCGACGCTGCGCGTCAGCCCACCCCAAACGGAGCCTCGGGCCAGCGAGCCGCCAGCCCCGCAGCTCACGGCAGCTTCTACAAGCCCTCCCCGTGCGCCCCAGCAGAACCCCAGCTCTAAACAGGGCCTGGCTGTGACCAGAAGCACCTCCAGAGTCCACAGTTTCTGCAGGAGCACCTGGGCGGGGCCTCGCAGTGCCCTCTCACCTCTGAACCCACGGCGCCAATGGCTTCCCAGCGTGGCAGAGCCCCGTTCCAGCCCCACTCGCACGGTGTGGGCTCGGTTCCTGTGCATCCGCACGCTCGGGGGCTCCTGCGTTTCCGACAGCAGCCGCCCCAGTGGGCGGGCGGCGGCCTCGCGCTGTGACTCTGACGGGTGTCTCCCCGATGGTCCCTGCCCACTGGCCGCTCGGGTCTCTTCTTTGGGGAAATGTCTGTCTCAGGTCCTCGGCCCATTTTCGAATCAGGTTGCTTGGGCTTTCTGGTTGCGCTGGAGGAGTTTTCCGGTGCACCCTGGATGTTAACCCCTTATTAGACACGTGACTCGCCAGTGTCTTCTCCCCCTGGGGGTTGCTGTAACTTCCTCGGATGCACAGAATGCTGTCAGTTTTGACGAACTGCAGTGGGTGTTTTCCTCTGTTTCCTGTGCCTCTGCTGTCACACGGAATCACCGCCAAGGCCCGCGCTGCGAGGCGTCCGCGCTGTGTTTCCGTGCGAGTCTCTGTTCTGTGCCCTTGCACCGAGGTCTGTGACCCCTTCGCGTCCCTCTCTGCACCTGGCGTCGGGCCGGGCCCCACTCCCTGGCTTTGCCCACGCAGCGCCGTTTCCCCAGCGCCACCCGTCGCCAGCCGCGTGCCCACGCGTGCGAGGCCCGGTCCCCGCCGTCTCTGCCTGGGTGCGGCGCCGCCCTGTTCGGGCCCCTGCCACTCTGTGGTGAGCTCTGAAGTCAGGAGTGTCAGTCCCCCAGCCCTGCTCTTTTTCAAAGCTCTTTCGGCTGCACTCCCGATGAGGTCTCAGGCTTGCGCTTTGTTTCTGGGGACACAGCCGCTTTCTCCTGTGTCGGGCCGTGCCGGTGCCCAGCGACCCTCTCATCTCATCTCTGCCGGCTCCTGCTGGCGGCGTCCCACCCCCTCGCGTGCCTGCTGCCTCTGACTGTGTCGTGGGCTCCGCGTGCGAAGCATCAGCCGCTGCCATCTGCCTCCAGAGCTGGCCTCCCTCCGCTTCTGCGCGGGGCTGAGAGGGGGCGCCCAGCGGGAGCTGCCGCAACCCAAGGCCCGGGCCTGACGGAGGGCGGAGAGGAAGTCCACGTGGAACTGCCCCCCCACCGAGTGCTCCCCCAAACTGCAGGGGGCGACCCTGGCAGCCCCGGCCGTGGGGGTGGTTTCCTGGGCTCCCGCCTCAGGCCAGCTCTGAGCTGCGACGGCCGCCCCGTCTCCTGTCGTGAGGCCACGCAGATCCCTTGGGGAAAGGGCTCCGGGTGCCAGGGCTGCTCCAGTCCCCTCGTCCTCCACACAGAACCGAGGCTCCCTCCCCGGCTCGTTTGCTCCATGGCGCCCTTAGAAGACAGGTGTATTGATCGGCCTGGTTTGCTGGTCTGGGTACCAGCCTGCCCTCGCCTGAGGGGGAGCCCTGAAGGTCTTTTCTACAAGCCCGGTTCTGACCCCAGCTTCCTGAAGCGCCTCAGGTCAGCCTAGAGCCGGCTCTCTGATCGCTGACTCAGTGCACCTGCCCAGCACCCGCGAGGCCAGCGCCAGTGTCAGCCCATCTCGGAGCTGAAAACATGGGGCTCAGCGAGCCAGGGCTGCCCCTCGTGACGGCACAGCCAGTGGGTGCAGGGCTGGGGCTGGACTCCGCCATGTCCAGCTGGAAAGCCACTGCTCCTCCCCCTCCGCTCGGGAGCCTCTGGGGCTCCCACTGCCCATGCACTGAGCACAGAGGCCCAGCTGGTCCTCCAGACCCCTGTAGCTGCCCCTGGTGAGGCTGGCCCCAAGAAGCCCTGCCTCTGCTCCATGGGCACTCCTCCCCTCACCCCACCCTCCAGACCCTATGAGGCCGGGGCCCTACCCTGGCCTCCCGAGGCCCCCGGCTGGAATGGGACCCAGGAGTGGGGCTGCTAAGCAGGCCTGAGCACCCCACCTGCCCAAGACCGGAGCCCACACTGGGCTCCCTGACCTTGGAGCAGCAGCATGGGGCTGGGTGCCCTGCAGGGCACAGGGGACACAGCTTGCCTAGGGGGAGACAGAGCAGGCTGAGGGGTCCCATGCCTGGAACCGGTGACTGTCAGGCCATCTTGGGATGCCCTGGCCAAGGCCAGCTCACCCTACAGGGGCCGGGTGGCAGAGGGTGGGCCATGGGCCCACCGGCTGCCTGCCGCCCTCACCAGGGCCCCTCCGGCTTCCCACCCGACAGGTGAACAACAATGGGATCATCTCCTTCCTGAAGGAGGTCTCCCAGTTCACCCCGGTGGCCTTCCCCATCGCCAAGGACCGCTGCGTGGTGGCTGCCTTCTGGGCGGATGTGGACAACCGGCGTGCAGGGGACGTGTACTACCGGGAAGCCACCGACCTGGCCACGCTGCGCAGAGCCACGGAGGACATCAAACGCTACTTCCCCGAGCTGCCAGACTTCTCCGCCACCTGGGTGTTCATCGCCACCTGGTACCGCGTGACCTTCTTTGGGGGCAGCTCCTCCTCCCCCGTGAGTTTCTGTCCTGGGGAGGGAGGAGGTGCCGCCGCGCCCTGGTCTCCCTCCTGGGCCGACCCCCAACCTGCTGAGGAGGGGCGGCGTGGCTGCCGGCCCATAGCCAAGAGGGAAAGCGGGATTTGGGCGCAGGAGTGACTCGTCGAGGTCCCAGAGCCTGGCTGGGAAAGGGTGAGGGGCCCTCTCGGTGCCCAGGAAAACCCCCAATGCTCGGGGAAAAGCAGGGACATGTTAGCAGGCTCCCCACTGGGAGTGCTGCAGTCCTCAGAGGGTCAGAGGGTCAGGGTCAGGCAGGAAGCGACCACGTCCTCCATGCCAGTCCTTGACGGTGCCGAACAGAACAAACTCGAGCTCAGGGGTAACTGAGCACTTTGCCCGGCACAGTCAGTGCTGGCGGGCGGCCCCCCGGGGTGGGAAACCCCAGTGAGCACAGCGCTGCCCTGGGGCCGGCCAGCCATCCGGTCGGGGACGGGGACGGCGAGTGCGGGGATGGTGGACGGGGCGGGACCCTGTCAGGCCTCCTCCTTGGCAGGTCAACACGTTCCAGACGGTGCTCATCACAGACGGCAAGTTCTCTTTCACCATCTTCAACTACGAGTCCGTCACGTGGACCACAGGCACGCACGCCAGCAGCGGAGGTGATGCCACTGGCCTGGGGGGCATCGCGGCCCAGGTAGGGCCCCGCTCCCACTGCCAGCACCGTCACGAGCTGACGAGACAGGCAGCCCCCCAACACACAGCCACTCTGCGTGGAGGCCTCTCTCAGCCCAGAACCCCCGACACACCCTCGGGCTGAAGGCGCCTGTGTCCTGAGCACACTGCCGGGCCCTGCAGGGCCAGCTGCAGCAGGGACAGAGGGTCCTGGGATCTCTATGCGCCGACTGCCCACAGGCAATCCCGGGTGTGGAAGGTGTGGTCAGGTGCCACTGCCCAGAGATGGCCAGTCCTCTTTGTGGCTGTGTACCCCCATCCACTTCCCCTAGGGGAGGCCCAGAGCCCTGGCAGAGTCACTGGAGAGGGGCTTGGGGTGCCAGGCCCAACCACGCCCTTGGCTCAGGGAGCTGTCCCTTGCTGTCAGGACTCACTGGGAGGCTGCTGATCCTTGCAGGGCGGGAGGGCACCCATAAGCCTTAGAGCTCTCCAGTTTCCAAGGCTGTCCCCCCCATGGGCTCTTAGACCCTGGGAACCTGGGCGGGGGGAGGTGGGTGTCAGGAACTTTCGGAAGACCTGAGGACCCGCCCGCACCTGCCCCTACTCTCAACAACCCCCAGGCCGGCTTCAACGCGGGAGATGGGCGGCGCTACTTCAGCATCCCCGGCTCGCGCACCGCCGATATGGTCGACGTGGAGACCAGCACCAACGTGGGCGTGCCCGGGCGCTGGGCGTTCAGAATCGATGATGCCCAGGTGCGCGTGGGGGGCTGCGCCCATGCAAGTAAGAGCACCGAGCGCGCGGCTCGGGCGCCGGGGGCGTGGCCTCGGGGAGGGGGTGGGGCAATAGGGGGCGGGAAGGGGACTGTCGCTGGTCCTGCCCACCGCGTCTGCAGTCCTGGTTGGCTGGCCCCCGAACCTCAGCCTTCTCCTGGTGGGGAGCGGAGGACCTTAGCGTCACTGCTCGAGGTGGGAGGGGATACCCGCTGGAGGGCACGATTTGCTGTGCAGAGGAGAAAAAATCCAGCCTCCTTCCTGGGCCGGGCTGGGCACGGGGGCGCCTGGGTCCCCAGGACCACCCCAGGGGGCAGGTGTTCTGTTCACCCCATTTCGCCTTTCCTGCTGGAACTCGCAGCTGGTTTGACAACCTGGACATCCATCTACCCAACAGGAAGGAGACACCCAGGGGTCCCTGACACCCAGGGGCCTTCTGGCCCAGAACACACAGCAGAGGGGGTAGGGTCCACCCCAGGTTGAGAGTGGGACCGGAGGAGGACAGTTGGACTGGCTGCAGAAGGGTGTGTGGCCCTGGGCGAGTCACAATGCCCCTGAAACTTTACTACTTACAAATAGAGGGAGGGGTGTCAAGCGGCTGACCCAGACACTGCGCCCACAGGGGCTGATCACAAGGCCTGCCAGGCCTGGTGAGGCCAGTTCGGGACCTGCCCTGCAGACTCACCTCCATCCCCATGGGGACCCACGCCACCGGGAAGGGCCGCTTCCCCAAACATCACATCCGCGAGAGACCCACGGGGGGCCAGGGAGGGTGTGCGCACGGGAGGGACAGATACCGCTTGCATGTTTGGGGCAAGAAGATTCACAGAGGACTGGGGATGGTGCCCCCTGAGAGAGACCTGGGAGCCCGAGCCCTCCAACCCACTGGGGCACTGAGTGGACCCCAGTCCTGAGTTTGAGCTTAGCCGGGGTAAGGGCACTGGGAGCCCAGGAGCCAATGATTTTATTCCTTCCTCCAAGGGTCAAGCCCTCCTGCACCCCAGGCCGGGGCTCTGAGCAGCGAAGGTTCAGGGCATGGGGATACCATTGTAGCAGGTGCTTCTTTTGGTGGGCCACAGAGAGCTCTGGCTGTCACCTGCCAGTGGCCAGGGGCTTGGGTTGTGGTTGAGGGGTAAGGTGTGGGTGCAGGTGTGGACTGGTGTGAGTGGGTGTCAGTACAGGTGGGGAAAGGTGGGTGAACAGGTGTGGGTGCAGGTGTGGCCATGTCTATGCTCCCCTGCAGAAGCTGCAGGCTGTGACCCTGAGGAGTGGGGTCCTCAGAAGAGGGGCTACAGTCTTTCGGAGACCCCTCTTCCATGTAGAGGTGCCTCCCCCACCTTCTGAGGCCTCTAGAGGGAGCGGGGGGAGCAGGCAGGCTGGTCCCTCCACACCAGCTGCAGAGAGGCTCTTGGGAGCTCGGTGCTCGGTGGGGGGCGAGGTCCCGAGGGCCAGCCCCCTTGCGTCCCCACCACCCCACTGCAAGCCCAGGAGATGCAGCCGGGGAGGGTCAGTCCTGAGGTTACACACGTCAGCTTTACTGGGAAGGGAGGGCTGTGTGTTCACCCCCAGAACCCTGGCTCCTGAGCAAAGCTTGTCCAGGCACAGGCAGCCGCCAGAGACAGGGTAGCCAAACCATGTGGACTGAGAGACAGTACGGCTCAGTGATGGCAAGGTGCGGTCCCACAGCCTTGATGGCACTCTGGGCTGCAGGGTCCTCCCCAGAGTGTCCACCCCTCAATGCCATGCCCACTCTCCCTGGGGCCCTCCTAGTAACTGACCTTGGGACGCTGCCCATAACCTGCCACTCTGTGCTGACCAACCACAGACTTCAGCAGCCTTCCTCCTCTGGAGGGCCCTGCGGGCTGCCTGTCCTAGAGGGCCAGGTGTGCGGGTCCACTGGCCCTGGGGGACCCCAGGAGCTACCCCACCCTGCCAGCTGGGAGACACCACCTTCCACAGCTCTGACCACAGGCCTGGTTGTGCACACAGGGAAGGCGTGTGTGGGACTATCTGATTTCTGTGACTGAGGCAACACTGGGACTACACTGCAAGCCCAGAGGGTCTGAGGGCTCCCCACAGCCTGGGGTTTCCACACGGGGACCCCCCCGCCTTGTCCACAAGGTGCGCTCATGTCTCCCTGTGTTGCTGGGAGCCCCTCGGACAAGTTTGGAAGCTGACAGATGAATGGGATAAGAAGCTGCTGTGGGTGCAAGGGACTCTCGAGAAGCCTGCCTTCCCTGGGCAGCCAGAGTCTCAGGAACCGAGTCACACGCCCGTGGGAAATGCAGACGGGGGGCAGGGGACAGTGTGGACCCCTGCGCAGCCCTGAAAGCCAAACCCTGGACACTCGACTGCCGGGGGGCAGCACAGCCATTCCTTGAGATGGCACCTTTGGGTCAGGGAGGGCAGAGGGAGGTAACATCTCCACTCCTCCTGCGTCCGCAGCCTCCGTGTGTCTGGCCCTGCGCCCGTGCCTCAACGGCGGCAAGTGCATTGACGACTGTGTCACCGGCAACCCCTCCTACACCTGCTCCTGCCTCTCGGGCTTCACGGGGAAGAGGTGCCAGCTGGGTGAGTTCACCGCCCACACCGCCCACTGGGAGGCAGTGGGCTCTGGGCAGGGGTGTCGAACTCGTTGTCACCGGGGGCCTCATCAGCCTTGCGGTTGCCTTCAAAGGGTCGAATGTGGTTTTAGGGCTGTACGTAACTGCTCCTCAACAGTTAGGTGAGAGCTTGGTGCTGCCACCGGGTAGAAACAAGGTGCCAGGCTAGATAAAACAAGGTGGAGGGTCGGATTCGGCCCGTGGGCCTTGTGTTTGCCGCCTGTGCTCTAGAGCAACCCTGGAGGCAAAGCCACTGCCCCCAAGAGCCCAAGGTCAAGGGTCTCTGTCCCTATGGCATGGGATGATGACATACATGGGGCACCGCCAGGGGCGTCAAACCCGGTGGGTTCCTGACGACAAGCGTGGGAGGTGGGTGCTGCAGCAGCCCCCCGAGCCCACCGCCCCAGGTGCCAGCAGACCCTCCCGACCTGCTTCCTCCACTGAGGCCCCAGCCGCCTGCTTTTCAGACGTGAATGAGTGTGCTTCCCAGCCGTGTCAGAACGGCGGCACCTGCACGCACGGCGTCAACAGCTTCAGCTGCCAGTGCCCGGCTGGCTTCGGGGGACCCACCTGTGAGACAGGTACGAGGAAACCTCCGGGCCCCCAGGTTGCCCTGGCTGTGGGATGGCCAGGTAGTCCTGCCCGGCCAGAGGGCAGTGGGCAGCCTGGGGGGAGAGCGGGGTCAGCAGGCCGCAGAGGGCTTGGCGCAGCACCTGGGCCACCCAGAGCGGCCGAGGGCCCTGGCACTCGCACCAGGGAACGGCCTTGGAACAGGCCGGTGCCGTGCTCCAGATGGGTCCCTCTCACCCCGGGACCAGCTGGAAGGGAGCGTGGGGGCTCCGAGGTCAAACAGGCAGCTGTGTGTGGAAAGCAGCACCATCTGCCCCCACCTCCTTCCTGCCTGCACCCTGGCACCCTGAGCCCCGGAGGCTCCGGCAGGAAGGAAGGCTGTTTCTCTCCAGCCCTGGGGCTCTCACAGCTGGGCCATGGGCTGGGGTCCTTCTTGAGATGCCCCTTGCCTCGCATGGTCCAAGGCCTCTCTGCTGCCCACAGGCCTCGGCCACCAAAACACCCGCACACCTGGGGGCCGGGCCCCCAGCCCCTCCTCCCTCCCCGGGGCCCCCACAACACAGGGAGGGCTGCATGTCCATCCGCTCGTTGGGGATCCATCTGGTCACTGTCTTGCGTTGTTTGGGGAACCAGCTGTCAGCGGGACACCGAAGGCAGCGGTGTCCCCACCGCGGCACTCTGCTGTCAGTGGCCAGGAGGGAGCCAGGAAGCCGGGGTTCCCGGTGAGAGGCAGCTGGGAGGGCGGACAGAGGCGCGCTGCACCCCTCACTCCCACTCGGACTGGGGTCCAGTGCCTTCGCCGGCCGGCCCTGCAGCAGCGTCACCTCCCCCACCCCCGCCACCCCGGGACCATTCAGGCCCCTCCTGCTCCGCTGGGCGCCGCTGCTCCTCGAGGCTCCGCCACGGGCTGAGTCCCCACCAGCTAGGAAGGCTCTCAGCCAGCGCCGGAGCCCCGCGCTGACGCTGCTCTCGTCGCAGTCGGCCCGGCGACCCCCGCCGCTGAAAAACAAACCGGTTCAGACGAGCTTTCAGCGGCCTTGGGTCCGGACTGCCCCGGGCAGCGTCCCCGCCGCCTGTCGGGGCCCAGGGGCCACAGCCGCCAGGATGCCAACGGCCTTCCACCCTCCGCCCCTTAGCACAGTCTCCGTGCGATGCCAGAGCGTGCGCGAACGGCGGCCAGTGCCACCTGGTCAGCGGCTCCGCGGTGTGCGCGTGCCCGGCGGGCTACACGGGCGACGACTGCGAGACTAGTGAGCAGCCAGGGCCCCGGGAGGCGGGGAGGGGCGGGGCTTCCGGGCGGGGGCGCGGGATGGGGCGGGGAGGGGCGGGGACTTGGGTGGGGCAGGGAGCGGACAGGGGCGGGGCTCGTGGAGGGGAGGGGAGGTGCTCTCTCCATTCCCGGGAAAGGGCGTGGAGGGAGGGGAGAGGGGCGGGGCTTGTGGGAGGGGCGGGGCCGGTGGGCGGGGCGTGGAGGAGCCGGCAGGAGCTCCTCCCCGCCGAGCCCAGCTCGCGCCTCCACGCCCGCAGACCTGGACGAGTGCGCCTCAGGGCCGTGCCTGAACGGAGGCTCGTGCGTGGATCTCGTGGGGAACTTCACCTGCCTGTGCGCAGAGCCCTTCGAGGGACCACGCTGCGAGGCAGGTAATGGCCTCGGGCTCCCCACAGGTGACAACGCTTTCGGGTCGCCGCCCTCTGTCCCTCGCTGCGCGGCTCGGCCCCAGCCTGGCCCCTGAGCCGCGGACGGCCACCCCGTGCTGAGTGAGGCCGAGCGCGGGCCTGCCCTCCCGGGAAGCGGAACGGCGGTGGCCACTTGGCGGTCCCTGCTCCCGCGGGAGAGGGCTGACCGTCACACCCTCCCTTCGGACCCCAGACCCCGGGCCAGGCAGGGGACCAGCGCGGGAGCCCGTTACTGCGCGTGACAGATCTGCTCGTTCCCGCCCTGCCCCGCGTTGCCTTAAATGCTGGTGAGGACGCGGATCTACTGAAAGACCCACGGGACGCCGCGGCCCACAGAGTAAACCCGGGGCTCGCGCCCTGACACTGTGCGCGCGTGGCTCCGGCGCAGCTGGGCCGGCTGCGCCCCGGGAGGGCTCGTGCGTGACGCACGAGCAGGTTTACCGCGAGTCTAACCACCTGCGGAGGGCTCGTGCCACTGACGCGCAAGTAAGGCGCGGCCGGGCCGCTGGGGGCGCTGTGCCCCCCGCCGGGCGCTGTGTCCTCGGAAGAGGGCAAGGCTGGCGGCGCAGGGCGGGCAGGGTGGCGCGCTGTGCTGTGTGGTCACCCGAAATCACGGCACCTGTCCCCGTTCTCCTTGCCCAGGTTTGTTTATCTCCCAGAGAGAGGGAAAGGGAGGGGGAAGGTCCATGTGCGAGAGAAGCCTTGATCAGTTGCCTCTCGTGCGCCCCCACCCTGGGACCCGGCCCACAACTCAGGCCTGTGCCCTGACCGCAGTAGAACTGGCGACCGTACCCAGATTTTTATCTCAATACCAGTGTGTTTAACTAAACTCTAGTCAGAAAACAGTTAAGTGGTTTCGAACGATTTTGCAAAGAAACCACGTTTTGTCCAGAAGAAGAAAGCAAATGAAAGCAAACGGGAAGAAATAACAGAACTGACATTCTACCCCTGGCATCTGCTCAGTAGCCACATTACAAGGTGCAAAGCTTGACATTCTAATCAGATCCAACAAGAAATTGGCCAAAACTTGGAGATTACTGAAAAGAGAGAGTATCTAGCCTCCTGCTCCTGCCAAGAAGGATTAGCTGTGCTGAGAATTTCCCTTTCACCACTAAGAGCTAGAAAATCAGACAAAATATGCGAAACAACGTCTCTCAGCCGCTGGACAATGGACTGCACAGGACTGTTGCCCCCAAGAAGCAGGAATGAGCTGAGTGGGCCCTAGAGTTGCCTAATTCTGACTGGGGGCAGTTTCCAGCCCGCTGTGACCTGAAGGGTCCAGACTCCAGCAGTCCTGGGTCTCCGAGTCGAGAAGACAGAGACTCGAGTTTGCTGGCTGGAATCTGTGACCAGAATATCGGCGAGAACAGAGCTGCTAGAGGTGGGGTGAGATTGAGCCCTAAAGCTCTGCAGACAGACCCCTTGAGCCTTTGCTCAGTGCAGTCCAAGTGGGTGAAGTCGGCACAGCTGGGAGCTGAAAGTCAAGCAACCCCTAGCCCTTAGCAGCCAAAGCGGAGGGAGCTCCTCACACCCAGGGCGGGCCAACACTGTGTGGGGTCTTCAGTGCAGCATCGCCATCATAGGGGGGACAGATGATTGCTGAGCTAAAGGAGAATCTGACCTGCCCCAGCAATCCAAAAGAAAGTTTGAAAGGATCGAACTGATCGCAAGTAATTTAGCCACATGCCAGAATAAAATCCTGCACTCTTCAAAGGAATAAAACAGAACCCAGAACCTTGAAATATACAATCAAAATTTATCAGGTTTACAGAGACTTAATAAAATATGGCCCACAACCAGGAGAAAAGTGGATCAATAGAAACAGATGCCAGAAATGACTGAATCAGCGAAGACGAATATTTAATCACCTATGATGAATTGTTCTATGTACCCAAGAGTGCTGCAGGAGGAAGACACAGGAGAAGTAGGAGGTAAAAGAGAAACTTGTAGAGATGAAAAATATAATATCTGAATTTTAAAACCACACTGGACTGTGTTGACAGCAGACTAGACTCTGCAGAAAGAGACATCAGTGAATATGAAGGCAGAAGTGGAAACAAGTCGACACGCAGCACAGAGTGGGACTGAAAGCCAGCTCTTCCGTGACGTGGACATGCATGGAGCCCCAGGTGGAGGGAAGTGCTGGGTGCCCAGCAAGTACATGAGGAAGCATTTGCTACACTTGATGAAAACTAAAACATATCCAAGAAAAGCATGAAGAAAACCACATGAAGCCACATCACAGTGAACTTGCTGAAAATTTCAAAAGCAGCCAGAGGAAAAATACAGAACCCATATGGAGAAACGGGGTGGCGGCAGCCAACCTATCCAAGGCCAAAGACGGTGGGGCAGCGCCCCTAACACACGGAAAGGAAAACACAGTCAAACTGCTTTCAGAAATGAAGGTGAAATGAAGACTTTTAGACAGAAGAGAACTGAGGGAATTCATCACCTTCATATCTGCAGTACAAGAGATGTTAAAGGGAACTCTTTAGACAGAAGAAAATGGTACCAGATGAAAATCTGGATCCTCATCAAGGAAAGAAGAATTCTAGAAATAACTTTTTGGTTATCTTTTAATCTCTTTAAATGTAATTTTAAAACAAAATAATGATACATTTTGGAATGTATAATATAACCAGAAATAAGTTATAGGATACCAATAGCTTGAAGCAGAGTATGCCAGCTTTTTCTGCAAAGAGCTGGATGTTAATATTTTTGGCTTTCTGGCCATGTGGTCACAGCCACTCAGCACTGCCAGTATACCACCCAGCAGCCAGTGTGTAAACAGAGGGGCACAGCAGAGTCCAAAGAGACTTTATGGTCAAAATCAGCATCAGGCAAGATTTGGTCTACGGGCCACCATGTACCAGCCTCTGGGCAAAGGCAGTATAACATTGCCAGGTCCTCCATTATGTATGGGGGGTGTCTGTGACCCCGAAGAGAGGAAACAGGGACGTCTTGGGGGTGACAGAATGTGCTGATCCTGACCATGGCGGGGGTCACATAAATCTACACATGAGTTAAAATTCATGGAAGTGTACTGCGAACAAAAGCCAATTTTACTATGTATTAATTTAACAGATAAATTCTGAAACATGAAGAAATGAGCATCGAAGAAACGAAGAGGGAAGCTGGCTTGGCTTCCCTGGAACAAGTACTGCGTACTGCGGGGGACGAAGAGAGACCTTTCCTAAAGACAAAGGGAGAAATTCACCAAGAGGCTGCAATGATTCTAAATACACTATTGATACGAATCAGGACACACGGGGCGAAAGCCAACAGAGGCGCAGGAGAAACAGACGCTTGTCGGTGGAGAGTTCACGGTGGGCACACGTGGACAGCAGTGGGCAGGGGCAGGCCCGCCCGGCCCTGTCGGCCAGTCTGGTCGGGCGGGCACGCACATGCTGGTTCTCTTCAGGGCCCAGGGAGCTCTCACCGTGACGGGCCATCCTGCCACCATGAAATAAGGCTCAATAAGTTGAAAAAGATTGTGTTACCTGACCATAGCGAAATTAAACTAGAAACCAGTGACTGAAAGGCACATAGAGAATCCCGGTATTTTACTAACAGACATGCTCAACCAGAAGCATCTGGAGACCTCCAGCCTTGCTGGGCCCTTCTCACCCTTGCTTCTCATTCTGCTCCCAAGAGGGGCTCATGGAGGAGGGGCAGCTGGAAGGCAGCTTCCAGGAAACAGGCCTCAGGCCCAAACTCCACTTGGCACCGAGAACAGAGGCTAAACTGCTGACATGTGCTATTGCTCTCCTAACCACTGTCTTTCCTACAGGAAGCCCCCTACTTCCCGACACCTGCCTCTCGGCCCCTTGCCAGAATGGGGGAACCTGTGTGGACGCGGACCAGGGCCATGTGTGCGAGTGCCCCGGAGGCTTCATGGGCCCCGACTGCAGGGACAGTGCGTGTGGCTAGGCTGCGGGGCTGCGGGGCTGCGGGGCTTCAGTCGGGCTAGGGCTTCCCTGGGTGTGTGTGCAAACACTGTGACAGAGGGTGTGTACGGGGGTGGGGGGGCGGTGCACAGCAGCTCTCACAGGAAGGTCACCAGGAGCAGGGGAGGGCCCCAGCACCCCTCCAGCACCCGCCCTCCAGCACCCCTACACTGGAGGCTCCTCCCTCTCTCTGTGGCAGGAACCCCTGACAACTGTGAGTGCCGCAACGGTGGCAGATGCCCAGGGGCCAACACCACCCACTGCGAATGCCCCACAGGCTTCTTTGGGGACTTCTGTGAATTTGGTAGGTGCTCAGAGCTGGGGCAGGGGACACCTCGCCTGTCCCTGGCTGTCCTCCAGACCCTGGCTTGGGCCTGGACCAGGACCCACAGGCGCAGTCCTCGACCAGTGGTTCTGTGACCCCCACCCCCCCACAGGAGGGAGCTGGCAACAAAACGGCCTCAACCTGGTCTCCCTGGTGGGGTCACTGGGTCTTGCACAGTCCCACCCTTGTCAAGGACACAAGGTCCCAGGAAAACCTGAGACAGGGCTTCATCTTTCCTCCGCAGAAGTCACAGCCACACCCTGCAACATGAACTCCCAGTGCCCTGACGGCTACTGCATGGAGTATGGTGGGAGCTACCTGTGCGTCTGCCACACCGACCACAACATCAGCCACTGTGAGAGGGGTGGGGGCAGGGACGAACCTGTGGGCTGGGGAGCCACCCAGAAACCTGGGGGTTGGTGTTGGGAGGAAAGCGACGGGTTCTCACTGGGCACCACAGAACCTGCAGCAGGTGTCCTCCCTCCCAGGCCTCTGTTACATGGCCTGGCCTCTGCCCACCTTCCCTGCAGCAGGCTGGCCATGGGAAGGACACCTGGTGGCCATGCAGCGTCCTCCTGAGCCCCTAGCTTAGCTGTGAGCATAGGTAATGCATGCGTAATGCACGTGGCTAACCCACGTGCCGCTAGGGACCCATCAGTGCGCAGCTACCCACACAGTGTGTAATGACGTGAGATGAGGGTGTCGGTGAACCACAGCCCCACCCCAGCTCCAAGAAGAGGGAGGCTGAATTTTGGAATAATTAGGAATAAAGGGAATTCTGTGGAGGGGTCTTAGAGCCCACCAGGAGGAATCTGGACCCAGCAGTGTATTTTAGGTGGCGAAGGTTCCAGGTAGGGCGTTGGGGTGGCCTTCCCTATTGACATGGGCTCCAGGGCCGCCCTCTGACCCCACAGCGCTGCCCTCACCCTGCGACTCGGACCCCTGCTTCAACGGAGGCTCCTGCGAGGCCCATGAGGACTCCTACACCTGCGAGTGCCCGCGCGGGTTCCATGGCAGGCACTGCGAGAAAGGTGGGCGTCAGCACCTCGGACAGCGCCAGGCCAGGCAGCCGCCTGTGGGCCTGTGCCTCCCCTCCTCAGTCTGATCAAGACTGCCCTCAGAATACCCCTCAGTCCCTGCTCAGCATTTTTCCAAATAGATTTTAGAATCATTGATTTGAAAAAAAATTCCCTAGGACTTTGTTAAATCTAATTCAACTTAGAGAACGTCGACAACATTTAGCCACTTGAAAGTATAACTATTTTTCCCCCAGTGCCTTCCATGTGTCGCCAGCACCCCTGGACTGTCCCTTTCAGGCCCCCAGAACCCCGAGTTGAGAGCCTGGAGGGCCATCCTCCTGGGGCACAGGCAACTGTGCCACCAGTGTCCCCTGCAGCCCTCCCGCCCCCTCGCTTGTGGAGAGCCCACCCGAGACCTGGTTGGATTTACCTGGAACCCTCTCCTGCCCTCACAGTGGCCCAGGGGACAGCTCCCTGATACCCTGACCCACGGAGCCCCCACGGCTCCCCCTGGAGCAGGCAGAGGCCTCACCACTCAGTTCTCCTCCCTGACAAAGGCACCCCACGGGGATGCCGGGGGCTGCTCTCAGGACGCTGTGGATAGAACATGGACATGCAGCCTGAGAAGCACCTCGGGGTGGGGGGGATATAGGGGCCGTGCATGATGGGCAGACCCCTCCTGCTGCGCCGTGCCCCCGTGAACACCAAGGAGGCCGAGGGGCGACCCCTGGGTGTGACTTAAGGTTGGGACAGATACGTCCCTGGACTGGTACCTCAAGTATGTGCATGAGCGAGCACGAGCCCTGGGACATGAGCTCCTGGTGCTGGGGACACACAGGGCAGGAGGCTGCCGGGGCCGCAGGGTCCTGCAGGAAGGACAGTGTTGCAATTGCCAGACTGCGGGCTGGCTTTCCACGGGAAGGGCCAGTGGTCCCAGGGCCTTGGGCAGAGGAGAGGGGTTGGGCGGGCAGAGGCCCCCAGGTGGAGTGAGGGTCTCCAGATGGGCTTGGCCCTTGATGCTCCCAGGCCTGCAGGGCCCATGCATGCCCAGGGACCGGGGAGACATGAGGGGTGCCGTGGGCTGTTGGTCACCCGCCTCCAAGTCTCTCTCTGCCCCTCCACAGCCCGGCCTCGCCTGTGCAGCTCAGGGCCCTGCCGGAACGGGGGCACGTGCAAGGAGGCAGGCGGCGAGTACCAGTGCAGCTGCCCATACCGCTTCACCGGGAGGCACTGCGAGATTGGTGCGGCCCCGGGCTAGCAATGGGGTGGGGGCAGGGGACCCTGGCCTGCTGCCGTGTCTGCTTGTCAGGAATGTCCCTGTGGAGGCTCCCAGCTCTGGGATGTCCAGGACCGGGGGAGGGGCAGCGGTAGTGGGCATGCGACACCTGACCCCAGTGGTGCCTTCTGCTCCCAGGGAAGCCGGACTCGTGTGCCTCAGGCCCCTGCCACAATGGCGGCACCTGCTTCCACTACATCGGCAAGTACAAGTGTGACTGTCCCCCAGGCTTCTCCGGGCGGCACTGCGAGATAGGTATGGTGGACACAGCCCAGCTGGAGACCAAACACAGGCCCCAGCAAGGCTGGCCCAGGCAGGGGTTAGGGGGTCCAGCGGCATAGGCGGGGGCACCCCAGTGCAGCCTAGAGGCCAGTATGCAGGACAGTGATGGGTGATAGTGACCCTGTGACCTTGCAGCCCCCTCCCCCTGCTTCCGGAGCCCCTGTGCGAACGGGGGCACCTGCGAGGACCTGGGCACAGATTTCTCCTGCCGCTGCCGAGCAGGGTACACGGGACGCCGATGCCAGGCAGGTGAGAGGGCAGAGGGGCCATCAGGGGGACACAGGAGTTCTTCCCAATCCTGGGAGAGCAGAGGACAGCGGGAAGGGGGTGCAGGGGACGGAGGGGAAGAAGGAAGGGAAAGCTCTGGGAAGCCCATCCTGGAAGTCAAGGCACCTTTGCCGTGGGATGGGCAATGTGGGGAGCAGGGGTCCCGGGTCCCGTGGCCTGGTGGGCAGAGGGCTGAGCCGTGGGGCTGGCAGTGCCCCGCAGTGCAGACGGACGGCTGTGTCCTTGCAGAGGTGGACTGCGGCCCGCCTGAGGAGGTGAAGCACGCCACGCTTCGCTTCAGCAGCACACTGCTGGGCTCCGTGGCACTGTACTCATGCGACCAAGGCTACAGCCTGAGTACCCCCAGCCCCGCCCGGACCTGCCAGCTGCAAGGCGTCTGGAGCGAGCCTCCCCAGTGCCATGGTGATCTGCGGGCCCTTGCAGGCGGGCAGGTGGGCGGGCACTGTGGTGAGGGAGGGGCCCGGGGGTGCAGTTCAGACCCTGCCCCTGCTTCCTTTGTTCTCCTGGAGAAGTGAGCCCATAGCCCGTGATGACGGCGGGGACAGCCGGCACTAGTTCTGCTCTGGACCTTTCACTAAGGGCTCGCCATCCTCAGACCCGCAGACTCTGCAGACCAGGCAGACGAGGCCCGGAGGGAGGGGCCAAGGTTGAGGCTCAGGCCACGCCTCCTGCTCCAAACCTTTCCAAGAGATACCCCTAAAGCGTAAGGACACAGCAAGACAGAGTATGGGGGAAATCAGGTGAATTCCAATCAACATATAGTGGGTGTAGCTACATTACCCTCAGGCAAAACAGACTGTAGACAGACAACATCATTATAAAAGGGGAGGGTCTCTCCAATTCACCAAGAAGATACAACTGTTACAGACATTCAAACATCAAATTCAATAGTCTCAAAATATACAAAGCAAAAATGAACAGACTGAAGGAAGAAACTGACAGGTTCGCCATAATATGGGGAAAGTTTGAATCTCCTCTCAGTTTCGGTTAAGGAGCAAAAATAAATAAATAAATAAATAAATCAACAAAAAGAAGATTTGAACAATATAATTAACAATTTAATTCATTCTCTAAATACAAAAAAAATAGTTAAGAACAAGAAGACAAATACTTAATTATGTTCAGACATTTTTAAAGATACTGAAATAGCTCATAAATCAAAGAGAAAATCACATGGCCAGTGAAGATATTGTATAAATGAATAACAATGATCACTTTCTCTGTCAAAACATGTGATGCAGCAAAAGCCATGCTCTGTGGGAAATTTAGAGCCTTAAACACACACATTAGAAAAGTTCAAAATTACAGAACTCACTGAGTCCGGAAGTTAAGAATACAACACGTGACACTGAGGAAGGAAGGGAGGGGAAAGAGGCGCCACAAGCAAGAGCCACAATTGATGAAACAAGTCAAAGCCACAGTGGACGAGACAAACAGCACTGGCCTTAGTTCTCTGACAAGCTCACGAAAGGGGACAAAGCTCCATCCAGACTGGTCCGGAAAAAACAAGAGCACTAACTTCAGTCTTTACATATGAAGCAGGGGATAGCCACAGACACACCAGAGATTAAAAAGGTAAGGGAGTACTACTGACTGGTCTAGACAAACAAATTTGAAGCCTTAGAAGAAATGGATATTACATACATAGAAAAATATAACTTATCAAAAATGACTCAAGGAAGTATAGAAAATCTACATAATTCTGTAACTATTTAAAGTAATCGAAGCATTTTCCCACAAAGAAACACCAGGCCCAAACAGGAAAACCCTACCATACAGCCAAGAACAGACCACGGTAACATTAGACAGGATTTTCCAGAGAGTGGGACGCAAAGAGCATGGATCAGCCCCTTCTGGGAGGCCAGCGAAACCCTGAACCAACACCAGGTATGGACAGTTGGAGGGAGTAAATTACAGGTCCATAAAACATACAAACAGAAATGCAGAAATTCAACCATCTACCAAGACTAGATACACCACTATCAAATGGGCTTGCTGAAAGAATAGTTTGATACTAGAAAAATCTGGTACATTAACCAACTGAAGAAGAAAAATCATAAGAATCTCAACAAATGCACAATAAGCATTTGACAAAATTCATGCGCATTCATGAAATAGTCTTACCGAGCAAGGAATAAAAATGTACCTCCTTATCCAGATAAAAATAACAGGATGCACACACACACACCTCTAGGGACAAATGGTGGTAAAAAATGCTTTATTGGAGGGAAAACTTAACAGAGAGAAGGGGCAGAGCCCGCATGGCCACCAGGTGCTTGCTACCCTGCAGAGAAGTACGCGCCGGGCAGGTACAGCTAGAATGGCCACACCGTGTGAGCAGGACGATGACACTGCGTGTACTGACACAGGAATGGTTCAGGCTGCACCCAGAGAGCTGTGGAACAGAGTTTCCTGATCCTTGCTATACAGGAAGTTCATCTGGAACTCAAACGCAGTTCTGTAATGCTGAGGTACAACAGGGGAAGGAAATCAGCATCTGAGGGAATTGACTTAAGCTTCTTCTCAGACCTATAATAAATATGATCCTAAATAGAGAAATATACCCCTTAAAATGGGAGCCCATTATTATTACTAGTTCTAACCAGTATTGTACTGGAAGTACTAGCCAATGCAGTGAAGTAAGAAAAAGACATTAATGCCATGAAATGCTAAAGGAGGAAGTAAAAACGTCAGTGCTTGCAGCTGATATGGTTATCTTTAACCTACAGGCAAACTACTGAAAAATGATAGGAAATGTAACATGTTTAGTGGATATAGGTTATAATAAAATCAATTGCATTTTTATATATCAACAACATTTAGAGAATTTAATGATAAAAATACATATACAGAGAAGAATTAATGAAACCATAATCTGGTTCCTTGGAAAGTCAGTGAAATAGATAAACCTCTAATAAGACCAATCAATAAAAAAGGAAAAATTGGCAATATCAGAATGACAGAAGAGACATCACTAAAGATCCTACCAATATTTAAAGGACAACAGGAGATATCGTGACTTTAGGTCAAGATATCTGGCAACCTAGAAGAAATGGATGAATAAGGTATTCAAGGGAAAGAGACAAATTACCAGAACTGGCAGAAGAAGAAATAGAAAATATGAATATCCTATATTCATACTTGTAATTTACAAATGTGTTTAATTTGTAATAAAAATCGTCCTGCAAAGAAAATGGAAGGATCAGATTTTCAGAACACTGGTGGGTTTTATCAAGCATTTAGGAAAGGAATAATACCCTCTATGAACTCTTTGGAAAACACAGAAGGAAGGAGCATTTCTCTACTCGTCTTATGAGACCAAAACTAGACAGAGACACTATAAAAAATGAAGTTACAGATCAGAACACATTCCTTATGACATAAATGCAAAAACCCTAACAAAATATTACTAAATGAAACCCAGCACTATGTGAAAAAAAGATAACACAGGCCATGGTTTGACGTGTGAATACCAATTAGTGTGATTCATCGTCTTAGGAGAGAAAAGAGAAAACCATACAATCACCTCAACAGATGCAGAAGAATCATTTGACTGAATTCAACTATTATTAAAAATTCTTAATAAACTAAGAGTAGAAGAGAATTTCTTCAACCTGATAAAGGGCACCCAAGAGCCGACAAAAAATAGTTCATGGTAACAGGCTTTCCGCCATCATCAGTAACGAGGTGAAGGGCCCGCCTCACCACTGCCTGCAGCGAGGTCCTGGACCCCAGACGGGCCACAGGCAAGAAGGGGAAATAAAAGGCGTATCTATAAAAGGGAAGGAGTAAGGAGGACACAATCATTAACATTGCAAATCCTAAGGAGATTCTACAAAAAAAGCCACAGAACTAATAAGTGAATTCCACTAGATCACAGCATACAGTCAATACGCAGAACCAATTATATTTTCAGATTCTAGCAGTGAACTCTTGGGAAAGGAAATGAAACAAAATTATATAATAGTATCAAACACATGAAAAACTTCTAAGTGTGAAACTCATGAACATACATGTAAGACTGCAAATGTCTCTAAAAAGCGTGAGAAAATCTTCGCGATGTCTGGAATAAAGTGGTCACGCACTCGGGAAAATGTTACACTGGTTTCCCACTTATCACAATGCACAACAACTAATTCCCTTGGGAATTAAGGATTTAAATGCTTTTTTAACCATATATTTTTGTGTGGAAAATATAGGTAAGTAATTTTTTGGCCTTGGGGTAAGGAGAGAGTCCTTAAGCAAGAAAAAGAAAGCATTAACTATAAAAGAAAAAAGTGGACAAATTGCTGTGTAAAAACTAGGAACTTAAATTCATTATCAGCCTTAAAGAAGAAAGTGAAGTATAAGCTACAAAGCACTTTCAAGAATATATAGAGAACAATATGAACCAATGAGAAACGATGAACCCAACAGGAAATTTTGCAAAACACACGAACAAGCATTTCATGGGAGAGGGGTACACAAAGCCCCCAAATGCAGAGAATGCAGCAACCACCCAAATGCAGATCAAAAACACACGGACGTGCACTCAGTCGGCCACACTTCCAGGTCAAGGAGGCCCGTGTGTTGGTGAGGATGTGGGCCCGCAGCGTGTGTGAGGAAGTGTGAACTGTTCAAGCCCTTGAACACCACGTGGTGATTTGCCCGTCGAGCTGACTGTTCGTATACACGTGTCCCGGCAACTCCACTTCTCGGTGCCCGTCCACACCAGGAAGTAGGAAAGAAGACATACAGGGACATTTTTTTTGAGTAGCAAAAAGTCTAGAACCAACCCAAATATACACCAAACAAGAATCGATAAAGTATGATACAATCACGTGGAATATTATACAGCCTTGAAAAGGAGAGACCCACAGCGACAGGGAAATGTATTGTTAATGTGGTGTGGACAGAGGAGAGAACATATACCACAATACCCTGTCAATAAAGTTCATAAATAGCCAAAGCAAAGCCATATACAGTATTGTTGAGGCAATTCAACAATTGCCTCACTTAAATTTAAAGAGTCAACAGAGAGACACAGAGATTCGTGCCACACAGGGTGGGGAAGTACATGTGACCTCGGGAGCCTGTGGGTGTTCTAGCGCCCAGGTTGGGTGCAGGCCCAAGCGTCCTGTCATTACTGTTTATTCACTTAGATGTTAAGCATTCAAATTTAACCTTTCTAAAGTTAACATTTTAAATTCAGGAGCACAATTCCCAGTTTCAGAAAAACCGGGATGAACACTTTAAAGCAGAGGACTCAGCCCCATTTCACTGGTTTTATACATGACTGTTATTTATTGAATTGGCAAGACAGGGCCCGTCCCCCTGGAGCTGTGTGATTGAGTCCCCTCAATGATCCTGGGCATTATCCAGGGACAAGGCCCAGTGCCGAGTCCCTGGTCTGCAGTGTGCCTGCTCCTCCCATTGGGGGTGCCCTCCCCGGAGTCTGCCGCCTCCCAGTGCCACAGGGACATCACAGTCCACCCAGCTCCTGGGAACAAACTCACTCGTGGCCATCTTAACTTGGCTTCATGCCGCTGCCTCTAATAATGGCAGCACTGCTGTATTCTCGGGTCTCTCCTGGCGCTTGCAACCCGGGTACACCTCTCTCCCAGAAATCGACGAGTGCCAGTCGCAGCCGTGCCTGCATGGGGGCTCCTGCCAGGACCAAGTCGCCGGGTACCTGTGCGTCTGCAGCCCTGGCCATGAAGGAGCCCGCTGCGAGTTGGGTAAGACGCCCGGCCCTCCCCAAGGGGCAGCAGCTCCAGCAGCCCAGCCAGGACGTGAGGCACGGCGGTCCCCTACTGTGCTCATCTGCCCCAGCCACTCCTCTCCCTGCCTGGGCCCTGCCCATGTGCCCAGGCCCCTGCCAGCTCTCCCGCCGGCCCAGGGAGATTAGGAGCTCGGCTGGCAAATGCTGACTGACCTCTTCTGCTCCTGCAGACTCTGGCCCGGGGGCAGACAAGACGGAGCTGGGAGAGGTCAGGTCACAGTCCTGACGCCTGGCCGGTGTGCCGGACTGGTGGAGGGAGTGGGGAGTGCCAGGCGCACCGTGGGGCAAGCCCTGCCCAGCCCTGCCACCCGGGCTGGGCCCCGAGCCCCAGGGAAGGCCAGGCCTGGATGTCCAGTCGGGGCCCCTGCAGAGCCTGGGCATGAAGTATGGCAGCCGCCCGGGCGGGGGCTTTGCGGGGCTGGCAGTGGAGCAGGCAGGTGTGAGGCAGAGGCCTGGCGGTCGTGGAAGCCTGTGTGGGCCCCTTCGGGCCCGTGCAGCCCTGTGTCCTGTCTCTGGGGAGACGGACAAGTGCAGATATGGAGGCCCCTGCTGGGACCTCCCAGGGGCCTTTGGGTGCCAGAGCCCTGCAGGCCTCAGGGGAGTCCACTGCAAGGCCGGTCGGGGCTGTGCACGGGTGGGTCCCAGGCACCTGGTGCTCACCTGCACTTGGGACACCTCAGACACCCCAGGAAAACCTGTCTTCTACAAGCGCAGACCCTGGGCCTTCAGAGAGCACAGGGGAGAGGCTGTGGCCCCCGTGGCCCCGCTGGACGGGTCCCCTGGGGGGCAGGGCCCCAGGGGTGAGGAGTGAGGGGCGGGCCGAGTGTCTGCCAAGGGTGAGGGAGACTTCACCCCGCAGGGCCCACGCCACCCCTGCCCGGCCTCTCTCTTCGCCGCCCCTTCCCTTCTTCCCGCTGTCCTCTCCTCCCTCCCCCAGACACCCCCTTGCCGCTCGGGCCCACTCTCTGGGTGTTCTCCAGAGGTGGACGCCTGCGACTCCAGCCCCTGCCAGCACGGAGGCCGGTGCGAGAACAGCGGCGGGGCCTACCTGTGCATCTGCCCAGAGGGCTCCTTCGGCTACCACTGCGAGACAGGTGAAGAGCCCGGGTGCCCTTCCCCTGCCGCCCCTGGACGGCCAGGCTCACTGCAGCCCCGGGTCCAAGCAGCTGCCATTCCCCACGCCTGGAACAGTCCCCCATCGGCCTGTGGCAGGGCCTCCTCCCTCCCAGGAGAGGCCTGCCCCGACTGCCCTGACCGCTGATATGCACCCCCCTCCCCCGCCCCCTGCCCTTGGGGTTGTTGCCTCAGCCAGACCTCCCCCGCTCGTGGTCCTGCCACCCTCCTAGAACGGGCACGTCCTTCGGGGCAGGCGCACCCCTAGCCCCTGTGGGCCTGGCTGGCAGCACACAGCTGTACAGGGTGGGTGGGGCTCCTAAGGACAAGGCCTGTGCCCCAGGCCTGCAGTGCACAGGACTCTGCCTGGGGACAGGCACAGGTGGACTGTCTCTATCCAGGCCTGGGGCGGGCAGGGGCCCCGGAGGACAGGGCAGCAGCTGTGACAGTGATTAGTGACTTGCTGTGTGTTTGCAAGTGTTTCTTGGGGCCGTGCTGGGGACTGCAGGCCCCGCCCTGGTCCAGGACCTCGGGTCCACAAGGGGCACCCACAGCTGCAGTGCAGGGGGAGGGCATGGAGGGGCCAGCACTGTGTCCCCCACACCCCAATTCACTGCCCACCGGGGCTCCCTGGCTTGGGGCTGTGGCAGGATGGCCTGGCTCGCAGTCCAAAGGCCACACCTGCCTCCCTCAGGCCCCGTCCCGCCGACCTGGAGTGCTCCCTCCCCCACTCCCACCTCCCACCTCTGACAGCAGCACCATGTCCACCCTCAAGCACACACACACAGGAACCACCTGGTCCCCCAGGAGCAAGGCCCAGGACACAGCAGGGGCAGGAGGCCTGGACACACCCCAGAACTCACTGCTGCTTCCTTCTCCCGCAGTGAGTGACCCCTGCTTCTTCAGCCCCTGTGGGGGCCGTGGCTACTGCCTAGCCAGCAATGGGTCCCACAGTTGTACCTGCAAAGTGGGCTACACGGGCAAGGACTGTGCCAAAGGTGAGGCACGGGGCACCACCACGGTGTGCTGGGGGCTCCCTTCTCCCCTCGGGGGGCAGCACATACCCCAGAGGACAGGCCAAGGGTCCAAGGACCCCCCAAAAGGGCAGAGCATCTAATCAGTTGCTTATTCAGGCTGTGCCCAAGAAGCAAGGAAGGGCACATGAGCCCCGGAAGCCTGAACACGGTCACGCGTGCACACGGGCCCCTCCCACAGCAAGGGCCAGGAGCCAAAATGAAGGAGTCCCCTGCAGCGTCAGGAGCGTGCCCCACCAGCAGTGCCCACGTCCGCCCCAGGGCAGCCAGGCCCCGGGGTCAACGGGCTGGGCTCCACCTTGGGGGCCGGCGTTTCCATGGCCGACGGCTGACCACCCCCTTCCCTTGTTCTTGACCGAAACCCTGAAGAGCTCTTCCCACCAACGGCCCTCAAGGTGGACCGAGTGGAGGAGAGCGGGGTCTCCATCTCCTGGCGCCCACCTGAAGGCCAGGCCGCCAGGCAGATGCTGGACGGGTACGCAGTCACCTACGCCTCCTCCGACGGCTCCTTCCGCCGCACGGACTTTGTGGACCAGAGCCGCTCCTCCCACCAGCTGCGGGCCCTGGCGGCGGGCAGGGCCTACAACATCTCCATCTTCTCGGTCAAACGGAACACCAACCGGAACGACATCAGCAGGCCCGTGGCACTGCTCGCCCACACGCGTGAGTCTGCCCAGGCGCCGTCTGCCCCAGACGCGGGCCAGGCACGAAGGCGGGAGGAGACCAGGCTGGGGGAGGAGGGGGGTGCTCCCTGAGAAGGTGCGGGGTGAGCCAGCCCACACGTAGGGGGCTGGGGGATAGCCTGGGTGTTAGGAGGCCGCCCTGACACTGCTGCTGCTGCTGCTGCGATGGGAGGAGTGGGGGGCCACGGGACAGTGGGGAGGGCCGTCACGGGGCAGGGCAGTTGGAGGTGGTGGGGTGCCTGGTGATGGTGGAGAGCACTGGGGAACGCAGCCTGGGTGGGGAAGGGGGTGCTGCGGGCTCGAAGGAGGGGAGGGCTCGTCTGGAGCTTGGCTTCAGGCTGCTCGATAAGGGTCTGCTGGGCAAAGGCCCCTGGGAGGAAGAGGCCCCACTCCCCTCCACCCGTCAGAACGGGGTCTCTGCCAGGACACTAAGGTGGGGCAGGGGAAACCGCTGCCCCTGGGACTAGGGCCCTGCGGCGCCCGTCCCAGCTCCCGTGGCCCAGACCTGGCCACGCCCAGCCCCTCCCCTGGGTGTGGAGCCCTCTCCCGGCCTCAGGCAGCAGGCCCAGCCCTGCCCAGTCAGCCAGAGAAAGACAGGGGAGAGCCAGGCTCAGCAGGTGATGGCGGGCACCCTGCCCCTGCCCACTGGCCTCTGGTGGAGTTGGCTGGCCCGAGCAGTCCCCCAGGCAGGGGCCCGAGCAGTGTCCACCTGACCAGGTCCCCACTGTGGCCAAAGGACCATGCAGCAGGGGTCGGCGGGCCACTGCCTTGCTCGGCACCTCTCTGACTCCCAGCACCTCCCTGAGCACCCCCAGGAGTGAGGAGGTGCTGGTGAGGCTGAACAACCCTCTGCCCCCCAGGACCCCGCCCTGTCGAGGGCCTTGAGGTCACCAACGTGACGGCCAGCGCCATCTCCGTGAGGTGGGCTCTGCACAGGACCCGCCACGCCACCGTCAGCGGTGTCCGTGTGTCCATCCGCCATCCCGAGGCCCCAGAGGACCAGTCCACCGATGTGGACAGGAGTGTGGACACGTTCACGTTTGGGTGAGGGGCTGGCCAGTCTCCCCCTCTCCCTCCCAGCCCTCCTGTCCACCTGGCACCTGGTGTCCACGCCAGGCAGGGCCATCCTCAGCCCCAGGCTCACTCTGCCTCCTCACGGGGCTGCTAGATGGGGGTTAAAGGTCCTAAAAGATCAGGGATGCCCTGAAGCCCGGGGCGGTGTCCTCCTGCCCAGAGCGAGGCAGCCCGGCCCCCTGGGGGCCGGCCCAGTCACCCGGACGGCCTGAGAGGGGGACAGCGGGCGAGCGACGCGTTCAGACCTTCAGCTGAGCACGCACACTTCTTGTGCCCAGTTATTACAAGTTCAAGATCAGGAATAACGAAAACTCAAATGAACTGCTGATTGAAACAGCCCCTTGCACAACCCACACGGGGTCTCGGGCGCAAGGCCCCTTGGGGTCACGGGCACGGCGGAGGCCTGGGTTGTTCCGACCCTGCGTGGCCAGGCGGTGCTGGACGACAGAGTGAGGGGGGGCTGGCTGCCAGTGTCCAGGGAGGGATGGCCCCGGCCCCACGGTGCCCCGGGTGCAGGGGCCTGCAGAGCAGACACGGCTGTGGCAGAGGAGACTCCCATCCAGTGACCGCCTCTGACGGCAGACGTCCAGGTGGGCTCCGCGGGGCAGCGTAGCAGTGTGCAGCCTGAGCAGGTGGGGGGCCAAGGTCACGGGGGGGAGGTGCGGGTGCCACGCGCACAGGGCCCTGGGCACCCTTCGGCCTACACACGCACTGGAACATCTCTAATCTGCATATTCATCAAGACCGGTTTTTCCCGCTGTGTCTGTTGTCTCCAACCAGATGGTCGTCTGTGCTGGAGACGAGACTCTGGTTCCCTTAAGTGTTGCCGTGACTTTTCTTGATTTGCATCCTGCCCGCTTCCAAAGAATGATATGACTGTGTCGGGGTCCCCAAGACCACCCCTGGCTCGTTGGGAGGGCTCCCAGGATGCAGCTGAGGCCACACGCACAGCTGACCCGTGACAAAGAAACGTCACCGCACACGGGAGGGGAGAGGCCCACAGGGAGAAGTAGGGGTGTGGCGTGAGCTCCCAGAGCCCCCTGCCCCCCGTGGAGCCAGCAGCTGTGATGACACGTGTGAGGGGCCCATGGAGACATGGCGCCCAGGGTTGTGGGGCTGGTCCCGGGTGCCCTCTGCCTGCGGAGGTCCCAGGCCCCAGGAGGAGGCGTGAACCAGCCCTTGCAGAAGCGTTCGGGGCAGGGAGGCCGCCTGGGAATTCCAGCCAGGGGCCCCTCTGCCGTCTGAACACAAGCCTGTGCCCCCTCGGCCTCTCGCTGCTCCAGACGGCAGCTTCCCGCTGAGGAGCACCCAGGTCTCGGGCCACGAACCCGCCTTCACAGAGGCCACCGGGGCCATCAGCAGCGGGGCCACCCACAGCCCCGGTCACCCCTGCTGTGGAGGAGCCGCAGTCCGGGGCAGGGCTGGACACGACGCCCGAAACCGTCCTGCCCTCTCTCTCTGCAGGGCTCTGCTGCCTGGAAGGAGGTACACCATCCGGGCGACCGCCCTCGGTGGGCTGGGGGGACAGGAGCGCCCCACCGAGAGCCTGGCCTCTGCCCCACTGCGCGCATGGACCCGTGAGTGCACAGTGTGGCCGAGCGCGCGGGCAGGGCCCTCGGGGGCTCTCCGCCCCAGCCCCACGCCGTCCTCGCCAGAGAGGCCGACACCGGACGCCAGAGCTGCAGCCCTGGCTGCGCGCGCCCCACAGGGCGGCGTGCCCAGAGCTCTGGCCCTCCTGCGGGGACGCCCTCACGCCCAGTGGCTCTTGAGCTCCTCACACACGGGGTCGCCGAGCGAAGGGCCGGAGGGGCCTCGGTGAGGATGCCGCGCTGTGGGCCCTGCGGAGCCCCGTGATGCCTCACGGGGAGCAGACCGGCCCTCACTGCCCCCTCCCGCCCAGCTCGTGGGTCGGGTGAGCACCACGCTGCCGATGGTGAACACGCGCACCAGGTGGGGGCGGGGACAAGTAAGTGTCCCGGGGAGAGGGGAGGTGTGAGCAGGGCCTGGCCGGTGGGGCAGGGGTCAGCCCAGGCGGAAGCCCCCGCTTGGACCCTGCGTGCTGGGCCTACTCCCCTTACCTGCGTCCCAGGGGAAGGGGTGTGTGGCCAGGCTCAAGCGTGTTGGAAGTTTCACACAGGAGGGGGTGCTGACGGTGAGCAGGTTCGGGGCCTTGCTGGGTGCTGGTGGGCGGCACTGTGGGGGTGACTCTCAGGGCAGGAGGAGGTGCTGCAGGCCCCCCCAATCCTTCAGGACCACCGCGACGTCTACAGTAACTAAATCTGGCTTCAAATGAGGCTTCGGCAGTCTGTGTCAGGTCTTTAAACTGTGTCCTGGGCGTGCAACCCCATCAGTCTCCTTCACCCCCTCCCCTCTCTGTGCCTCTTCTAGGGCCTCTGCCGCCAGCAAACCTGACCGCCGCCCGAGTCACGGCCACCTCTGCCCACATGGTCTGGGACGCGCCCGCTCCAGACACTCCCCTGGAGGCATACGTCATCAACGTGACTACCAGCCAGAGCACCAAGAGCCGCTACATCCCCAATGGGAGGCTGGTCTCCTACACGGTGCGGGACCTGCTGCCCGGGCGGCGGCACCAGCTCTCGGTGACGGCCGTGCAGGGCACGGAGGGCGGCGAGCTGCACAGCGAGCCTGCACACCTTTACATCATCACCTGTGAGTGCCGGGCTGCAGGCCCAGGGTGGCCATGAGGGTCACCTGTTCCCCAAGACCCTCACCTAGCACGACTACGCTGTCTGTCCAAGGGACCTCAGACAGGCGGCCTGGACCGGGCCCGAGTTACCGCGGGAGAGCGTGTGTGTGAAGAGCAGTGGGTTCACACGGTCGGGGCTGGGCCAGTACAGCGGGACTCGGAAAAGGCCCATTTTGCTCCCCACCTCTTACCGTCCACCCCTACGGGCCCAGACGGGCTGAGCAGTGGTCACAGGGCACCCCTGAAAACAGGTGCCGAGAACACGCAGCGTGGAGGGGCCCGGGGAGCAGCCTTGCAGCCGGGCCGAGCACGAGGGGTCGCTGGGCGCGGCAGGGGAGAGGCCAGGACAGGCGCAAAAAGGGGGTGCAGCTCGGGAGCGGGAAGGCTCCAGAGGGCTGTACGAAGGATGTGGGCCCGCCCCCAAATGCAGAGGCCCTCGGGTCCCACTGGGGCCCTGCAGGGCCCTGCTCCCGCTTTAAAGCCTCCTCAAGGCGCTGGGGAAGGCGGCGTGTCTGAGCAGGCAGCCTGCCCGGAGAGCCGGACCCAGCTCCGCTCCAGGTGCACCCGCCGGGGCAGCAGGGCGGGCCGGCCCCTCTGCGAGCTGGCCAGACGAGGGGGAGCTCCCGGGGGCGGGGAGAGAACTGAATCAGGTACTTAGGGGACACGGGTAGGTGACAAGAACCCACAGAGCAGCCACACCATTACTCTCAGGGCAAGTGTGGGTGGGGCCTCCGCCAAGGGAGCCCAGTGGGTGGAGTCCTGGCCCCGCCCTGAAGGTGGAGAACCCGGGCCCTGGGGGGAGCCAGGACCAGCCCCTCAACACAGCCCAGCAGTGTCTGCTCCCCAGCAGGGACGCCGTGGTCCCTCCTTGGGGGCGGTGGGTTCCAGGGCTTCTCAGCCACGAAGACGCCACTGGCCACGGGGACGGCCCGGCCCCCTCAGCTCTCTGGCGCTGGGGAAGTGGGGCGGGGTGAGGCAAGGGGAGCCCCAGACCTGCCTCGCGTGGCCAACACTCCCTCCGTGTCACCCGCTGCCGCCCTCAGCCCCGAGGGACAGTGCTGACCGGCGCTGGCAACGGGAGGGACTCCACCCGCGGGTGCTCAGAAACAGACCGGCCCCTGGGCGCCTGCCAGAGCTGCGTCTGCTCAACGACCGAGGGGCCCCCGAAACGCCCACCCAGGCGCCCAGGTACCCACCTCCGCCATCAGCGCCCCCGGGGTCGCCTGGTACGGCCCCAGGCACAGAGCTCCGCGTGCTGACCCGGTGACTCGCCAGCAGGTCCTCGGAGCTCGTGGACAGCAGAGGGCGAGTGAGCGCCCAGCTCAGCGGCGCCCCTGGCCAGTCAGCCCCCGCGAGACCACGTGAGTGCCTCGGGCAGCCCTGGCGGCCTCACTGCCACCCGCCTGGCCCCAGCGCGGGATGGCACCAGAGGCTCTGGGCCACGGGGCCAGCACGCAGAGTCCGTGCCCCGGAGTCACGGGGCTTTCCCGAGGCAGCCGCCTGGGTGAGGGTGCGGGCTGCTGGCTGTGCACGTGATGGGACGACAGTGGGTGTGTCAGAAGCTCCCCCGGCCAGGCCGGGACCGGACCAGGGCATTGCTGGAGAGCTAGACAGGAGGGCGTGACCAGGTCTGAGGTACTGCCATTCAGAGTGGCCCTCGGACCAACGCAACTCCGCCAACAAGGAGCAGGTGACAGGCACGCACATCGTGGTCCCAGGAGCTCACAGCCCATCACGTTGAGGTCATGACCCAGGTTGGGAGCAGAGTCTTTGGGTTTAGGTCCTGCAGGGCCCGAACTAGTAGGGCCACCTGCAGCACCCACTGCGCCTCTCTACCCGGCCCAGAGGCACAGGGCGTGAGTGACAGGCCCAGACGCCCTGGCCCCTCACACCTAGCATAGCAGGGCCCCCCACTCAGAAATCCAGATGGGGAGGCCCACAGGCTCCCCAGGCCGCGCCCTCAGCACCAAACCGGCCCCACCCTCAGAGATAAGGCAGACAACCTCATCACCACCCAGTGAGAAGTCTCCGCCCACAGCAGCGTTCCCAGGCGGGGAACAGAGTGTGCCAGGCAGTGATGAGGGCGGGCAGGGTGTCCGCGGTCTGCGGTGACGGGGACAGGGGAGGGTGAGGGCAGGGACCTGCAGAGAAGATGGCTTGCAGTAAGAGGTGGCCAAGTGTGCAGATACGAGGTGGGAGGAGGGATGATTGCCCCCCAAGACGCCGAGGGTGGCAGGGGAGGAGAGGAGAGTTGGAAGGATGTTTGGAAGGCTGAGGCCAGGAGGTCAGGCAGGAGATCGAGCCCTGCCTCAGGCCACTGGTGACCTTCACTGAGAAGCTTCGGCAGGGGCGGCAGTGGAAGCCGGCCCTGCAGAGTGCGGGGCCGGAGCAGAGGGCTGGGCCTGGGGGAAAGGAGGTCCTATGGGAGACGGGGCCAGCCCGTGGTTCTGTGCCCAAGCTGGGGAGCCAGCAGGTAAGTGAGCATCCTGCTCCCATCACACGGGGCTCCCATCAGCGACAGCCCTTTCCCCCCGCCCCCGCCCCCGCCCCCTGGGAGAGAAGCAGCTCAGGAAGGCCGCCCAGGGACGGTCCTGGGCGGGAGGCAGCAGGCTGTGTGGTCAGCACTGCGGGTCCCGGTTTCTCCTAGAACCCACGGTGCTGGTGCAGCTGGAAGACGCCCTCGAGCAGGCCAGCCCCGCCCCCCAGCTCCCCGAACACGACAGCGACAAGGACGTGGGAAGTAAGTCAACAGGAGCAGATTTCCAGGGCTGAGCACCTCGAGTGGGGGTGGGAGTGGGAGGCACAGGGCCCAGCCCAGGGGCAGGCAGAAGCCCCAGCCAGCAAGGAGGCACTGGCACCCCGTCCTACCACGACCTGCCCTGTCCCTCTGCACAGGGCAGGGCCCACCTTGCCCCCCGACCCCGGCCACCCTCGGAGGAGCATGCGGAGCAGCAGGGCAGGAATCAGTGGGGCAGGGAGTGCTGCGAAGGGCCAGGGGGGCCCCTGCCGGCAGTGGGCCCAGTCTCCCCAGCGCGCCCCCACCCTCCCGCGGGACAGTTCTGGCTGGAGTAGCCCTGCAGGCGTCACCCTGCAAGCGTCACCACAGGCAGGTCTCCTTGGACAGCACAGACCAGGCCCCGTTCTCCCTCTGCCCTGCTCTAACCCTCAGGGCTGTGTTTCCCTAGGGACAGTCCTCCCAGGGCCCAGCGGCCTTCTACTGGGTTAGCTGCAGGCTGAGACTGGGCTCACCCGCCCACTGGGCCTGCAGAAGGCAGAGTCCTCAGGAGCGAGCAGCCAAGCGCCCAGGATGCCCCCTTTGAGGGTGCAGGCCACTACAGGCCGGCTGCCAGCCCCTCGGACACTGTGTGCTCACGGCACCGGCACCACAGGGTGCACCTGCCCACGGTGATGCCACAGGCCGGGCGAGACCCGCGGCACCGTCAGCCACACGACCCCAAGAGGGCCGGTTTTCGGTGAGGCCGAGGCAGCCGGGGGCGCCAGTCACAGAGCAGTGAGGGGCCGCCGCTGGCTGGTGTTTCCCCCGGGGTGGCCTGTCAGCTGGTGTGCATCATGAAACTCAGGGACTCCAGGGAGGGGAACCGCTTCCTGGGCCCCAGGCGTCACTGCCACCTGCGGTGCTGGCCGACGCCAGGCGTGCGTGCTCGGGGGGTGGGGGGGTGTGCCACGGCGGGGCTTGACTGTGGTGGGAACAGGAAAACATCCGTAGGGCTGCGGGTGCTCACGGTCAGCCCTGGGCTCCAGTCTGCACCCCAGTCCGGGCCGGGCCGGGCCGGGCTGCGCCTCCGTCCGGTGGTTCAGTCAGGGACCGTTGCTGGATGAACGGCCTGTCGACCGTTGTGGAACAACGAGCCCATGGAACGAGCCTGTGGACCGTTCCATTTCACGGTGTGTGTGCCACCACCCCGTCAGGACTGAGGGGGGCGACGGTGCAGGCTGAGGCTGTGGCGACGGCGGCGCTCTGGTAAAACCCTGCTGTGTGGGCTGCAGGCTCAGGGCCGCTGCCCACGAGCAGCAGGGCCATCGGCCGTGTCTCTGCAGCCTGGTATTCCAAGTGCAGGGGTAAGGACAGCTGACAGGGCTCACACGCCCACAAAATATCTCTGGATAATTGTCATGTATAGTGTCTCAAGTTCATGTGGAGTTGGAAGGGATCCGGGAGAGCAAACACAATCCTATAGAAGCAGAGGGCTTGTACACCTCATTTCGAAACTCACCATGAAGCTATGGTCACCAGGCCAGGGTGTCCCTGGTGCAAGCAAGCACTTGCAGTCCGCGGGGCAGGCGTGCCCTCAGCGGCCGCCTGACTTTCTCAGCCAGGGTGCCCAGGCCTCTCGGCGGGGAAAGAAGAGCCCTCCGGACAAAGGGAGCTGGGGCAGCTGGGCGTCCACACACAGACAGAGGGAGCTGAACCCCTGCCTCACGTCCCACAGGACAGTAGTCAAGATGGCTCGGAGACCTACATGTAAGAGCTAACCCTATAAAACGCTTAGAAAAAATACAGGGTAAAGCTTCACGACCTTGGATTTGGCGAGGGAGTTTCAGCTGTGACACCAAGAGCATGAGCAGCAACATTAAAAGGCAACCTGGACTTCATCAACGTTTGAAAGTGCTTCGAAGGAGGTGAAAAGACAACCCACGGACTGGAAGAAGATGTCCGCAAGTCGTATCGGAAAAAGTGCTTTATCTACAATCTAGAAAAACACAACTAATAGCGAGCAGACAAATAACTTGAGAAATGAGCCAAGACTCTGAATAGACGCTTCGCCCAGGAAGATACCCAATGGCCAACAAGCCCAGGAAAAGATGCGGACGCCCTCAGTCACGGGAGCTCCCCGAGAGCCGCCAGGACGGCTGCAATAAACAGACGGAAGATGCGGGGGACTGGCGTGAACATCGGCGTGCAGCCACTTTGGGAAGAAAGGCTGGCCGTTCCTCAGGGAATTAAATGTCGAATCACCATATGACCCAGCGGCTCCACTCCTGCAGGGCTGAGCACCCAGGAGAAACCAACACACAAGTCCACAGGAGGACTTACACACAAATGCCCACAGCACGGTTCACAATCACCAAAGGCCAGAAATGACCCCATGGCCGTCAACCGACGGATGATGAACAGGGTGTGGTCCATCCACACAACGGAGCATTGCTGACCGCAGAAGGAGGGAGTTACTGTCACGCTGCGACACGGGAAGCTTGAGAGCGTTAAGCTAGGCGAAAGCAGCCTGTCACGGAGACCGCCAGCAGTGTGACTCCTTCACGTGCAAGTCCAGAACGGGTGACGTGAGACAGGAAGCAGATCGGTGGCGGCTCAGGGCTGGTGGGGGCGAGGGGGTCCCGGGGTGACGGCGAACAGGCGTGGGCTTCCCTGCTGAGCCGGGGGAAGTGCTCCGAGACTGACTGTTGTGGTGGGCGCGCACGCCCACACTGCACTGAAAAACAGTGAACAGCATACTGGAATGGGTCCGTCGTGTGGTGTACAAATTACGTCTCAGTACAGCTGTTTTAAAAACATAATGTGAACAACAGCATTTTGGATATCTCCTCAGTGTAGGAAAGTGGGGAAGGGAAATACATTTACCTATTTTCTTATATTTAAAAATAAATGAAACTAATAAAAAGTGTTAACTACGTGAGGGGGTACAAGAGTGAGGAAGTCAAAGGCCCGGAGCCCGGTGTGGATGTCTCCGAAGGCTCCTTCATGCGTCAGAAAGCAAGGGGACCCTGTTCAATGACACCCAAGGAAAAGCTACGCCTGACAAGGAAAGCAAACTAAACGCCCCAGGACAGCAGCCCCATAAGCCCCCTCACAGGGGCAAGCTCTCACAGGCACCCAAGTGGGGACCCGGCCCTCAACCCAGGCACCTGCCCTGCCTGACCAGGAATCAAACCGGCGACCCTTTGGTTTGCAGTCTGTTGCTCAACCCACTGAGCCGCACTAGCCAGGGCTAACATTTTAAATTAAAAATGGAAACAACATATATCTCGTCAAAGCTTACAGAAAAAAGACACAGCGGACCCTGAAAGGGAAAGCCAGGCCCACCCCTCCCTGGCAGCCACTAAGGGCCCTGCTTCTAGCTGCCAGCAGCATGGTAAAGGTGCCGCATGGGCGGGGGCTCGGGGGCGCGGGCCAGGCAGACAGCAGCCCACAGGGCACAGACGCCCCTGCGGGCTCAGGCACGGAGGGCCTCCTGGACTCACAGTGAGGGACTACCTGGGGCCAAGGACTTGGGAGACACAGGCGGCTTGGGGACTGGTCCCGGAGGACACGTGGGCTGCTGAGGGCAGGCACCAGCGTCCCGTGGAGAAGGAACTCTGTGCAGAGCCAACGTCGTCAGAGATGGGGGAGCGGGGGGCACTGGCCGGGGCAGGGCCGGGAGTCTCCTGAGGCCACCAGCTGCTGCCCACAATCTAAGCGGTGACTTGAGGCTTCCCACCATGGAGGACTCGGCACTGAGGGTCCCAGCAGAATCTCGGCTCAGACCCTGACCCTCAAGGTAGTGGGGTCAGAGCAGGCATCTGACCCACTGAAACGAGACACCCCAGGACTCAGCAGTTTGGGGGACCGCGGGAGGCGGCAACATGGCAGGGCTGGCAGGCCTTCCCCCGGGGCCCTGGGGACTGACCGCTCACGGCTGGTTTGCAGATGCCTCTGGGAACTGCACGGACAGCCCCTGCCAGAATGGAGGCACCTGCGTGCTGGGCGCGGACACCCACAGCTGTGACTGCAGCCCAGGGTTCAAGGGCAGACACTGCGAGCTGGGTAAGTCGGGGGCTGCCCAGCCCCATTCGTTATGCAGGTTGGGATGATACTGCTCGGCCCAGGGCAGGCTTGCCATGGGGACCGCAGACCCTGAGGTGTCCCAGACAGCTTCCGGGGGCCCAGGCAGGGAGGCTGGCAGGCTGCCCCCAAATGCAAGGGGGAAGGCCGCTGCCTAGAGAGAGGGGCCTGAGGTCGGAAAGCAAGGGGCACAGCAACAGCCGCCCCACAGTGAGAGGTGGGGGAGGGGCTGTTTTGGGCTCGGGGACCAAATGTGGTGGAGGGGGGGCCGGGCTGCAGGCCTCCCTCAGGGCACTTCTGGGCGGAGGCCAAAGACGGATGGACAGTGCGCCCCAAGGGGACCAGCGGCAGGGGCGCCCAAGGGTGTGGGCAGGGGGCAGCCAGGGCTCGAGCTGCTCGTGAGCCGTGGCCTCTCCTCTGCTCGGCAGCCTGCAAGAAGCTGCCCCAGCCCTGCACTCGGCTGTTCTCAGAGACCAGGTCCCTGCCGGTCTGGGAAGGAGGCGTCTGCCACCACGTGTGAGTCTCTCCTCCCCCTCGCCCCCACCACACCAGTGGGGTCCCCAGCCTGCTGAAGTGCCTGCACAGGCTCCAGCTCGGCCCACCCTCCCAGGCCCCTGAGGACTACGGGCAGTCACGGAAGGGGCCGGCTTTTGACCACCCCTTCCCGCCAGGTGACAGACTAGGAAACCGAGGCAGGAAGGCTGAACAACTTGTCTGAGTCCACACAGCTCAGGGGCAGAGGCACAGGAGGCCTGGGGCCCTGGCCCCTGGCTCCCAGCCTCTCGGACGGCATCAGCCCCCTTCCCTGGATGGCGGGTTCTCACTGCCACGGGTCCCCCCGAAAAGAACCTGCTGCACGTGAGGCCTGGAGTCTCGGTTCCGACGTGAAGCGATGACAAGGCCCTGGGCAACGCAGTCACGCCCGTTTCCCCACCCGTGAGACGGGCTCGCCTCTTAGGCCGGTCCAGGCTGACACGCCGACTGGGGCCCCACTCAGTCTGTCTGGGCAGCAAACACGTCCAAGCTCCTTCGTGCGCCGGCACGCCCACGGCCAGAGCAGCCCAAACCCCGCCCTCGGGTGCGTCCCCTCGAGAGGAGGGAGACAGCTGCCCAGAGAGCGCAGTGTGTTAGGCAGTGACCAGGGTGAAGGGCCAGGAGGGCCCAGGTGGGGACAGGCAGGGCCACTGCGGCATTAACAGTGTCAGCGTCAGCCTTGGGGAGAGAGTCCCAAGTGTTGGCTGCCCAGGCAGAGTCAGAGGCGTGCTTGTGAAAGGCTTCTGGTCTTTGTTCCGTGTGACCTGGGAGCAGTGACATGTTTGGTTACACGCTGTCAGATCCCTCTGGGTGGGACGCGGGAAGCCAAGGCCAGACTTGCTGTGGGCGTGGCCGCAAAGCCAGGGGTCACATCGCGCAGATGCAGGAGGTTCCCAGCCGCACGGGGACCGGGACTCTGTGTTCACACCCTCTGACCGTGGGTTCTGGGGAGGGCTGTCTGAAGGCACAGCGGCCACCAGCCGGGCTGTGCAGGGAGAGCCCAGCACGTGGCGACCTGCGGGGGCCGGAGGGGGAGCTGCCCCCAGTCCTTGACCCGGGAGCGACTCCCCGTCAGCAAGGGTCGGGTCTGCTTTCGGCCCAGTTGCTCATCCCCGGTTTTCACTGTGGGGGTCAGACCACATTTGAAAGTCACCAGCAATGTGACATTGCTGCTGTTTTCTACCTGTTACACCTGATCTTTGTCGCGTTTTTCCCCTTTCCTGACTGCTTCTGGATTATTCCACAGGATTCTGTTTTACCTCTCCTGGGGGCTCACTGGTTCTACTTCTTTGGCTAACTTGTAGCGGTTCTTGAGATTGGTAATGCGCTCGTCACAATGTCCCGGCATCCCTGTACTGAGGGGAAGACGCCCGTGACAGCTGACGTTAACCCTCCCCACGCATGCGCGAAACCACACCGTGTCTCGTCTTTCCGCTCAGCGGCATCTGAAGTGTGGAGGGCAGAGCCCCTCGAACTCCCCCGCCTGCCCGCCACCTCCAGCCCACAGCCCTCCCGCACCGCCCTCCGTGCTCTAAAGCCCGTGTGTGAGGGTCCCCCCAGCACGGCACGGGGCAGGGAGTGCCCCCAGCCACTTCCGTCCGGAAGGGCTTCACCCCCCTCCCCTCTGAAGGGGGCACGTGCTGGCTACGGAGCTCCTGGCTGGCGCTCCCGGCTGCCCCGCGGCACTCTGGAGAGGCCACTCCTCCGTCTCCGGGCCTGCCTGGTTTCAGACCCGACGACCCTGTGCCACGGGTCCCCGAGCCCTGGTGGCTGCTTCTGGGAACCCTGCCTGTGATGCGCTTCGGTGTGGTTGTGTGTGTGGTTGTGTGTGTGTGTGTGTTTGCTCTCTGGAGTGATGAGCCGGTTGTACCTCTGGGTTGTTAGCTTTCATCCAATTTGGAAAGTTTGGACCATTACTTCTTTCGAGTATCGTTTCCGTTCGTCCACTTCCTCTCCTCCTTCTGGGATTCCGACTCCCCACGTGCCAGACTTAGGCTGTCCCGCGGGTCACTGAGCCCCCTCCCGTCGTCCTCAGCCTCCCCCCACCGCATTTCGGGCAGACCCTGCTGCCAGGCCTCCACGTTCCCCACCCCGTGCTCCTGCGGGGTCTGACCTGCCGTCCCCTCAGGGACCGTTCGTCTCTCGGGCTCCGCTTCCCTCCTCGTGGGCGTGTTTCCTGCACGGCACCGGCCTGTGGAGCGGGTTTATAACAGACATTCTGAGGTTCTTTCTGCTGCGTCTGTCACTGCTCTCGTTTCTAGATGGTTTTCTGTTCTGTTATTTTTTGCCTGTTTAGGAGGTCTTGATTCTTTATATTAATTCTTTGAATGTCTTCTAATTTTTTGTCAAATGCTGGATGTTATACACTTTGTTACTGTGTGCTAGAGTTTTATTTCATTTTTTGTATTCGGTTCAAGAATGTTATGGGTTTTTTCCACAAGGCAGTTACGTTAAGGAAGTCTGGTCTGACCCTTCTGCGCTTGTCGTGGAGCGGCTTTGGCTGCGCCCTCATTCTGGAGTTAACTTCGCACCCCCGCCCCCCGAGGCAGAGCCTGCCTGGGGCTCCCGTGTCTGTGGAACGGCCTCTTCCTGCCCAAGGTCCCTCCACTCCGGCCCGAAGAACTGTCACCTCCTCGCCAGCCCCTCTCGCACAGCCCCCTGGGGCTCCATCCTGGGAATCCACGGCCTGAGTTTCAAGGGGACCCCCTCCAGAGCCCTGGCGCTCTTCCCCTGCGTGGCTCCCGCCTCCCCAGCTCTTTGCCCCACAAAGTCCAGCCACCTCTGCCTCCCAACTCCAGTCCGTCTCCAGCTCAGTGCGACCACTGCTCGGGTCCCCCGAAGCCCAGTCCCGAGGCGCCTCCGGACTGGACTCCTCCAGGCAACCACAAGGCTCACCCATTTGCTTCCCCTCCCTTAGGGGCCAGTCTGGCCCTGTCTGTTTTCTAACATCGCACAAGAGCTACTCCTTACGCTCTGTCCGGGTCTCTGGCAGTTGCACTGGGAGGCTACTTCACGACCCTGTCACTCCCTGGTAGCCGGATGTGCTGCCGGAGACCTTGACCCTCACGGCTCCCCTAGGCCTAGAGAGCACACGCGCTGGAGCTCTGCCCGTCAGACCCCCCGGGTCTCTCCGATGTCCGGGAGCTGTAAAAAGAGCCCGAACAGTTCCCCACTCACCACTAACCCCAGACCCAGGAGAGAGGGAGCGAGAGTAGGTCCCACCGCACATGGGAGGAACAGGCTCTGTGCTGGAGACATGCTCCAGCAGCCACCAGGCAGGAGGCAGGGCTTGGGGCTGCCCTCTGGTTCCGAGCTGGCCACATCTGACGCCTCCTTGCCAAGGCGTCCCCTCTTCTTGGTGAACGCCGTGGACAGAACAGGCGGTCACGGCATCTCAAGGCCCTCGGGCCCAGTGGCCTGCTCAGGCAAGGCATGTCTGAAGTGCCACACTTCCCTCTCAATACCGTGCCCCTTTATCAACACCCCTCAAAACGGACACTTAACGTGGGTGTACCGTGGTGTGCGTAAATCACGCCTCAGCGAAGTGAAGTTTAAATGCCACATGACTTTTACGTGGGCTATCTCAGTACACCACCGTGCGGTGAAGACTTGTTAAGAAAACACTGGCCTTTCCCTCCCGGCTGCCCGGGACCCCCCAGCCAGGCTGGGCAGCTGGGCGGCGCCTGCCCCGGCGCCCGGTGTCATGCCGCTTTCCTGTGACAGGTACAAGCGAGTCTACAAGGTGCACCGGGACGTCTGCTTCCGAGAGAGCTGCGAAAGCACGGGCGTCAGGAAAGCCCCAGCCAGGTGCGGCCGCGGGCACGAGGCCATGCTGCAGTGCGCAGGCCGCGGGGCGAGAGTGGCCCTGGGGACGGAGCGCTGGGGGAGGCCACAGGCCTGGCGCTGAGCCAGGCTGCCTGCCCAAAGGCGCCCCCTGCACAGCCCGTCCCACTGAGAAACTGCGTGCACGTGCGCGTGAGCACGCGCGGGCGGGAGGAGCTGGGCACGGTGGGCGCTGAGGGTGGCCCTGGTCACACGCGCACTCAGCACCCGGTGCCCGCACCGGGAAGCACGAGCGGGGCAGGCGGGCCCCGGCACATGACTGCGAGTGCAGCGCGTCTGTCTGCGTCGGGCCCACCTGCCCCAGGGTCTTCCCCTGCCCCAGGGTCTTCCCCTGCGGGCTCAAGGCAGCCACCAGGATTCCTACTAAAGTGCCGGGTGCGCCGCATGCCTTCCGGAGAGCCGAGGCTGGCCCCCAGGCCCCGTCCTCGTAGGCCACCCAGTGGCCCCACACAGGGTCTGCGTCTGTCACTCGGTGTCCAGGGAAAGCCGAGGCCACAGGGCACGTCCCTATCTCCCTGTCGGCAGCTCTGGCCCCATCACGCTGCACGACTCCCCCAGCCCACGTTTCCCCACCCGGCGAGGGACCCCACAGACCGAAGGGATGCCCTCCCCCACCCTGGGACGTGTGAGCAGGCAGCTGGGCAGAGGGAGCCCCAGGGCCACGGGCCCACAGTTTCCGTTCATAAACCACCTTCTCTGCTTCTTTCAGGAAACAAAGCAATAGCCCAACACTGAAGACAGCCTAAGGTACGTTCCTGGCAGCCAGCAGAGCTGCAGGGAGGTGGGGCGTCCCTTCAAGAAAGCTCACGGGTCCCTTTGCGAGGAACCCCAGGCCAGTTTCAGAATGCCGAGGGGCTGCGTGAAGAAAGGTTCCCCAGGGCCCCCCGCAGACCACCTGCAGCAGGTGCATCTCCATGTGGAAAGAAGGCTCTGTCGCTGGGGCCCCCAGAAACCCCTTCCGGCGGCAGCACTTAGAGGCGGAGCCCACCTGACACCTGGTGGGCGGCAGGACTGACAGGTGGGGGCACAGGAACGCTAGGGGCTGGGAGTTCCAGGAGTGCATCCCGGCCCTGTGAACGGCCACCTGCTAACAGAAAAAGTGGGGCGTGTGGGGCGGGGCCTGGGCCACCTGGCCTCGGGGAGGTCCCACAGGCTGTCCCTGGGAGGCCCCTGGGCACTCGGGAACCCTGGGAGGAAGGAAACCCCTGACTGTCTCACCCAGCAGCTCCCAGACCCTTCTGGAAACTGGACCCTCTCTGACCCCATCTCCCTGTGCACAATCGGCCGAGTCTCCAGTCGCCTGTGAGACAGACACCTCGAGGCCCCTCCACAGCCTGCGCCCGGCTTCCCGCGGACCGAGCGTGCCTGCCAACACGACGTCCCCGGGCGGCCGACGGCTCGCTGCTCGCACTCCCCACCGCCCGTGCTGCGCGGCAGGAGAGGGAGGGGCCGGGCCACGCGCAGCTTCACACGATGGCCGTGGTCACGGTGTGGCTGAGGAGCCTTCCTGCAGCTGCGGGCTCCCCCCACCCAGGCGGGACCTAGGGTGGGAGGCCCCAGAGAGCCGTGGCCGCGGACAGCCATCTGCCACCCATGAAGCCACCCAGAGGCATCGCCCCCCCCCCCACTCCAAGGACTCCTGCCCCCCGAGCACGCACTCTGAGGCCTGCAAGCAGTCAGCACTGGGGTTGGGAACCCATGACACGGTCTAGTTTAAAATACTGATATTGCAATGTCACCTGAAAGAGTATCGTCTTTAAAAAGCTGCTCAACAAACCCACTTCTATGAAGACAACCCAAAAACCCTCCACCAGTTATGAAACACTGGCCTTCGGAATACTAACGCCTGACACGGCGGAGGGAACACCAACAGGCAGGACACAGGACACACAGACACACGCCCGAGGCCCCCACGTAAGAACTCGCCGCCTCGCAGAGTGACTGGGCAGCCAGCGCGGGAAAGGTCAAGGGCGTCGCCGAGTGGAGGAGCAGCCTGTGATGCTGCTCAAAGGCCCCTCCCATTGGAGACCCAGCCTGTCCTCGACACCCCAGCCCCCCCTGCGTTCTGCCTTGGCCTGAGAAACCAGCAGCCACCCTTTCCCAAGGGAAGGACACCGCCCTCCTCCTGCGCGAGAGCTCAAGGGTTCCAGGTGCTCTCGCTGCACGCCGTCCCCTCACGGGTCTCCGAGGCCCAGGGAGACGAGGTCTGGAACCAGACTGACAAGGAAACCCTGAGCGGCAGGGTCCCGGGTGGAGTCTGTCCCCTCTGCGGCTTCTCTCCTCCGGCCTCCATAAGACAGACGGCTGGGCCGGTCCTCTGGGACGGAGACCTCCAAGCCCCACACTGCCCTCGGCAGCTGAGCTGGAGCCCAGGCCACATCTCCCCAGGGAACGCCTGTGCTGCGAACCAGCAGCCGCCACGGCAGGAGCCCTGGGTGAGCGAGGCCGTCAGCAGAAGCCTCAACACCCAGCACCCAGTTCCAGGTTCCCAGTTCCAAACCAGAGGCAGGATTCTCCCCGAGACCCGACAGCCAGCTGTCGCTGACCCACTGACCATCTGCACAGCAGAGGGTGGCGCGGGGAGCAGGCCACCGCCCCTGGGGCCCCTCGCTGGGGGAGGCGAGGGCTCGTGCCCCCACCGACCAGCTGACTGTGACGGAGGAAGTGCTGGTGCTCAGACGGAGCCAGACACCCAGCCCACCACGTGTTCTGGCCGGGCCGGGCGGTGGGGACTGCTGGCTTTGTGGACCAGGCGGCCTCTGTGCCCACTCGGCGCCCCCCTCGAGCGCAAACACAGCTGCACGCGTGTGCCTGGACTGCTAAGGCCACGCCTCAGTGGAACCTGATTCACAAAAACAAGGCCACATCCCCCGGGCCGTGCTCGGCTAACGCCGCCCCGGCTGCCGCCTTCTGCAGAGAAAGCCGTCTGGATGACGAGTCACACCGTGGCACCCAGGACCCTGCCCGGAGTGTCCTGGGAGCGCTTCACAAACCGCGCTCACAGGCGCCTGGCCGCCCAGGCCTGAAAGACGAAGACAGACACCTTGGGTGGGCGGGGCCCGAGGCTTGGGACCCTCTCAAACCACGACTCAGGCTGCCCGGCAGCCAGCACCCTCCCTCACCCAGCGGCTCTCTGGAGAGCAGACGCACGCCATCGCCACACCCGCGGTCCAGCACCTTCTGAGCAGCTCTCCCTTCCCTTTGGCACGTGAGGTCACGGCCAAGGTCAGCCCAACCTCCACCTCCTAGGCACTGTGACAGATGACCCCACTGGAACCGGAGCCCCTGCGCGTCCTCACCGATGCCGCCCGAGGCAGCCTTACGGCCACCGGAAGGGCTTTCCTCTCCTCTTTGTAAAGACATTTTTTAAGGAATTAGAGTATATTTTAGACTTCCTGTTTTTACTAGAATTGCGTGTGCATATATCTGTGTATTACACAATTTGTCCTTTTCAGAAAGGAGGACCAGTGACTTCAAGAAGCCTTCTACTGTGCTCCAGCATGTCCCTAACCTCAGGGCCACCTGAAGGGGATGGCTGAGCTCCGTCCAGGGGCTCCAGCCCACGACCATGAACACGGGCTGCTGGCTCCTGCTGTGGCGCTGGAACCTCTCACTGTGCGCCCGTGTAAGCCACAGCGTCACCAGCAAAGGACAAGACCGAGTGACATCACTGGAAAAGTGGGTGAAACTCTCTGCGACCACACGGACCCAAGCCCCTCAGCCACGAGGCACCTGGGCTACCGGATCCTGGGCGTGGTGCCGCGTGGTCGTACGGTTCACCCGCTTCGACGTTGTGCGAATTATCTCGTGAGAAGACTTCCTGACATTACGGGAAATCCCAGATCACCCTGGAAACACTCCAGCGGAGCTTTCACAAGTCTCCTTCGTAAAACGCCTTCCTCGAAAATACTCTCCGTCCACCCAAGGAAACCAGCAACCGTGGAGCAGAAAACTATCGGGCATACATGTTTATTTCTGCCAAAACGACAGGGAGTGGCTGGGAGCTTCCGAGTTAGCCACCTGCGGACCAGGCTGGTGACCGGACCATCCAGTCAGGCATCGGTTCAGGGTCCTGCTCAGTCCTGTGCTGGTCACACGGGTGCCACAGAACGGATGGTGAGAGCACTGGCACACGGAGAGACGTCTTCCTTTTCCGTAGTTTTTGGCCATGGCCAAGAAAGAGAAAGACAAAGTGTCTCCTTTCCCCACGGGGCATGGCTGTCACAGAGGAAATGGAGCCACTCTGCCATCAGGAGCCCAGTGGGCAAGGGCCACCGTGTGTCACCGACCTCCAGCACCTTTCCTTGGCTGGACCGCCTCCCACCGGCCGACGGGGGCCACGATGTCTAGCTCACAGGGGCAGAGGTCCCCTGAGCTATTTGTGTTTTGCAAACAATACCTTCCTTTTGCAGTTGAATGGGGAACAGGAGCCCGGGAACGCACAAGCGCATGCCTCAGTTCAGCGCTGAACCCCCCGGAAAACAGGGCTCAGACCTGCTGTGTCCCAGTGCACGGGGAAAGGAATGCTGGGCAGCGTCAGCCCAAGGAGGGGTGCCCAGAACGCCGACCAGCCTGGTCCCCACCAACCCTCCCCCGTCACGGAGCTCCTGCCATCAGGGCCGGGCCTCTGACCTCAAGGCCTCAAGTCGCTGCTCAGACTCACAGGGCTCCTGAGGGGACTTCTCCCTCTCCGGTGTCACGGAGAGCTCCCAGACTGCCACCCTGACCAGACCCCGGCCCAGCCATGTTCAGATGCTCTTCTCCTCTGGCATCAGAAGCCCCCACAAAAGGATGGGGCTGCCTGGCTGGGTCGGCTCCACGGCCCCTTCGGTTCTGGTGAGCCCCGAGCCAGCACTCCTGGCCGCCAGTGACACCAGGCCCCGGTGTGGCCCACTGGCTGAGTGGGCACGAACGCCAGGCTCCTGAGGCCAGAGGCAGGCCCGCCCCTCCGAGAGGGGCGCCCAGTGCCGCGCTGGCAGCAGCAGCTGTGCCACAGAGGCCGACGATCACGGACCCACACCCCTGCTCCGCTGTACACTGAATGCCATTAGGAAGCAGCACTTCCGGATTCAATACACGAGTCTCTTTGTGGAAAGCTTGCTACTTGTTTTCATAAAATAAAGTGCTGTGATGTGCTAAAACCTCAGTCTTCTCTTAATTGTGCCTTTAGCACTAGAAGGACACAGACAAGGACTCCGGAAGCACACCCTGTCAGGGGGTGACTCCCGACAGCTACCGCCGAGAAAATAAAACCCAATTTTGGTGCACCGAGTTCCTGATTTTAACAGCTGGGAGCCAGTCTTTTATTCACAATGCAGCAGGGCCCTCCGACCTCCTTTTCAGTGATCTACAGTAGTTTTTCATCAAAAGACCAGTTCTGGGATGAACAATGGCCTGAGAAGATCCCAGGGGAGGTCCCAAGGGCTCTGGGAGAAGTAGAACGTCCTCAGGTGTCCCCGGGCCCTGTCACAGCTCCTCCTCCTCCTCCTCCTCCCAGTCCTCGTCCTCGTCACTGGGGCTCTCGTCACCAGGCACGGGGCTCTCCGCCTCCGCCTCCTCCTCCCGAGCCAAGAGCTTCTTAAAAACTTCAAACTCCTCGGCAGAGGAACAGGCCGTCCTGGCCAGAAACTCAGCTTCCGAAACTCTGAGAATGTCCTTGAGCAGAGGGTTAGGGACCTGCGTCTGCCCCTTCTTGTCCGGGGTCTGGTACCGTCCCAGGCGCTCCAGGAAGGCGTGCCTCTGCCTGGTCTTGGTGATGGGGTACTGCAGGAAGTCGGTCCTCACCACGTCCGCGTGCTTCACCCCCATCCTGAAGTAGGCATACTGCAGACACAGGCAGGTCAGGGTCTGGGGCAGGTCCTCAGGCCTGGCCCTCCACGGCCACGGCCAACTCACCCGTGCACTGCATTCAGGCGGACGGCCTAAATGGCAGCGCAGGGCACCCTCGGACCCGTCTACATGACAGCCGACAATTTTCAAAGCATTTTTAAGTTCATATTGAGAAACATGCAACAGGAAATAAAGAGCAGGAGGGAGAGATTGAGTTCTATTTTCCTTCAGACAGGGGAGGAAAATGACACTTAAGAAAAGCCCAGGCCAAAAAGTCAGAAAACATCTAGGGATCTGACCCGAGTCATCGTCATTGTTACCAGAAACTTAGGACAGCTGTCACAACCACGTTTCTGAAATCAACATGCAGCAGAGCCTCCAACACTAGGAAGGCTTTAGCTATTTTTACATTATCTCCTTCGAACAGAGGCACCGGGACTCTGAGACCTCGGCAGGGCCATTCACCATTAACGACAGGAAAGCCACAGAATCGGTGTCACCAGATCCTTACCCACAGAGCTGACCCTGAGCCCCCCAGAGCCCCCCAGTCACTGCCTGCCCATCTCACCTGGAACTTGTACTCCAGCTCACCGGGGTCCGCCCGAAGAACGTGGGGACACCTGTGCAAAATCTCGGTCACTTGCTGTGCTGTGAACAGGCACTTCTCCCTGAGAACCCGGACGACACCGTCGAGGTCCCGGTGGCGCATGGTGAGAACCTCGGGGCAGCAGTGAAGCACCTTCTTCAGCTTCCCTGCGGCACACGGAGAGGGCAAGCTCGTCACCGAAGGGCGTTCCCAAACCCGGGGAGCTAGCCACACCCAGCACTTTCAAATCCAAGGAGGATGCCCCGCCCCCTGTGGGTGCCAGCCCCCAGTGTCTCCCCAATTCACAGAGTTGTTGTTACTCTGTGAGCTGCTGCCATGGAAGTGGGGGACCAGAATGGCCCATCGCCCCACTACACCCTCACTCCTCGGACTCACCAACCCCTGCCACCTCCACCGTGTCCCTGCCTCCTCCGTCCTTCCCCGTCCTCCCCGCTGAAAGGCAGCTACCCTATGTTCCAGGGTTCCCCCTCCCGCCCGTCTCACCAAGTAAAGAACTCCCCCGGGGGTTTACTGGAAAAGTCAGACGGTAAGATGAGAGACAGTGTCCCCCATGTTGGAGCTTCGGGCCGAGGTTTCCTTCCGTAACAGAAGTCACAGGTGCCTGAACCCATGAGAAGGGTTCCATGGCAACAACTCACAGAGTCACAACAACAATGCGCGACCACAAACACCGACATCCCGGTTAGCGGGAAGACCGTCTGCTCTGCCCACACTGGGGCGCTCTGCGTGAAAAGGGCCCTACCGTCTGTGCTAGAATTAACTGGCTGAGCCAAGACGACCTGGGTGAACGGGGGCACGCAGGCCTCCCGCAGACAGCGGAGGAGAGTTGTGCCTGGAAACCTGAACCCCCGTCCTTACACAGCTAGTTACAGTCGGCCTAACAGCTGAGCTGGTCTCCGCCTTGCTGAACAGCGTCAGCGGTGAACTTCAGGAGTGTAGCCTTCACAGCTCAAGGCCACGCGGAGCCTGCCGATCCACAACCACAGCACACCGGGCAGAGCTCAGCCTGGGCTGCAACGGGCGTCTGTTCGGGGAACCCGCAGGCCTGCCTCTCTCTCCCCTCCTGGAGGCGGCCAGCCGAGCGCCCCTGAAACAGCGGATCCACAAACCTCGTCCCCCCAACAACAGCTCACCAGGACGAGTCAAGAACGAAAAAACAGGACAGTGCAGCTCCTGTGGGCAAAGTGGAGACCCTCGTGGGCCCCCAGAGCCCGTAAACAAATCCAGTGAACTGCCAGGGTCCTTGCAGGCGAGAGTCCTGGTGGGGGAGGGGGTGGTGTCTGGACCGCAGGGCCACTCCACCTGCTTCCCAGGGTGGAATCGCCTTGACAAGGGGCTCTGTGAGTCTCCGGCTTCACATCACACAGACACAGCACGGAGAACACGTCAAGTCATTTGAACACCAGAAGTCACACAGACACGCGTGTACCGACAGCACAGATGGACACCGACCCGCTGAGCGCCCACCACGTGCGCACCCCAGTCCCGGTGGCCCGAGTCCCCACCGCGAACAACCCAGGCAGGAGTCCCTGTCTGCGGCCCCACCCCCGCCCTCCGGCAGTGCAGCTCACTCCCCTGCCTCAGCCCCAACGCGCACACACACCCCCCCCTTCACAGACCAGCCCTCCCCCAGGCCCTCTGTCCCCAAGCTCAGGCCGGGCACTCCCCACACAGGCCACGGCGTGTACCTTCTCCGAGCCCCAGCTTCCGCAGGTAAGCGGCACGCTTCTTCACGTGCACCACAGGCAGCCTCAGTAACTGAGGACTCTTCTTCAAGGCCTCGTACGCAGGCTCTGGGTTCACACCCAAGAGTATTAACTCTGAAGCGATGTCCAGCAGCTGTCGGGGGTGGGTCCCTGGCTGCATGCGGAGCAGTTCGTGAGCGTGGACGCCACTGAAACCCATGTCCAGGAGGGAGCTGATGGCCTCCTCTTGCTCCACGGACGCCCCGTCCACAGGAGCCCTCTGTTTCTCGGGGGGGCACCACGTGAGGCGCGTCTTGCACTCCGGTTCCTGCACATGCTTTCCGGATTCCACACGGGGAAGCCCCCCAAGGCCCCCTCCACTGGAGGCTGTGGCCAGTTTACACAACAAGAGGGCCGGTGCCCTTCTCCGTTCCCCAAGACGAGCAGTCTGCGCAGCGACGCACGCCCAGGTGAGGGGGACCAGGCGGTGCCACTCCAGGACCTGTGGGTAGCGGCACAAAAGGCAGTTACTTCCTCCCCATCCCACTGCTGGGCGGGCACCACAGGATTTGTGAGCAGGGTCACACACACACAGTCTTCATAAGAAATCTGCCAAATCGGCTCAGTGGACTGAGTGCCGGCCTGCAAACCAAAGGGTCACCGGTTCAATTCCCGGTCAGGGCACAGGCCTGGGTTGTGGGTCAGGTCCCCAGTAGGGGGCGCACACGAGGCCACCACACACTGATGTCTGTCTCCCTGTTTCTCCCTCCCTTTCCCTCTGTCTAAAAATAAAATCTTAAAAAATAAATTAAAAAAAAGAAATCTCCAAAATCCTATCTGAACACGCAGAGAACAGAGCATTGCAAGTGCCCTTTAGCTTTCCCGGTGGCAGCCGAGGGGACAGGGGAGAACTATTTCAAGGCCACCCGGTCGAGTGCTCCGTGAGCCCGGCGGGGGGGCGGGGCCGGCGGGGCCGTTCCTCTACCCGCCGGGGTTCGGTGCCCGGGGGCAACTCGCAGCAGACAGAGTAACCCGAAGAAAACTTGGGGGCGGAGAGGGGCGGAGGAGAAAGGGCTCCTGCAGGGGGCACCGGGCTTCCCGGGGGCAAAGGGCGTGAGGACGTCGGTCACGAGGTTCAGCTCGCCCGGACGCGAGGGGTCTTCCTCGCCGTCCCGGCCGCAGACTCCCGGGAGGGAGGACCCGCGGCCGTCTCGCCCCCAAGGGTTCCCGCTGTTAGTGGTGAGAGAGACTCCGACGAAGAAACGTCTCCAGGCTGCAGTGACTTTCACGCCCCCTGTGGGTGCCGGCTCGGCCCCACCCGTGCAACCGGCTCCTCACGCCGGGGCCCGGGGGCCCGCGTCCACACCCACCCCGCGAAGCACCCTCCTGGGTACGAGGAGCCTCTGGGAAACTGCACGCAGCTTCCCCGTCGGCTTCGAGAAGCCTCAGCGGCTGCTCCCGCGCGGAGCACACCGCCGCCGCCCTTGCCGCCGGGGCCCCGCGCCCGCCGCCCGCCACTGCCGCGACCCCCCTCGCCCTCACCTGCCGGCCAAGCGCCGCCATAGCGCGAAGACAGCGTAGCGACCCCGGCGCCGGAAGCAGAGCCCCTCCGTTCCTTCACTTCCGCCCTCCCGGGTCCGCCGCCCCCGCCTTCCCCCGTGCACAGGCGAGCGCGCGGCAAGCGCGTTCCGCCGCGGCGCTGGTCAGGCCGTGTCCCCCCGGGGGCGCGGGCGTTCGCTGGGTTCCCGCTGTCTCCGCAGACTCTGCCTCCCAAACCACGGGGATCTCTCCGCGGGTCCCGACCGGTCACGTGCTGCGGCGCAGGCGCCTTGCGGGGAAGAGCCTCCCGAGGGCGTCGTACGTTGGGGGACCAGGCGTCCCGCGCGAGCGTGCATCCCGCGTGAAGATGCTTGGGGTTGCCCCTCCGCGAAAACCTGCGCCCAGCCTGAAGGCCGAGGACATGCGCGCTGCAGACGGCGCGCTCCGGAGGGTCACCGTGCTCGGGAGCTCCCGCGTCCCATTTCCCTGCAGAAACGCGGCCCTCGCCGCTGGGTCTGACTTCCTCTCGGGGGGCGTTTCAGCCGACTGTGGTATTACACAAAACACGTGCACGGCCGAGAGCCAGCGAAGGACGGGTCCGTGGCCCGGCGGCGAAGCCCGCGGCCCTTTGCGCACCACGTCGGGGAAGACAGACGTCTCCACAGATGAAGGGGCGGGAGGAGGCAGGCGGGGTCGGAGGAGAAGTGTTTGCCCTGCGACAGCTGGTGCATCCGGGGTGTTCTCTTTGGATAATCCTAGAATAGGCCCCTGGGTGTAGGTTAATGCGCACACTCAGCAGCCTTCCGGCCTCTGCTGGTTTTACCCTGTTGTTAGCTGACAACCTATGCTTGTCTCTTCCTGCGACCTCCGGGCCGCTGTCACCAACTCAGGACGTCGCAGAATGTTCTTGTTGTGTATTCGTAACAGATTCATCTCTAGGCCTGTGATCATTCAGGCGTCGGGCCTACACCTCTTTCCAAAACGGGTGGTTGTGAAGTGGATGAAATGGTGAGTTCTCGGCTGCCTAAATCCTACCACCCGTGAGACCCAAACCTTAATTTACAAGCGTTTCTTGTTTCACCTGCTTGTTTCTGAACTGAGAAAAGGGACCTGATTCTCACGGATACAACTTCGAGTTCCTGCTCTGTGCCCGACACTGGGCTGGGTGCCGAGACAGATCCCTTTGGACAAGGATTTTACCAAAGCAAAGGAAGGTTATAATCTGTGTGGAACCGAAGAATTGGTTGTTCATCTTTCTTTTTAAAACACTCATCTGCCAGCACCTCAAAATAAATTAATGCTTTTACACCCAAAGCCTGAGAAAACCCAGGAGCCACCCCCACGCCCTGGAAAGAACCAAGGAACCTAAGCAGTTCTCCAGCCGCTGAACTAAAGGGGCGGCTGGGGTGCAGCAACTGCTCTGAAGGTCGACAGCGCCTCGGTTTGTTGCAGAAACCTCGCTCTGGACTCCCTGGAACACGGACAGGGAAGTGTGTCAGCCTCAGACTCAGGGCTGTCCTGCCAGGATTCTTTCTGCGAACAACACTCTCAAAGCAGCAAACCTCCTGCTGCCACCGAGCCAGGTCAGCTCTAATCATTCTTTCTTCTAAGGAAGGAAGTTACTGGAGAGAGGGCTTTGCAGTATCAGCCCGTTGCACACCTGTCTGGAAAAAACATTCTTTAACTTCTTTGTGTTGGAAACGTCATAAACACGACAAGGGTGAACTGTTTGGTTTTCTCTACAGGCTTTAAAAACACCCTCCTGCCCTGGCTGGCGTAGCTCAGTGGATTGAGCTGGGGCTGCGAACCCAAGTGTCGCAGGTTCGATTCCCAGTCAGGGCACATGCCTGGGTTGCAGGCCATGACCCCCAGCAACCGCACATTGATGTTTCTCTCGCTCTCTTTTTCTCCCTCCCTTCCCTCTCTGAAAATAAATAAATAAAATCCTTGAAAAAAAATTGTATTAAAAAAAACACCCCCTAAAAACACGGCCTCTATGGCCCGTGCTGGGGGAGGGGGCCCACTCAGTGTCTCGTGATGGCTGCAAGCTGAGCAGCACTTTCTGAAAGGGAGTAGTTGAAAATCAAGCTAATTGTTTTCTGCGAACACAGCTGACCGCTTCCTAAGTGAACACTGGAGGCTGAGCACAGGCCCTTCCTGCAGGCAGCCTGGCCCCCGGCGTCCCCCCGGGGGGCTCTGGGCAGGAGGAGCCTTGGAACCTGCAGAGAATGATGACGTGGGGGAAAAGGTGTGGGGGGGTCGTAGTTTTGGGGTTTTTTTCCTTTTATTTCAGTGGGGGGAATGAAAGTTTTTCCTCTTACCCCTAACTGCACCCTCCCCTCCAACAGATACACAATGGAGGCTGAATTCCACGTGCTGGAGCTAGCTGATTGGCTGAGAGGGGCCCCGGGACCTGGGCAGGGGTGGGGCAGGGACACCCAGGGCCGGATGCCCCCAAGTCGGCGAAGAGGGGAGACCCGCCGGGGGCACTGCGGGAGGACGGCCCTGCCCATCACCAGAGCCTGGACAGACTCTGGTCGACCCCAAGAGGCTGCGGGTGGGCAGGAGGGAGGAGCCTGAGAACACACACTCCGGCCTCCTGGGCCTGAGCGGCCAGGGGCGCTCCCCACCCGGGAGGGCCCCCCAAGCTGCCGGAGACTGAGTCTCTCTCCAGCCTTCCCCACGCCGGCGCTGCGGAAGAGTTCACACAGTCCGAAAGTCAGGGTAACTGATTGCTATCAAAAGTGCTTTAATTTGGAAAAATGTTCAAGGAAATAAATTAGCGAAATACCCTGGTCGTTACTTCTACAAATTTTACCTATCAGAGCAAACATACACTGGGCCAGAGAAAACAAAACACATGCATATATACAAAGGAAAGGATTTAAAAATGCTTCTAAACCTCTCAGAAGTTCACAGACTCAAAATTCCTTTGAACACAATGTTTTTTTCTGGGTTATGAAAACATGAACTCCACGTCTGCTTTATAACCCTAAAATGACACAGCATCACTGGCTTTTGTTCTGGCCTTTATCAAACTCACACGAGTTTTCAGGGGAATTGGGCCCAATCTTGAGAACTACTTTCCCTGAGTGGACGGCCCATTAGGGGGTGCCCCGGGGCGCGAGGCCTCACGCTCCGGATGCTGAGCAGCTTCGCTGGGGCTCCTGCTCTCCACCTCCAGGCTCTCAAAGGACAGAACTCCGCTTTCTGGAGAAAGAAGACGACACTGTATCACGTGCTAACAACACACAACTCTCCAACACTGGGGTTCTCTCTAAAGAGTTCCTAGGAGCAAAGGACACCAGAGGGACCTTTCAGAACCCAACTGTCCATGCCCTAGGGCTCCCAGGCGCCAAGGTGCTGCAGGGCTGCCGTGCCCAGAGCCACCGACACCAGTGGGCCCCGCCTGCCCTGAGCAGTGGTGCCTGACACAGCTCTGCCGCCTGGCTGTGCGACCAGCAGCCTCAACTGCAGAGCCGGAGGACCCGAGCACTGGGCTTACGGTCGGGCCTCGGCTTCCCCTCCAGCCCGCTCGGACCATCGCCAGCTGCACTGCTCAGAGCTCCAGCCCCCGGCCCCACTGTAGGTGCCACCTCGTGAGAGGCTCCCATGGGCCCTCGCCCACCTCGAGGCCCACAGCCAGCCCCGAGCCCCGGTGTGCTCAGGGGCCTCGGAACCAGGATCCAGCCCCATCTGTCTCACAGCTGGAAACCCAGGACAGCGTACAGGGGGGACCTCCCTCCTCCCTGGCCCGGAAGGCAGGCTGGGGAACCGGCCCCCCATCCTGGTTCACAGGCCACGCCTCTCACCTGGCTGGTGGCTCCCACACACCTCCTCCCAGGTATAGTCAGCAAGGTTCACGGGCTGTGTCACCCAGGGGTCTGTCACCAGCTTCTCCAAGGTGACACGCTGCTCAGGGACAGGCTGCAGCAGCCCAGCAATGAGCTTCATGAGATCTGGGGACATAAAATCTTGCCGTAAGCATGGGGTCAGGGGGCCATCTGCTGTCGGGGCTGGGGTCAAGTACAGGGCACCTCAAAACCCCGGGTCCTGTCTGCCCCCGTGACCGCTCTGACTGGGTAGCAGGTGGACCTGGAACCCCCACTTTAACCAGCAGCCAGGGCTTTGGGGGCACAGGGCCTCGCGCTGTGCTTCGAGAAAGGCGACCTGAGCTGTCTGTCCCCACCTGAGACAGGAGCGGGGTGTTCGAGACCCTGCCCCGTCACGTGGTGTGCGGAGGCCCCTGCCCACGGCCCGTGCCTGGGGGCTGCGGCTGTGCGGAGCCAGGAGGGACGGGGTGCGTGTGGCAGAGGGGAGGGAGGCGGCCAGCAGGTCCTAGAGCCCAGAAGCCTCACAGTCCTCCCGGGCAGCGTGGGGCGCCCCCGGCCTCTCAGACGCAGGTGCGCAGCTCTGGCCCCGTGGGGTCAGGGTCGGGGCCTCTGGAGGTGACAGGGTGCTTAGATGAGGCCCCAAGGGGGAGGGGCCGCCCGGGATGGGACTCGGCCCTCCGGAGAAGGAGGCCGGAAAGGTTGCTCCGCCCGTCCGCCACGTGAGGACACACAGGACAGGCCGCACAGGCCGTGGACAGGAAGAGGCTCTGACCGGGCGCTGACCCCGAGGCGCCTGAACCGCGAACCCCCAGCCTCCAGGGCAGGAGGCAAATGGCTGTGGCCTGAGCCCCTCGTCTGCAGTGCGTGTCCGGCCGCCTGAGCTGAGGGGGACACACGCCTGCGACCCAGACACGGCACCGAGGCACAGGCCTCACGCACGGACGCTCACCCTCCTGGCCCTCGCACCAGTGAGCGACGGCTTGGGAGCCGCAGAGCATCAGGGGGAGGGGACCCCGGGGCCCTGCGGGCGGCCGTAGCCCGGGCAGTCCTCCCCGGCCGGGGAGCCCACGTCCACCTCCCCGCCCCGGCCTGGCCCGGCCCCGGCCCTCGCTGCAGCAGCAGCAGCAGCAGCAAGCTGAGCTCGCGCTGGCGGCCCACGGGGAGCCCGCGCGGGACACACCCAGGCCTCCTGCCACAGGGTCGGCCCCTCCCTCCATGCCCCCCCCCCCCACTGACGGTCGCTGTCGCGGCCAGGCCCACGAGCCTAAGGTCCCCTGGAAGGCCACCCACCCACCCCCCAGGGCCTGGAGCGGGGGCTCGCAGCAGCAGAACTGTCTCCGCATCTTCAAGTCCGATTCCGCTCGTCCTGCTGCGAGAACCAAAGCTCGAGGGGGTGGGACGGCAGAGGGCGCGGCCACCCGCCCCCACAGAGACCGAGGGGGGCAGGGGCGGGGCGGGGGGCCGGCTGCGCCCTCTCACCTTCTGACACCAGGTACGGGGGGCTGAGCGCGGCCTCCATGGTCTCCTCCACCTCACAGAAGGGGTTCTCCTCGAAGATGAGCGTGTACAGCGTGACTCCCAGCGACCACATCTCCAGCTCCGGCCCCTCGTAGCTGCGGCAGAAGGGGCTCAGTCAAGGCATGCGAGTGAGCCCGAGTCCCGGCCCCCGAGGTGGTGCCCGGTGACGCTTGCAGCACCCGGGGCCCCACGCCCGCAGGTCTGCCCCAGCCCAGTATCGCACGCCGGGGGAGGCAGGGACACAGCCTCCGCACTCCGTCAGCCAAGAGGCCGACTCAGGAAGGGAACACCCACCGCGAGGACCGGACACGAGGGAGCGGGGACAGCGTCCCCCGAGGTGAAGGCTTCCTGGAGGCGGCTCCAGCACGGGGCGCCCCTCAGAAACACTCAGGGAGAGATCGGTGCAGGTGGGAGCCCTTCAGGGCAGGTAAGACGACCTCTTCAGGGGCCGAAGAGGAGTGAGCCAGAAGGTGCAGAGGAGGAGCCCGGGGGAGCGGCTCTGGGGAGGAGTCACTGGGGACACTGCGGCCGGCCCGGTCTCCGGCCGTCAGAAACACCCCCCCACCCAGCCACCCGGCTCTCGGACACCAGGAGCCGTGGCCACCAGGCCCTCACACGGTTTGGTTCAGCCCCGATCCTCACGACAGCAACATAACCACCACGGGTCTCACGGAGAAGAGGGGAGGCTGGAGCCGCTGCCCACGGGGGCCCTGGAGCCGGGCTGCCTGCCCCGCACAGGCCCTGTGCTGCCCGAGGCAGTGGGTCACTCGGGTCTGCGGCTCAGGGCGTAATCTGGCCCAGAGCGTGGGCGTGGGGAGCATGTCATCAGCCCGCAAGCTCAGACGAGGCAGCTGAGAGGCTGGCGAGGGAGCAACAGGCGCAGGACAGAGCCGTCTGCCATCGAGGGCACCCCGGGGAGTCCAGGGAGTCCAGGGGGGGCAGGAAACTGGGGGGCGGGGTGACAGGAGGGGCCCGGAGCGTGCAGGCCACAGAGCAGCAGCCGGGCCTCCGTGGCCGAGCAGGGAGGGTCGTGGGGGCCGACCTCAGGGAACTTCGGGGTTAAGGGCTGCGGGGGCTACCACGGGAACGTCAGGTTCTACTGTTTCTGCTTTTGCGTCGTTTGCTTTCACAGAAACAGATTCCAAGAGTTTCAAAGGCCAAAGAGAAAAACTCAGCAGAGTAGTAGAACAGGGCCCGGCAAACCCTGGCGGGGCCCAAGAGTCCGCGTGCGGGCCGTGTGGCCTCTGCCGCGGCCCCTCCTCGGTGAAGCTCACTCCTAAAAACGAGCGGCAGGTGAGGGGCCCAGGGCCACAGCCCGCCGAGCCCGGAGTGGACGGACGTGAACGTGAACGTGAGGGAGGGAGCAATGCCCCTGAGGAGGGGCCAGGAGCCCGAGCTCAGAGCGGTTCGGCCCGCTGTCAGCCGAGAGGCCCCCCGCCCCCCCACGCCCTGTGTTTCAGGGCAACCAGTTACTACTCCCGCCGTAACAGTGAGCGCGACCAATGAGCTTGCTTATCTAGAGAGCCCCACCCTTCGGGCTCCTCTGTCTTTTCCTTAACTTCCAACTGCATGAACCTGCAGAGGTAAACCCAAGTCGAGAAAGTAACTCGGGGAAGGGCCTACCACCCCACCGCCCACTTCCTTCACCCACTCACTCCCCAAACGCCGCCCCGCGCCCCTCAGCACCCGCGCCCCAGGGACGCGCAGCCTGAGCCCCCTCCCCGCCCGCCCGCCCGCCCGCCCGCGGCAGACACGTACGGGTTCCCCATGAGGACCTCGGGCGCACAGTACTCGATGGTCCCGCAGAAGGTGTAGAACAGCTTGCCCCGCTCCAGGTAGGCGGCGGAGCCGAAGTCGATGAGCTTGACGGTGAAGTCCTCGGCGATGACGACGTTCTCGTCCTTGATGTCCCGGTGCAGGATGCCCCTGGAGCGCAGGTACCCCACCGCCGACACCAGCTGCAACCAGGAGGCCACGGGGCTTTTACGAAGCGGTTCGGGCCAAGCACGCATTCACGAGCGAGAGTGAAAAGCACAGAAGGACGGACAGCGCCGAAGGACGGACCCGCGCTCTGGCGTGTCCTGAGACGGCGACGGGGACGACGGCTGGGCCCCACGGACATGACCTGACCGGCCCGGGGGGTGGGGGGGGAGCGCTTCCAGGCGGCGAGCTGGCCCGTCCCACCGAGGAGCTGGCCGTGTGAAGGGGGGGGGCTCTAGAAACGGCAAGACCACCAATGCTTGTGGTCACGACACAGCACCGGACACGCCCCTTCGTGTGTCCAGGCGCCAAGACGGCATCGCAGCCACGGCCCCAGGCCACACAGCCGACCCAGGCTCCCCGCCCGCCCCCAAGCCGCGGCCCCCGGGCCGCCCCACTCCCCCTCCCGCCAGCGCACGGCCCCGCGGCCTCTGTCTCGGAGCCGCCCACAGAAACTTCTTGGGCAGCATGCACCCCCCCCCAGGCCCAACGATCGTGGGGCTGGGACGCAGACCACAGGTGGAGCCACAGGTGCACACGGTGGCACTGCGGTGAGTGAGGGGCGGGTGCTGACGGGCAGGACCGCAGAGAGAGCCCGAGTCCGCCCGTGGGGGCAGCGGAGCTCGGCCGCGGCTCGGGGGCAGAGGGGGGGCCCAGAAGCGCCGTCCACAGCCCCCTCTGCCAGGGCCCTCGCAGCTGCCCACGGAGCAGCCGCTAGCCTGCCCCCCACCACCACCCCCTGAGTGCGGGACTCCCGGCCACGCAGGCTTGGAGCAACTCCACCAGAAGCGGCTCCATCCCCGGAGGCCAGGGCGTCGGCCTGCGCTCCGCGAGGGCGAGGCCACCGCAGCAATGCCCGCCCCCACCCCCGGCGCCTGGACCTGGAGTGGCCCACGTGGCCCGCCTGGGCACAGAGGCCCCCAAGGGCCGCCCGCGGGCTGAGGCAGACCGGGGTCCCGGCTGCACCGGGGGGCCGGACACCGGCTGCGCCCCCGGCCCAGGGCCTCGCGGCGGTTGCCAGGCACAAGCCTCAAACCAGCACCTTTGACCCAGGAGCAGCAGCTCGAAGCAGGTCGAGTGGGCCCGACGAGTCAGCTTACACTGAGGAGGTGTGCACACCTGCACACGCAAACACACGCACACGCCGGCATGTTTACATGCACACGCTGGCACACCACATGCATCCGCACCTGCACACGCATACACGTTCACACACACATGCACAAACACATGGACACACGCTCGCGCGCAGAGCAGGGCCCAGTCGAGGAACAGACCACATGTCAGCAGAGCACGGGGAGTTCCGTCAGGTTTGTCAGCAACAAAGGCCAAGGGCACCGGCTGGACAGGGCACCAGCTGGCCACAGCCCCAGGGCCCCCAGCTGCCGGGGAGCTGGTCACAGACCCAGCCCCACCCCGCCCTCAACCCCTGCCCAGCAGGCGGCACGCTGACGACAGGCTGTGTGAGTGCGTGTTACGTGCAGTCACTCAGCTCCGTGACGCTGCAGGTCCCTGTCCTGTGCGTCTCATGGAAGCTGCAGGGCGTCGAACCCGACAGTCACCGGAGTCGGCAGCCCCAGAACTGACTTCTGACGAGTGACTCCTGCCGCCCCATCAGGCAGGCGCCGCTTCCGCCACGACGGGCCCAGAAACAAGCCTCTGCTGGAAGGACGCCGCCCGGGTGCGTGGCCTTCCCGCAGGGGAGGACGGGGAGACGTCCTTTTCACAGAAGCACGATGCCTGGCGCTGGCGAGCAGGGACCTCGGACACTGAGTTTCAGGAACCCGGACACGCCTGGGAGCTCACAGCACTGAGGGAGGAGCGCCAGTCAGGGACGCCGAGCCGCAGCTGCCGCGCAGTCAGCTCCAGGACACAGCCGAGGGGCGAACGTGGGCCTTGCCCGCGTCCCCGCTTCCGGCGCCTCCTGCCGCGCGCAGCCTCGGGGGGACGGCCCGGCTCTGACCCGATCGGCCTCGCAGTGTCGGCACCAGAGAGGTCCCTGCCGCCCGACAGGTGGCGGGTGCCCGGTGGCCGGCGAGGACCCTGACCAGCCGTGCCGGCCGCAGGGCCCGGTCTCCCGGCGCCACCGGCCCCTCCTCGAGGCGGGGCGGCTGTCCCAGAGCTGCCAGCAGACCCGGACCCCGAGCCTCCCTCCCCGGTCGCCCCGGGGTGGCGGCCTCGCCCCCCCTTCCCACCCTCCCACCCTCGACTCCAGCCGTGCAAGTCTCTTCTCGGGAACGGGGGCCAGATGCAGCCCAGAGAGAACCGCGAGTGAACCCTGACCTCTGAAGCCCCCAGGACCGAGCACCCCCGCCCCCCCCGGCCCGGCCCCACGTCACCTGCCGGAAGATGTAGCTGGCCAGAGGCTCGTCCAGGCTGGGGTGGCGGTCGATGAAGGCGAAGAGGTCCAGGCCGGAGCCATGCTTCTCCATCACCAGCTGGAAGAAGCCCTGGTTCTCGAACACGTCCAGGACCTGGGGAGACAGAGGGGGGGGGGTCCGGCCCTTCCAGGCGCCTTCCGACCACACGCGCAGGGTGCCCCCCCGGGGCCCGGGCCGCACCTTGATGATGTTGGGGTGCCGCACCCTGGACAGGATGGCGATCTCCAAGGTGACTCTCCCCAGCTCGGCGTCCCTGACCCAGCAGTCCTCCAGGACCTTCTCCTTCTTGATGAACTTCACCACCACCTGCGGGGGAGGGGCGGGGAGAGGCCGCTCGGGCATCCCGCCGGCACCCACGGGGCCTGGGGCGCCAGAACCCCCGTCTCCCCGAGTCCCCAGCCAACGGCCCTGCGTCCTGGCGAGAACTGGGAAACGGCAGCTGTCACCCACACGGCCTGGGACGGGCCGGAGCTCAGCGAGGCCGCAGAGCACGAGCACGGGGTGGACGCGGAGGGTGGACACGGGGGGTGGACGCGGGGCGGCGGTGGGCCAGAAGAGACCCTGTTCGCAGAGGAGACGGGCCTGCCCGTCGCTGGGCGGCGGCGGCGGCGGCAGTGAGCACCCGGGACGCGGCTGCGGGAGCTGTGGGGCCAGCGGTGACCGCGGGCCAGGCCCACCCACCTGCAGCAGGAGGCTGGTGGGGGCGGGGGTGACAGACCCGGGCCCCGGGGCGCACCCCCGGCAGGGCAGGCGCGCGGTCCGAGCGACACCTGCGGCTGTGGCGGCAGCACGAGCCCAGGGTGGGGGCCAGAGGGACCACGAGGAGCGTCTGCAGGTGCCGTCGCCCGTCACCACGATCAGGAGGAAGGGCTGACGGCCGCGGGCCAGCGTGCATGGTGGCAGTGGACACAGCAGCCCGCGAGGGCCCACGGAGAAGCGCGGGAGGCAAGCAGGTGAGGTGGCCGCCGTCGGGGACAGGGGACTGTGGGTGGGGGGCCCCAACCGCGGGTGTGCACGTTCGGATGTCGGGAGGAGAGGTGCCTGCCGCCCGGCCCAGGTGCCCCCGCGAGCTGCAGCCCGAGACGATCCTGGGGGGCAGAGCGAGGGGGGGGGGGCGCTCACCGCCCCGAGCAGCGGCACTCCCCTGAGACAAAGAACGCTTCCAGAGCTGGGGGTCTCACCGAGTCTGAGGCAAGAACGACACAACCTGGTGGGAGGAGACTGAAGGCCCCGGCACTGGGGAGACGGCCCGTCTCGGGGTGCCGGGAGTCCGTCCTGGAAAGGCCGAGAGACTCCCCAGACAGAGCCCCGCCCCTTCGGGCACGGGAACCGCCCTCTCTGCCGAGAGCTGGAGCCTCGCCCTCACACCTCTGCTTCCGACGGGTGCCTCGCCGAGCGGTTTGCCAACAGAACGCCGTGTAAACCGACGACTGTACTCCGAACGGCAGAAACGCTCGAGTGCCTCTTTCTAACCGAACAGACGCAGTTGGGGCTTCTTTGTCCCCCTGCTCTCAGGGAGGAAGGTCTGACGAACCCCGGGGGGGCCTGTCACGGGGCTCCTGATGATCCAGGCCCAGAGCGGGAGGACCCGAGTCCGGGAGCGGCGGGAGATGGCAGCGGAGACCCGAGGACAGGACTGGGGGCCGGGGAGAGGGAGCCGGGGAGAGGGAGCCAGCAGCGGGCATGGCCCCTGCCCGCCCTCGGGACACGCGGCCAGCAGGTGCGTTTACCACAAGGAACAACCTGGAGTCCATCCGCCCCGAGAAGCTGAGGAGGGAGCGACACTCACTCCGGGGAAGCACGAGGGGGAGGAGGGGAAAGCAACGCAGACAACTCTCGGGCCGGCGCGGGGGGGGCAGGCAGCGGGCGGCTGGCACAGCCGGGGGCGCCCCAGCCACAGAAGGCGCAGCGGGCCCCCCACGCACAGATACGCAACGCAGACGCCGCAGGCTCCCGTGCCTGACACGGTGAAAAAACTCCGGTACGAGTGTAAATGACAGAAATCCCCAATAAAATTATTTAGCAGCCCGGCCCGGGCCAGTGGCACTGTGGACTGAGTGCCAGCCTGCAAACCGAAAGGTCACAGGTTTGATCCCCACTCAGGGCACGTGCTGGGTTGTGAGCCAGGTCCCCAGTAGGGGGCGCACGAGAGGCAACCACACACTGATGTTTCTCTCCCTCCCTTCCCCTCTCTCTAAACCAATCAATCAATCAATCAACCAATCTTTTTCTGGAAAACCTAGCACACCAAACTCAGCAAGGCGTTACAAGGCTCGGGCGGCACAGTCCAGGCCTGGCCCTGTGCTGTCCCTTGTGGGGTTGGTGAAGGAAGCAGGCAGGTGGCCCTCCGGTAGACGCTGCGCAGACATTCCAGAGAACTCAACACTTGTTCTCAAAGGGAAGAGAAACTCGGAGAGCTGCAAACAAGACAAAATCTCCGCAAACAAAACACATCGTCGAGGAACAAGCGGGGCATCCGGGGCGGGCAGGGCACCAGCGGGCGGCCCGTGCCTGCCCCGGCTCCGCGGGTCCTGCCCCAGCGACGGGAGGGGAGGACCAGGAAGGTCAGGGGACGCGCGCAGGGAGGAGTGACGGCCGGCCTGACCGCAGGGGCCCGTCCATCAGAAAGCCCCGGGGAGCTCTGGAGGGGCCGGGAGCGGGGAGACGGGCGCAGACGTGTGAGCAGCTACCAGCCCGGGCTCACGGCTCTGGTCGGCGCCAGCAGGCGCGGCCCTGCTCACACCCGCGGACTGGGGTGCGGGACCCCGGGCAGCGTCCGCAGGGACCAGCAGCCCTGTCACCAGGTCCGTCCCCACGTCACAGACGCCCAGGCAACTACCGGTTGCCTCCCGACAGGCCTGGGTCAAAGGTGCGCCCGGCGGTGGACACGGAAGTGGCCGAGGGCGCAGCCGGGAGACACCCCGCAGGGCGCAGCCCAGCGCGTGAAGGGTGCAGGCGCCGTCCGCCGTGCGTCCGAGGCAGCGCCTGGCCGGCCAGGGCTGGCTCGTCTGCGGTGGGGAGAGGCTGCCCCTGGCACCCAGACCCCACACGGGCCGGCCTCCCGCGGCCACCCCACACCCCCCCTCCCCCCGCGGCGGGGGCCCGCCTACCTCCTTGTTCTGCTCCCTGTCCAGCGCGGTCCACACGAAGCCGAAGGCCCCGCTGCCCAGCGGGCTCAGCGTGCTGTACTTCTGGGAGTAGGCGCCCTCGCAGGCCGCCAGCCCCTCCAGCTCGCCCGGCTTGGGGGGCTCCTCAAACCACGGCCGGCTGCGGAGCACCTGTGCGAGCGACGGCAGGTCGGGGGCAGCACACGCGCCCCGCGGGGAGGCGGTGGCAGCAGACAGGGGCGCCGCCCCAGCGGCCCCCGCGGCGGTGGGCAGCAGCACCGAGCCCCGTGCGGCCACGCCCCCGCCTGAGGGCCAGACTGGCGCCCACGTGACAGCGTGCTCACACCCCGCCCTGCACACGGGCACCCACGGATTTGGAACCCGGCACGTGCACGGACACACAGGGCACTGGAAGACCGTTAAAGAGCCGGAAACAGGCCCCCCTCCCGCCCCCGAGGAGACGGGGGGGGGGGGCGCGGGGGGGGGGCGGCCGCAGACACGCACCTCCCCCAGGCTGGGCCCCGGGTGCTCGCACACGGAGCGCGCGGCGCCGGGCGGGCTGGCCAGCAGCAGGTGGGTCCACGTGGCCGAGGCCTGGTGCCCGTGCAGAAGGTCCTTCACCAGCCAGCAGCAGAACAGGGGGGCGGGGCCTCGCAGCTCCACCCGCTTCACCTGGAACTGCACACCTGCGGGGCGAGAGCACACGGCCCTCCGCTGACCGCTGACCGCACCCCGACGGTGTCGTGACCCAACGAGCACACGACCCCGGGCAGCACGGAACCACACGGGGGGCCTGGGGGGGGGCGCGGGGGGCACGGGGTCGGGGGGAAACAGGGCCTCGCCCTCCCGACCCTGGGGCTGGGCCTCGCTCGGGGGAGGAGTGTGGACGACCCAGCGGGACGAACCGCCGGCTGCGGGCCCCGCGCGACCCGGGGCCACACTCGCTCTCCCCCGGCCCCTGGGCGTGCACCCCGACCAGCGGCTTTCACGGGGAGGGGGCTGACAGGTGCTTTCACGTCCTGCTTGTTTACATCGTCAAGTGTTTTTAAGCGTAACTTGTGCATTACTGAAACTACGTTTTTAAAGTGTAGGAACAACAATACAAAACCAGCGATAAACGACTGGCTCAAGCAATGTAGCCTGTTAAGTAGTTAGGAAAGGTTTTTAAAAAGGGAAGTAAAACAGCCCTGGCTGGCGTGGCTCAGTGGACTGAGTGCCGGCCTGCACACTGAAAGGGTCGCTGGTTCCATTCCCGGTCAGGGCACAGGCCTGGGTTACACTCCAGGTCCCGGTAAGGGGCATGGGAGAGGCAACCCCACACTGATGTTTCGCTCCCTCCCCATCGGTCTAAAAATAAATAAATAAAATCTTAAAAAAAAAATAAAGGAGAGTGAAACAACTCTCCCCGAGGGGCGAGGGGCCAGCGCAGGAGTGAGCACAGTGCCCTCCGGCAGCACGGGCGTCTCCCCACGGCCCCTCCAGCCCCAGGAGGACCCAAGGCTCCCCAGCCCCGGGCACGTGCGGTGGTCCTGACGCTCAGTGGGTGCACGGGGACCCCGGGCCCTCGCAGCCGAACCTTCTGCCCTCGGGCCCCGGGAGCGGGTCGCCCCGGCCAGCACGTACTCAGCAGCGAGCCGTCGCGGTGGCAGCAGCTCCCGGCGTAGGTGCCCTCCAGGATCTCCCGCTGCTGTGGGCTGGGGGCCTTGGGCGTCCCCGAGCCGTCCCCTCTCACGGGCGTGGAGGTGACCTGGATGCCCAGCCAGGGCTCCCCCGACGGGCGTGTGTCCGCAGGGACGGCGCCCAGCCCGGAGCAGGCGCCGCCAGGACTCTGCCTGCCGCTCTCATGGTCTCGCTCCAAGGTGTCAGATGGTTCTGTCCGATCGAGGTCCAGGTGGGTCTCCCGGAACCGCCGGCCCTCGCCGAAGTTGAAATAGGTGCCAGTCAGCAGCGACAGCTCCCTGTCGTCCAGGTCCTCGGCCCGGGGCCCGGGCCCGGCGCTCAGGTCCCCCTCGGAGCCCGCCAGGGAAGCAGCGGCGGTCCCCACGCCCTCGGACGAGGCGCAGGAGCAGTCGGAGGAAGTCCGGTCTGTCCATTTGCCGAAAAACAGGTCCTTGGGGTCCCAGGAAAACGTGGTCCCATCGGCCTCCGGGGCCTCCGCGGCGTCCGGGGCGCCGGGGAGGTCTGTGGCGAGGGCGTAGCAGGCCGAGGAGCTGCCGGAGCGGCTGCCCAGCAGGTCCCCGTCCCCCAGGTCGCACAGCAACACGGGGGCGGCCAGGAGCCGCTCGGCGGGGGGGACACCCTGAGGGCCCCCAAGGCTCAGCCGGGACAGCTGCTCCTTCAGCAGGCAGGCCTGCAGCTCTTCCCTGTCCTCCTGCGTCCCCCGCCACGGCTCCTCCGCGGCAGGCTGCGAGAGCCGGGCCGTCTCCGGCGGGCGAGGCGCTGCGTCTGGGCGCCCCTGGGGCGTGCTGAGCCCAGGCTGGGGCCCAGGGTGCAGCAGCGGGAGGCCCACCCCCGCAGGCAGCCCCCCTGCGTCCGCCCGATGGCCGGGGTGGCTGGGCGCGCTCACGCCCCTGCCCTGCAGCTGCGCTTCCTGGGACAGGCCACGCCCCTCGGCCCCGCTCCTGCCCTTGGCCGGGGCCAGGGCTCCGGGACCGTCACGAGAACCGACCAGCCTCGCGTCCGCTGAGTCAGACCTGCCTGACTCCCCCGAAAGCTCCTGCCCGCGTGTTCCTGGTGCTGCCGGCGCCCGCTCCTCCGGGACCCTGTCCCGCTGGCCCTCGGGCGGCGACCGTCGCCGGGCTGGTGGGTGTCCTTCCTCCGCGGGGCCGTCCGCCCTGGGGGTGCAGAGCAGGCGACACAGCTGCTCGGGGACCACGGGAGGCAGAGCGCAGACCACGCGCACTGCCTCCCGCGGCAAACGCCCACAAAGCACTTAACAACAAGGACGGCGACGGGAAGAGACAGGGTTCTGTGACCGACTCAGTGAACGAAGCACCAACTCGCCCGCTGCCTAGCCAAGGGCTCGTTTGGTGCGATCGGCCGGAGAACGCCGGGCGCCAGGCCCGGGCGCCGACGGCAATGTCCGCCAGAGACCAGGGCCCCGCGGAGGGGGTGGGGGGGCGACACTGAGAGTTTTCTGCCCTGCCGGGCCGCCGGCCCTGTGCCGGTCTCGGAGCTGCAGGTCCTGCGCGGGACGCAGCTGAGGCGGGAGGGTCTAGTTCCCCTCCAGGAGCAGGGCAGGCGGCCCCTCGGATGGGGGCCTGGGGTCAGGTCCCCTCAGTCTCTGCCCCTCTCCAGCAGCCGGTGCCACTGTGTCACCGAATTCTGGCCAAGGAGAAGGGAGGAAGTGTGGGGACAACCCTCCCCACCTCCATCCCCTCCTCCACTGGCAGGTCAGCAAGCCGTGGGGAGCATGGGGACCCGGGCACCCGGCTTCTCGTGCCTCAGCCCCAGGCCTGGAGTCTGTGGGCCACTGGGCTCCTCACCAGCCAACGAGACGGGGGCCGGGCCCGTCCATGCGGCACCCTCGCTGCACAGCAGCTCCCCAGGCGCTCAGCGGCTCAGGGCACGGCGCAACCCGCCCCCACTGGGACCCTGCGTGGGCGCCCACAGCATGCCCCTGCCGGGGCAGAGCCACCCCCCACCCGTGGGTGAGCCAGGGCAGTGAGGGGTCAGCAGCTGGCAGCACCAGCAGGGGGCCGGCACCACGGCGAAGGAGGGGAAGCCAGGCAGCCCGGACACACCCAGAGGCCAGAGCCCCATGATCTGAAGGTGACCCTGCTTCACTCAGCTCCCTGGAAACTGCCAAGATGCTTCTGTCCGGGTAAGATGGGGGCCGAGCCGGGTACCCGCAGGCCCCGAGCACTTACCCCAGACTCGGCGGGGGTGTGTGTGCAGAAGGGGGCGGGTCTCTGGTGTCCTCTCGGGCCTGGGCCACCGAGCCGGCGTCCTGGCCTTCCTCCGGCTCTGTGGGGCTGTCCGGCGTCCGCACGGGGTCGCCAGCGAGCAGGGCGTTAACCCCTGGGTGCAGCAACAGCAGCAAAAAAGAGTGTTTTCCACTGGAGGGCGGGGGGCAAACTCCCTCTGCCTCACGCTCAAGACTGTCCCGGCCCCGGTCATCTCAGGCCGGCGCCCTCTGCCCACTCCACCGCACTGTCCTGGGCCCTGCACTGGGCCGGCACGGACCCACCGACACCAGAGTCGGAGCAGGGCCCTCGCCATCCCTCCGGCGGCTGTGCGCTGACTCGGGGTGAAAGCCGCCATCCCCGAGATGACGCCCACGGACCTGTGACCGGACCCCCATGGCCCTCCCAGAGCCACACCCGGCCCGCCGCCTGCTGAGAGCAGCGACAAGCAGCGGGGGGTGCGGAGCCCCCTGCAGCTGCTCCGGGCGCCTGACCGGGGAAGGCGGGCCCCCGGGAGGCTGCGGGGCCTGCCCCCCTGCCCCCGCTCCTTCAAGCCCAGGGGCCCCAGCCCCAGGCTCCAGGGCAGGGGTCCCTCCAGGGCAGGAGCCGTGCGCACCCCTCCCCCACCGGGCACGGAGAAGCCCCAGGTCCTCGGCCCGATGACACATGAGTGAGACGCAGACGCGCCCCGTGTCCCAGAAGCACTGCAGGGCCAGCAGAGATGCAGGCCATCGGCTCACGCTCAGCCCTGCCCTCCCCCCCGTCCCGCCGACACCCCCACGGAGGCGCAGGCAGGCCCCCAAGGAGCAGAAGGCCGGGCCTCACCCTCAGCGGTGGTCCAGCTGTGCAGGGCGTCCCCGGGCAGCCCCCCAGGCCCACGCAGGCTGCCCGCGTCCAGGCGGCTGACCGGGTCCGGCAGGGGAGACGAGGTGTCGGCACACGCGAGGCCCATGTGGTGGTAGAAACCTGGGATCAGGAAGGTGATGTTCTAGAAAACAGACAGCGGCGCTCAGACCCGCCGGGGCCCTGGCCCGTGAACTGCCCGCCCTCCCTCTGGGGCGCAGCCAACACAGGGCCCGGGTCTCTGGGGTGCCGCCCCCTCCACGTGAGGGAGGCGGGGTCCAACTCCTGGGCACAGCCCGCAGGTCCCGACCCTCCACGCAGAATCTGTGGCTTCTCTCCTTTTTTTTTTAAAGATAAAACTAGCGCACCCTGAAGCCAGCGACCCCGCTGTCCTCCCGTCCTCCGAGCAGGCGTGTGGCCGTCACCCCGGCCGGCACACGCCCCACTCCGCGCGTCCTGCCCCGGGAGGACACGAGGGCCTGGGCAGCACAAACCGGCCCCCGGGGCACGGCGGGGCCTGCGCCTCCACACCGGCGCGGCCTCAGCGCCGTGGGCCGAGCCCAGGGGTGCGAGGACAGGCGCTCCCCCCGAACCTGCATGTGGCCCCACCCCCAGGTGGCCCCTGGCCGGGGGAATCCAGAACACGCACTAACACGCGCTAACACGCGCTAACACGCGCTAACCCTGAAGGGGCCTGTGCCCTCCCTGTTCCTGCTGGAATCCCTCGTCCAAATCTCATGCCGAGTCTCCGTGACCTTCAGCCGGACTGTGAGCCTGGGGGCCAACACCACGGGGAACGGAAGGGGCTGTCCCAGCTGGAACTCGCTCAGAGGGCCGACGTGGGACCCAAACGCGTCCCTGCCGCCCACCCCCCTGCGGCGGCCTGTTTGCAGCGGCGGACACAGCGCCACGCCGCAGCCTCGGGCCAGAAAAAAGGGGCGGTCGCCGCCCTGGGGCGTGGAGACACCCGCCTCCCACGCTCAAGGAGCCGAGAGACCTCGGCCCCGAACGGCCACAGAAACACCTTCCTCCGAGCCTGGCTGAAGGACAGGCGCCCCCAGTCGTCCCCAGGCCAGTCGGGGGACCTGGGCACCAGCCCACGCCCACGACCTCGACACACAGCCGGGGCCCAGACGGGCTCAGGACGGGGCTTCAAGGCCAGAGCCCCTCCCCCTCCTGGCGCGGCCTGGGGATGGTCCGGGGGTCACAACATGGTGTCTGCTCAGCGTGGGGTCCGGAAAAGGGGGCAGGGAACCTGTCCCGGCTGCATGTCCACCGCCGTGAAGTGGGAAGCACAGACCGGGGGCCCACGCACACCCTCCCCCCGGCGGGCACAGACCAGCTCCACCCCGGGGACTCGGCCAGCACTTGGGGGGGGCCCACCTTGCCCAGCAGCTCGGCCCGCCCGTAACCGAACAGCATCAGCGCGAAGCTGTGGTTGATGCCGTAGATGGTCCCGTCTGGCAGGAGCGTGATGAGGCCGCTGATGGTGAAGAACACCCAGACGGACGCCGAGTAGCCCGGCTCGGGGGCCGCCGGGCCAGCTCCCGCCTCCTCCGCCCGGCCGGTGGGTTTCAGCTTCAGGCTCAGGGGGAAGGTGGTGCCGTCCTTGGCTCTGCCGACAGACCGCTGAATCTTAAGGCTCTGCAAGGAAGGCGCCTCGTGAGACCCAGCTCCGGGCTCTGCGGCCCGAGACCACCCCTCGCTGGCCTGCCGGGGGCAGGAGGGAGCGCCCGGCCAGCCAGCTCCACGCGGCCACCCCCTCCCCGCAGCCCCCGGGATGGGCGGGCCGGCAGCCGGGCCCTACCGGTGGGAGCCGCTGGCCCGGCACGGGGAGCTGCAGGGAGGGGATCAGGTCCGTGAGGCGCTGCCCGGCCACCGCGTCCTCACGCTCGTAGCCGTGCAGCCGGGCGAAGACGCTGTCGCAGGAGGTGACGGTGCCCTGGGGGGGAAGGAGGGGGCTGGTCTCCCCAGGAAGGACGTCGTCCTCTGGCCCTGGGACGGCCACCCCGCGAGGGGCTGCGACTGGGTGCTGGTCTCACACAGGCAGAAACCAAAGCTCGAGGAGCTGGGGCTCCGCGCCCCAGGGCAGGGGGGGCTCAGCAGGTGGGGGGGGCACCCACAGGACCCACAGGCACGGGTGGGTCCTGAGGGACGCAGCCAACTCACGTCGCCCTGGAAGCAGACCCAGGCCGAGACCCGCTCCACGGGCTCCAGCACGACCACGCAGCACGGCCGCGGCTCCTGCCTCAGCCTCCTCATCCACACGGACACCGGGACGCGCTCCCCACCGCGGCCCACCACCTCCACCTGCGGGAGAGGACCAGCCGCTGCACCTGCTGCCCCGCACCAGGCCCGCCCCTCCCCCCCAGGCGTGTGGCGCGTTCAGGCTCAGCTCACGGGCCCGACACTCAGACACGAACCCGAGTGCGGGCCGGGCGTCTAGCCCTGGGCCCCGAGGGGGAGCGGGCGTCACTGTCACCAGTGCCTGCGGTTTCTCAAACACACAGGCACAGACGTGCGAGCGTCTTCGCCCCCTCCTCTCAGCACCCAGGGCCCAGACGGGCGACTTCCAGGGGTGGGGGTCCTGCCTCACTCCTTCCAGGGCCTGGGGCTCGGGGCCCAGAGTCGGACACGCAGTTCGACCTGCCCAAGTCCGGGCTGGACACGTCACACGGCCGGAGCAGCGGGGCTCCGGGAAGCCTTCCCAGCCGCGCCGCCCCCAGCGCCCCCACACAATGAAGCACGTTTCTCTCTGGGGAACCAGGCAGGTGTGGTGCCCACAGGATCGCGGGTGCCAGGCCAGCGGCAGCGGCCTCTGTTCTGCTGTGTCCCCCGCCGCCCCAGCTGAGCCCCCGCGGCACGCTCCGCTGGGCAGCCGGCCCCCACGGCCACGCTCACCACTGTGCCGAACACCACGGCGGCGTGGCCGTCGGCCTCCACGTGCTCCTCGCTGAGCGCCTCCACCACGTCGCAGTCCGGCTTCAGGAAGAACTGCGTGAGCTTCTGGCCAATCAGGTCGTGGCTGCTGTGCCCCAGGAGCCGGCAAGCATTGTCGTTGGCGACCAGGATCTGCGTGTGGCGGGGAGAGGACCCCGGCATCAGCGGTACTACCTCTGACTGCCGGGCACCCCATGGGGAGGGAGACCCGATCTCTCCCAACCACCTGCCGTGGACGGGCTCACACGGTGACACCCTTGGGACCCCCGCGTCTCCACCGAATGGAAACAAGAACACCCCCGATCAGTGCCCAGGTCACGAGCCCTGCGCCCCCCAAGACGGGCACGCCGTCAAGACTGTGAGGCAGCGATGGACCCACGCCACCCCTCCCCCCGGGCAGGCAGTGCCCGATCTCCGGACAGGAGTGCGTCCACACTGACACGCACCCCTCCCAGTCCCGTCCCGCCAGCCCCGGCGAGCTGGCTCAGGTGAGTAGCCGGCTCCTCCTCTCCCCGGGCCTGTCCTGACGCCGGGACCCAGCGGGTCCGACAGCCATGCTCACGTCTCCAGACTCACCTCTTTCGCTACCACACAGGTAAAACCAAACGTTTTTCTAACTGCACTTAAGACGCACGAGCACCTCGGGATGAGGTTACGGGTTCAAGGTGCGGACCCCAGACCCACGGCCTCCTCACGACGCGCAGCAAATACCTCCGAGGTCTTGGGGTCCACTGTGAAGACAGCCTTGTTGGGGTTGCCGGCGGGGGCCGGGAGCAGGGGCGTGGAGCACCCCGAGGACAGGCCGCGCAGCAGCGAGCAGCAGGACGTGCTGCCCGGCGGCGCGGCCAGGCTGGCCTGCTCGGCCAGGGCTGGGCACGGCCCTTTGCCCGTGCAGATGTTTTGGGCGGCCAGTGACGAGAGGCAGTAGGAGCTCCATCTGTCTCCTGAGAGAAAAGGGAAGGGAACCTCAGACCCTGGGGCTGCCAGGAGCTCACTTCTGAGATGCAAAAAGCCCCCTCCCCCGTGGCCCCCCGCGCCCCCCTGCACCCTGAGGAAGGACGAGGTCGACTCCCAGGCCCACGGTGCTGGGTGTGTCGGAATGGGCCCCAGAGTCCAGCTAAGCTCCCCAGGGGCTCCCCGGTCAGCAGGGCCGTGTCCCCAGAACCCAGCGTTTCTGTGCAGAGGACGCTGAGGTCCCCACCACCTGCCCAGCCACGGGGCGCTCTCCCGCGGCTGCCGCTCCAGCACTCACCGCCCAGCTGCGGCCCCGTCCCTTCAGGTGCCGCCCGCCGTCTCCACCCTCCTCCCTCGGCTCTGCTGCACCATCGTCACCCCTCACGTCCTCACCTCCGGAGAGTCCGCTCCGGCTGCGCCCCAGCCACCCCGGCTCCTGCCACGCCCACCCTCGGCGCCGCACCCCACCCAGCCTCCACCGGCCGCTGAGCCTCTGCTCTCCTCACGGCTCCGGCACCGCGCCCCCGCCCCCCCCGGTCTCAGTGACGGCAGCCCCTCGCTGCAGGGGCTCAAGAGCCACACCAGAGTCACCCCCTGTCCCCGCTGAGTCCTCACTGAGGAGCCCACACCTTCCCAGTCGGCGGCCACACTGGACCGGACACCCCTGGCTGCCCAGGTCCCCTCTGGAGGCAGCCGGTCCCGAGGTCAGGTCCGCCTCTGGCCTCCAGACAGTCCCTGCGGCGCCAGCCCTGCCTCGGCTGCCCAGCGGCCTGGCCCTGGGCCCGCGCACAGGCTGGGGGGCGCCCCCTCGTGACCCCACCCCCTCCAGGGGACGAGCTCCTCAGAGGCAGAGTGACACTGTCTTCCGCGCTGGGTCTGGGCCGCGTGAGTCTGGGCTCTGGCCGACGGGGAGAAGCCAGCGAAGGGAGGGGCCGCCCCAGTCGGGACGGCGTCTGCCCCTGCCTGCCTGCCGTCCCCTCACGGGTCCCAAAGGGCCCGAGTCTCTGTGCAGTCGGTGGGCGCCAGCCCAACTAGACCCACAAACCCGCAGCGGGACTGCGAGGCCGAGGCCCCCCACCCCCGGGACAGCACTGCCCACACTCTGCGGCGGGAGAGGACTCGGGCTCCGGCCTGGCCCTGAAATGCGGAGGGAACCCCAACTGCTGCCTGAAAAGGAGCGCTTCCTGCCCAGGAGCCTCACAGAGCCCACGCCGCAGGGAGGGCCTGCAGGGCCCTCTCTCTGCAAGGACAGGGACCGGACGCCCACGCGGCCACACGGGGTCGTCACCGGAGAGCGCCATCCTGCTCTGGCAGAGCTTCGAGAGCCCATTCCTCCTGCTCGGGTGTCTGTGGGCCGAGGACACAGACTTGCTGGGCTGGGGGGGGCTCTGCGCGGCCGGGCCCCCGCACTGGCTCCTCGGGTCCTCTTCCGAGGCTGGCGGGCCTCCGTCCTCCATCGGGGGCCGGTGGGCCGGGGAGCGACCGCCAACTGCGAAACAGGGGACCCCCGCTCAGCGCCCGCACTGCGAGTGTGTGAAGGTGGGTTAGCCAGCGAACTCCTCCCAAGGCAGCGTGACGCTCGGCCCCATGGGACTCCCGCACCCACCTGCTCCTTGGGCCGGGACCTGCGAGCTGCGGGGGGCAGACCAAAGTCCTGCTCGAAGGCGCCCTTCCGAGGCCTGCGGGGGAAGAGGCGGGAGGGAGGAGGGAGAAACAGGCCAGGGCGGGAGGGGGCCGTGGGCTCCGTGAGCCCCATTTGTGACTTTGCATCCGGCAACAACAACACGGGGTGAAGTCACACCCCTGTGACTTACCGTATACAAATTCATTCCGGACGAATTTCGGACCAAAAGACAAAAGTTTCAGAAAAATTAAGATGAAGATTCCAGCAGACCGGATGAGCGGCCGTGCTGTCTCAGAACCAGAGCTCATCGAGAGCACCGTCTCTGTGGCATCTCTGCACCACCCGGCAGCAGGAGACACTTCCAAAAGGCACGAGCCACACACGAGCGCTGACACCAGGCCTGCGGGAGCGAGTCGTCCGAAAGGGCCTGGGGAGCAGCCCCGGGACCCCCAAAGCAGCCAGCGACCCTTAACGAGGGCCAGGGCTGCCCTGACGCGGCAGCACCCCGGGCCCTGGTGGAAGCCGCCCCGTCCGAGGCAACGCACCCCATGCACAGGCCCGCGGTTTTCCAAGGACCGCGAGCAGCCAGGTGCGCTCTCCCCCCCACCAGCGGGCAAGGAAGCCGCCGCGGCGACCGCGTGCAGGAGGCAAGCGACGTGTTTGGGTCCGCGACGCTTCGGCGGCAGAAACACCTGCGCTCGTTCAAAAGTGTGGAGCACCGGGTCGCGAGGCAGGAGAGGGCTTCCCACGCAGCTGGCTAGACTTCGGAAGACAGAAGCTTTTCGGAAATGAGACTGTAAGCTTTAGTGTCAGAAACAGTGTTTGAGACTCACCCTGTCCCACAGAGAAAACCCGGGACCCGCAGGCCTCGCTGGCGGAAGCTCAAGGAGGACACTCAAGGAGGACGCTCAAGGAGGACACTCAAGGAGGACGCTCAAGGAGGAAGCAGCACCGACACCACACGGGCTCTTCCGGGAACGAGGGAGGAGGAGACCGTCCAACCCGCTCTCTGAAACCGGACGGGGGCGTCGCCGGAAGGAAAACTGCAGACCGGGACTCTCGCGGGCACGGGTTTAAAAGGCTTCCACAAAATCCTGGCAAACCCGTCGAGCGACACGTGGAAAGGGGAACACGCTACAGGAATGACAGGCCCGTTCAATGCTCAAAAACCAGTCCCAGGCAACCCACCACACGAGGAGGCTAGAGAAGAAAACTCACTGTCACACCGACTGGTGCAGAACAAGCACTGGACGAACCCCCGCAGCCCTTCCCGACAAGACACACCCCACAAGCAGGAACCCAGGGAAAGCCCGCAGCCCCGCGACCGGGGCCGGGGCGAAAAGCCTGCGCCAGCAGCACTGGGCTGGGAGAGGCAGCACCTCCCGCCTGAGGTCCGCGCGGGGCCCGGGGCCACTCAAGCCTCTCCCAGCCACGCCCTCGAGGGGGTCCAAGCCGGTGCCCAAGGCAAGAAAAAGAAATGACGGGAACACGCGGGAAAGAGGGCGGGAAGCCGTCTCAGGTCACGGAAGGCACGGTGGTCCACAGGGAAGTCCGAGGGACTCTGGGGTTGGTACACCCACCCTCCTCAAAGGAGGTGGGAGGAAAGGGGGCGCGCAGACAGGCCACGAAAGGCGCGGACACCGCCAAGAAGCCCATGAGGGAATGTCCGAGCCCCGAGCCGTCAGGGAAACGCCCGTCGAGCCCACCACGAGCTGTCGCGGCGCAGCCACCGGGGGCGCCGAGAAGGAAAGGACGAAAACAGGAAGCGCCGGCGGGGTCGGCGGGGTCGGCGGGGTGCGGAGCCGCCGGACGCCCGCTGCACTGACCACTGACCGTGGGGGAGCGTTCGCGCACAGGCACCGCGCCGGGCGGCCGCTGGGGGGCGCCCGGGGACCCGGAGCTCGCGCGCACCCGTCCGCAGACCCCCCCACCCCCCCACCCCCGAACGTGCACGGCCGGAGCGGGGAGCAGCCCGGCGGCCGCCGTCAAGCAAACAGAGCCCGTCCACCCTCGGAGTCGTGCCGGCAGTGACGGCGAGTGCGCCCGTGACACCCACCGACGGCGGCCGTGTGGAGAACGGCGAGCTCGCAGCGCAGCCAGGCCCCTCTGACGCCACACGCCGGAGAGGACGACCCTCATTCCCGGGGACGGGGACGGGAAGCCCCGCAGGGCGCCTCCAGGGCAGCGGCGGGGGGCCAGTGGGGGACGCCGACGAAGGGCAGAGGAAGTTCGTAAGGCCAGGAAAACACCCCCCGGCGTGACCCTGGTCGTGCCAGCACAGGGCGCGCATCTCAAAGGTCACTGGACCAGCTGGAGGCATTGTATTGTGTGCAAATTTTATCTCAACAGAGTTCATTTTCAGTGCCAGCGATGGGCAAAGCAGGCACGCAGTTAGAGCTGAACAGAAAACTCGTGCACTGGGAGATACATGTGATTCAAGGGCCTGGAATGCAGCCCAGAAGCAAGAACATAAGAATACGAGAGGAGCTGAGGCACAGGCTGAGCTAACCTGACGCCTGCTGGAGAGAGAAGGGAGAGGAAGCGGTATCTGGGGAGGTAAAGTGAGCATGCTCAACAGCAGAGACTAAGCCCGCAGGCCCGAGCCCCCAGCCGGTGCTCAGCCCACCAGGCGTGAGCACACACTATGAAGCCCAGGCACTGTGCCTCTGGGCCACGGTGCTGATGTGACTGCAGGAATGACCACGAGGATCAAAGGGACAGCATGGAGCCGACCCTGGGACCCGCCCAGGAGGGCAGCAGTGAAACAGCTGTCACCACACCACGTAAAAAACCAACACCCAGGGCCAGACTTAGCTTGTGAAAGCCAAACACAAAATTTTAGAAGAAAATCAGACTTCCTACAAGACTTCGGGTTGAAAGAGTTTTCTTAAACATGACATGAAAAGTTCTAGCTATAAGATAAGGTTGATAAATCTAACATTAAAGTTGAGAATATCTATTCACAAAAAATATCATAAAGAAAATGAACTAAGCCACAACTTGGGGGAAGATATTTGTGACATATATTACCAACAGAAAACTGATATCCAGGACACTTTAAAAGGTCCATAATTTAAAATTTAAAAGACGAAGAGCCCGACAGAAACATGAACAGGAGAAGAAGAACCTCAAATAACAAGAACCTCACAGAAGAGGGAGCCCTGGTGGGCAGTGACCCTACAGCAAGAGGCTTAACTCTGTGGGCAGAACCATGAGGACCTCACACCTACTGAGTCAGCAAAAGTTAAAAATCCTGGTAAGACCAAATGCTGATGAAGAGGTGGCTCGATGGGGACACTGTAAGTCAGGTGTTCGCCCACCCTGACAGCATATCCCTCCCGTGCATCTGCATCCCGCAGGGACTCTTTCAGTGGCCAGCAAGTCACACCAGAATGCTCAGGGCAGCGTGGGTCACACCGCAAAACCGACACACAAACCACACACCCTAAACATCCACCAGCAAGAAAACAGATGGAAAATTCTGGTGTCGTCATGTCCTAAATCACGGAGTGAAGACAAACGTTACATGTACAACAAGGGTAAATCTCAGCCACATAATAAGTGTGTGGGGGGGGGGATCAAGTTACAGAAGACTATCAACAGCAGGACTCCCCCCAATCTAAGTATGTCACTTAGGGACACACACGTATGTGACAAACCCAAACCTTGGGCAGAGGCTTCCTCCGCGGGCCCAGCAGCAAGCCGGCCTGGTGAGGACACGATGGCCCTGGGTCCCTCGGTTCCAAAGGGGAGTGGTGGGTTTAAATGGTTCACATCACTGTTACGATCCACAAGTAACACTCCGTTTATCCTGTTGTATGCATCAACTAGTGTATACGGAAAAGTCCCAGATGTTTTATACACACACGAAATATCCAGCATGGGATCCTGAAAAGCAACAGCTGAATGAACAGGAGGCTACAAAGAAAAATAATAGTAAAACCATCAGAATACGTTGCTTTTCTTCTAGTGGCAACATTTCCATGTCACAGGTTTATATTTCTCTGGGTGTCTACAATTCCTACTCCCACGACCAGCCCACAGACAAAACCACAGAAGACTTGAGTACAATTTGAGTACACTGTAAATCTTAAAAAAACTTACTTTGTAATAAAAAAAAGCACTAAAACTCTCCAGAATACACTGTAATTGTTATAAAACTTTGCTTTGTAAAAGTAACAAGAACAAGGAGGTGGGGAAGGAAACATGAAGGGAGGGTAGGGGCAAGAAATTTCATCTTTCCCCAAAAGAGGTAAATAGTCCTAAATTGACAAACCAAAAGGTGGGGTGCAGGAAAGACACACCCTTTTCCCCCGTGTGCTGCCTGTGTCAGCTGGGGGCCGGCTCGGCCCTGCAGGTCCCTCCCTGGGAACCCCAGGGACCAGAAGGAGCCTCCAGGGCCTCTGGTCTCCAAGTGCGGAGTCTGGTCTCACGGCACCTCCACTACTCAGGTTCAGTTCTGAGTCAAACAGCAACCAGAAGTGTGTGCAAGTCCAGGCCTAGGTGTTTTGCTGTCGCTGCTGTTTTAAAGCAACAACATGCCAGTTTGGGATTTGGGGAGGGCTGTGCGGGGGCTGAATGAAGGGGGACTATCACAGGACCTGAACCCAGAGAGGACCTCATGCTGCCTTGGAGGAATCCTGCGCCTGTCGCCACTTTTGATTCCAGAAGGCAGGAGGGACCCAGCTCAGTCAGACCCAAGGGAAGCCAGGAGAGGTTTACAGGGAGCTTCTGGGGCAGCACTCCTTCTCTGATGGTGACCTCCCAGAAGCCACCGTCTTCCTGCCACCAGAACACAAGCGGGAGAGCAAACAGCTCCAGCCGCTCCACCACTGCCGTGCGACCAAGAGCACGGCCAGCCTCCAGATGAAGCCAACAACCTGTGGGCAGCACAGGACAAGATGGCAAGAACGTCGCTTGCAGCCACCAGTGAGCCCACCCTAAAACCTGCCTTCCTCGGGGCTTTAGGTGTGGAGCCAAGGACTTCAGGGCCGTCAGAGCCCTGTTGAGACTGTGTCTCTGTTTCTTGCATCAAGCCACCCTGAACAACCCCAGGATTATGGCTGTTGTCACAGAGCGTGAAGGTGAAGGCTTCCTCAAGCGCCCCCCACCGCCCACCCAGGGCTGCACAGGCCGGATGAAGACGCCGTCCAGGCAGCGCCGCCCCCAGGCAGAGACACCCACTGCCCTGAGGGAGGAGCAGCCCCACCATCTCCCAGGGCCTGCCAGAGCAGTGTGGGTTCTGTCCCTACGGACTGACTGCAGTGAGCTCCCCGCTGGGGAGCAGCAAGACCAGAGGCACATTTTATAAAGATCACTCCGGGGGCAAGCACGGGCGGACGGATACGCGGAGAGGAAGGTTACAGGAATGCAGGCAAGAAATCACGAGGTCCTAAATGAAAGCGAAGGCAGAAAGACGGCCGTGGAACCCGCAGAGAAGACACGAGCCAGAACCGCCGGCGGTTCACAGGGCGAGGAGGTGAGAGAATGAAAGGCGTCAGGACCACATCCGCAGTCTCAGCTCAGGCCACCGCCTGAGAAAGAAAAACCGTTCCCCGGGAAAGAAAAACGGGCGGAGACGAAAGGCAGGAGAAAGCAGGGTGTGCATGGGACGTCCGAGTGAAGATGCCGGGAGGCTGTGGGCTGCACCCAGAGCTCACGCACTCATCCGCAAACATGGACCGAAAGCTCCTAGCGCCGGGCACCGTCCGCAGCTGATCAAGACACGGTCACCGTTCCGGAGCTCAGCTCCTCGGAGGACAGGCGATAACAATGGATAAAGCGCACCCAGTGAGCTCCGGGGGAGCACGGGCGCCGGGCGGGCCGAGCCAAGGAGACAAGAGGACCAGGGAGCTCCGGCTGGGCCCCGGGGCGCGGCGCGGCGCGGGGTAAACGGCTGCAGAGCGGCGGGCCTCCTCCGCGCCGGAGACACACAGAAGGGAGCCGGCAGCGGCGAGGACACAGCGCTCCGGCTGGCTCGCCCAAACGCCGCGCTGGGCCGGGAGACCGGACCCCGCGGAGGCCCAGCCACTTCCCCGAGAGCAGGCATCTCACCTGGTGCTGAAGACGATTCCCGGCCAAGCTGGCTTCACCCTGCCGCGCGGAAACCGATCCTGGTCTCCACTCTCCCGGCCAATCGCAGAGCAGTTCATAGTGATCGACAGCCCCCCTGGACCAACCACTGGCGCCTGTGGGCGGGACTCAGCCAGTTTGAGTGGAGAAACCCGCGCTGACGGTTGCTAAGGACGCATGAGACTCCTACGGCGCCTCCGAGGAGCCAAAAGAAATAGCGCCTCTGACAGCCCGGTCCCGCAGACTCCGGTTCCTCAGGTCTCGGGATCGAGAAGGGGAGCACTGCGGAGCTCTTCCTCAGCGGCCCCGGCCTGGAAGTGAGGGCTACCGCGTCGGCTCCCTCACGGACCCAGAGCGCCCGTGGGGCCGAGGACCCACGAAGGTTACTGCGCCCGCCGTAGACTTGATCGGCGTCCGGGGTCCAGAGCGGCTGTCCCGGCACCTGCGGGGAAGCCGGCCCCCAGCCCCGGCGCGAGCGCAGGCGCCCGAGCTGAACCCGCCTTGCGCTGAGCGTTAACTGGAGGCGGCCCCTTCACACGGATTAAGTCCGCGCGGCGACGCCGGACGAAGTAGACCCATTTTGCAGAAGCGGCCGGTGAGGCCCGGAGGCCCGCATATTGCAGCCCCACGCAGAGACCCGCTACGAGCCAGCGCATCTCCCAGTTTTTTCTCTCCGTGGCTGCGTGTTTCCACCCTGCCACTCCCTGCCTTCTCCGTTCCTCGCCTCCTGACGCCTCCAGACGTTCTTAAATTACCTGCCCGGGGGAGGTGAGGCGAACAGCCTCAGGGATGAACTACAACTCCCATGAGGCGCTGGGGCCGTGCAAGCGCTTGAGGTTCAGCCTCCCCTGCGCTGGGATTCCATTGGCTGGGCGCGGTCTAGGTTGGGAGTCCTGATTGGCTGAGAGACCTGAGGCGACAGATTCCGGAAAGGGGAAAAAGCAGCGGACATGGCGGCGGAGCGCGGCGCGGGTCAGCAACTGTCGCAGGAGATGATGGAGGGTGAGCAGCCCCGCGGGACGGCGGTCAGAGGCCCCGGCGGGCGGGGGGCGGCGGTCCGCAGCGGCCTTGCCCGAGAGAAACGGGGGCTTCCGCCTCTGGTCGGGGCCCAGGCCCCGCGCGCGGCCCCTGACAGCTGCCGGCCGGCTCGGAGGGGCGGGGGCTGCCCGGAGGGCGCGGTAGCCCGGGGGGCGCTGGCCGCGCGGAGAGCGGCGCCCAGGGGTGGGGGCTGAAGGCGCGGTGGTAGCGCCGCCCCGGCGTCCACCTGCTGCTTGGAGACTCGCCCTGACCCTCCGACCTGACCCGCGGGTCGATCCCCGGGCACTTGGCTAGTGGGGGGCTCATAGGGGAGCGTGGCCGCCGCAGAGAAGGATCCTCTCGAAAGCAGACGGACTGTGGGGAAGGGTGACAAGCGGCCGAGGGCTTGGTAGAGACCACCGGGGCCAGTTTGTAAAGTTATCACAGTTCTGCAAAGACCAGATTCGGCTCTTTCACTTTGTTGAGAAAGATGGTGAGCAGATCTGTGCGTGAGGCTGTGTGCACACGTGCACACAGGCTCGCCCCCAGTTGGAGAGCCAGCCATTCCCGAGGGCGCCTGAGCTGGTTTCCTGGAGAACACGGGGCTCGCGTGTCACGGCTCGGGAAGAAGGGAGCAGGGGCGGGGGCGGGAAGGAAGAGCCCTGGGGTGGGGGAGTGATGGCTGCCTGACCAGAGCCAGCTCCAGGTTGACACTTAAAGGTGCAGCTAGGTCGGAGATAGAGTCGGGGAAAGATCAAAGGTCACTTCTGGCGAAGGAATCCACCTAGTGAAAGGCAAAGGGTGTGAACGTGGCCTGTCTGGAGGAGAGTTTGACCAAGGGTGACAGTCACTTTGGTTGAGAGTGGCAGGGACCAGGGAAGCTGGCAAGAGAAGGTTGTGGCGGGGACGTTCTTGAACCTCTTGGATTTGGGGACCCTTGGATCTTTTTAAGCAAGGAAGTGCCCCTTCTTATCCCCCTTTCCCTCCTCCACCCCTCGCCCACCCAGGTCCATGTCTGGGCAAAGGACGAGTACGAGACCCAGGCATTTTTCTCTCCTGCTCCTACCTCTCCAGCTCATCCACAAGCTCTGACCCTTCTGCTTCCATAAGATCTCCAAATTTTCAAATCCCTTCCATTCCCACTGCCAGTACCTTGAGCTAGTCCATTGTTTGCAGTGCCCCTAAGTCACCTTACGTGCTGATCCTCCGACCCGTGCTCCAGACTCTCCGGTCCTCAGGACGGAGCCCCAGGGGTCCCTCGGGCCACCCTTCCTTAACTAAGCCCCTCCTGCCCGGGCCTGAGCTGAACCAGACCACGGCCCAGCTGAACTCGCTCTCCCTTAGCCTTGACCTCACAGTGCAGGTTTGCCTCGCTCTAGGAAAGTGGAACGAGCCTGAGAAACCTTCCAGAGCCAAATTAGCGTGAAGCGAAGAAGCGGTTAGCTTGGGGCACATCTCGCTAATGGATGCACACAACCAGGATGACGCTCCCAGCTCAGAGCCCTGGTGGCTTGATGCCGAGACGCTGGGTGTGGTCCCTGTGGGAGGCGCCTGGTGCGGCCACTCTGACCGGGGTGCGCACGGCCTGCTGGGGCTCACTGCAAAGCAGGGACGCCGTTCTTGCTCTTCACATTTTTTTTTGTGAAACAGAAAATCCTTCTTGGAGCTTTTTCATTAGTGTAAACGGGTACTAATGTAGTTCCCTCTTAAAAATAACGCAGCATAAAGTGAACTTCCGGGAAGCAGGGGATACTTGTAATTAACTTATTATGTGTCTACTGCTTTTATTGACTAAAAGCTAACTGCTTTTGTGCCTTTTCTAATGTAATTCTGAGCAACTTTAAGACGCAGTGACTGTGCCAGGTCCCTTCTGCAGATTTGGAGGCTGAGGCTTGGACAAGGAAGTTACCTGCCAAACTGGGCCTCTGGGAGCAAGATGCAGAGTCAGGAGGGGCCGTTGGCATTCCAGAAGGTTTTGGAACCAAAGACGAGATTTAGATTTTAGAATCAGATCGGACTCTGTGGCAGTGGAGAAGAGACAGGGTCAGCACACGCCACGGAGAGGCCGGTCGGGAGGCCTGGCCAGAGCCCTGGGCGGTCGCTGGGGCGGGGAGGAGGAGCCAGCTGGAGAGTGGGAGGTGGACTTCATAAGGACGCACTTCATCCAGCAGGCCTTTCCCGGACACCGCCCCCCCATCCGCCCCGCCAGCCCGGTGGGAGACACAAAGAGGCAAGGGCCCTTCCTCGCCTCGGCGGATAAGCTGGAGCCCGGAGCGAGGCACCTTTCGGTGGGGGTGGTGGCTGCACGCCGGTTGTTGGTGCTTCGGGGCTTCCAGGCAGACTCCTGAAAGAGGTCAAGAAAAGGGTTAGGGGAAAGGAACATTGTTGGACAGTTTCGCCATTGAACTTTCACCAGTCGGCCACATTTAATCATTGCCGTGTTTATCAGTTCAAAAACGATCTGTTTCCCAGCCCCTCAAAGCTCTGGGCTGGCTGGCATCACTGTGTCCTGAGGGCCAGCGCCCACGACCCTCACGTGGGGCTGCGAGCACTGCTGGCCGTCTTCTCCGTCTTCATTAGCGCTCCCGCCCAGTCTGATTTGAGTTAGTCTTGATTTCTTTCAGGATGTGGGCCTGTGAACTGGGCTGGTTTTCCTGGCCAGGTGGGCAGTGGAGCATGGAAGAAAGTATGTGGTGGAAGGGCCACAGTGGTCCCCTCGCGCGGCTCTCCAGACTTCACACTCCGCGTCAGCCTCAGGGCACGCAGTCACCGCATCCAGGGCCTGCAGGACCCCTGGCGACTCTTCAGGAGCGCCTCGAGGGCAGGAATCATGGGACCTCACCCTCACGCCTGTGTGGCCTCCCTGCCCCGCCCCGCCCCTCGCCCAGTGCTCCTGCCACTGGACAGATGGCGCCTGGGACATGGAAGACACTCAGATGGTCGTTGAACTGCACCCGGTTCCTGTGTTACATGAAGTCGTGCCCACTTACAACCGGGCGCAGTCTGCCGTGCGTCCTGGGTGGGAACCCTCACCGGTCTGTGCGGTTCAGTTGACAGGCGGGTCGAGTCTGAGGAGTCGGGCGACGAGGAGGGGAAGAAGCCGAGCGGCGGCGTGGTGGCGGACCTCAGCGAGCACAGCCTGAAGGACGGCCCGGAGCGGGGGGAAGCGGACCCAGAAGGTACCAGGCCCTGTTAACCCCGTGGTCGCTGGAGGGGTGGGGGCGGTCAGCACTGCCCGTGATCTGTGCCCCCTTCCCGAGGTGGTGGCGTGTGTCGTCCTGGGGGGACCGCGTGCGGGGCGCAGCCACAGAGGCCCTCCGTGGGCCGGGAGCCCGGTCCAGGCTGCCGCGCCCCCTCGCCAGCCGCCCCTCTGAGGGCGCCTGCGGGCAGGGTGCAGTGCCGTGCCGCACCGGAGGCGAACGCAGATCGTGGCACCGGGGCTAGTGTGTCGTCTGGGACAGAACCAGAACCGCGCTCGCCAACCGAGTGTTCAGGGAGCGGGCACCGCCGTGGTAGCGTCTCGGCCGCCCACTGTGCTCCGCTGCCCGCCACACGGGCGCCGGCTGCCTTCCGAGCTGCGCGTTTCACGCCCTGGAGCAGTCACTTCCGAGTTCCTCTTTGCCGATGTCACGGCCTGGGACGGCCCTCTTAATTGCCTAGGTGTCGGGAAAGTCATTTCCCGTGGAAAGTGCCCCAGTGGCCTCCTGTTGTTTCCGTGGGTGACAAGGACAGCAAAATGAACTGGAGATGAAGGGAAATGAGCCCCAGCGTGGGGGGGCGGCCTTTGCCCGTGACCTCAGCCCGTTTGTTTGTTGCTCAGAAAGCTGATTTCCTTTGAAAGGAGCGAGAGTAGAAACCTGTCAACAAAGAGAAAGCTGTCCCAGATACACTATTCAATGAAAAAGCAGATTTCCAGACTGTGCCTGTTGAGATCCTGTTCTTACTTAGAGAGTAACATTCAGGTTCACTGCTTCGGAGGGGACCCGTCACACTGCTGTGGGAGGCGTCTCCGCACAGCACGCTGGTGAGGGTCCGGTGCCTCCTGCACTCCCAGATGTACACATAGCGTATGGATGTGTAAGGCAGCAATCATACGTTATTACCCTTTTAATAATAAACATGACAAGTTTATTTTTCTTAAGATCTTATTTATTCATTTTTAGACGGAAGGGAAGGGAGGGAGAGAGGGAGAGAAACATCAAGGTGTGTTTGCCTCTCACACACCCCCTACTGGGGACCTGGCCTGCAGCCCAGGCATGTGCCCTGACTGGGAATCGAACTGGTGACCCTTTGGTTCGCAGGCCAGTGCTCAACCTACTGAGCCTCACCAGCCAGGGCCAAAAATAACAAATTTACGAACCACCGCTCTGCTCTCTGTTCCAATGAAGGTGGCTGGTAGCCATGGCAACCTAACTGTAAGGCAAAGGAGAGTACCACAAAAGCAGCAGGCACCTTCCGGAACTGCAGAGTTGTGCTTCTGAGGGGGCGTGGGCGGGGTGACTGCCGGGTGTGACGGGTGGGGCTCCCAGGGTTGCCTGACATAGGCCCGGGACACCGAGCAGGTGGGAGTGCCGCCTGTCCCCGAGCAGGTGTCCCTGCTGCTTGTGTGGGGCCGGAGGGTGGGCAGAGCCCTGTCGTGGGCTTCCTCCCCTGGCTGTGGGCGCGGGCTCGGTCCGACTCGCCCAAGGGCGCGCGGCTCCAAGGTGGGACGGCTGCGCCGGAACCCCGTTGTCCGGACCAGCACCCCTCCCTCCAGGATGCTCGGTACGGCGAAGTTCTCTGGGAACACTTAAGGCCTTACTTAGAGGAGCCAGGACCCGCACCTGCCTGTATTTAAGTCTCAAGTTCAAATAAAGTCATTCAAGCGTATCACTTGTTCCTTTTTATTTTCCCTGAGATATCAAAAAATATGATCGCTGCATAGTTCATTCGGAAAGATGTTCTAGGCTGGTAACTTTGTTTCAAAGGTTAAGCCGACCTTTGGGGGCTGTCCTGTGCTGGACAGGTTACAGACACAACCCCTCTGAGCCCTGTGACCACACGTCTCGGGGAGCCCGGGACAGCCCCAGTTTCCACCTGAGGGCCCAGCGTGATCGCCCGCGGTGCCCCTCTCACCAGAGTGTCTTGGTTTGGTCACTGAATGGCCGGGCGCCCGGCCTTCACCACGAAGCCTGTGTCACCGCAGCCTCCTGGGTCCTGGTGTTGAACTTAGGCTGTTGGGGGAGGGGCAAGTAGCTTGGGTGTGTCTCTTGGCTTTGCCCAGCTTCTTTTATCTAATTCTTAGGTTGGTGATATCCCATAAAGTTAGGGATAAACCATAAATGCCATTTTTAAAAAACCTAGCAGCTGTCAACGGTTGTGGAAAAGGCACAATGAGAAGGCCGGGAAGTGGACGCAGCTCTAGCGGGGCCAGCACCCCCTTACTCAGCAGGGCCTACGTCAGGGGCGCCCCCAAGGCCTCCAGTACAGGGGCCGGGCTGACCGGCATGCGGGCTGCTGGCCCACTGCTCTGCAGAAGCAAACGCAGTCTTGTGTAGGGAAGGGGCGGCCGTGGGAGCCAGGCAAGGAGGTGACGGCCAGCTCACAGGACGTGGAGCCGAGGGCAGGGCCGTGCTCCAGCCCAGAGAAGTGCCGTGAGCCAGGCAGACCCAAAAAGTTTCTGGGACCATCCAGCCCCGATATATGACCTTTGGACCCTAATTCAAGCAGAACTCACTCCATGGGAGGAGAAATCTGAAGACAGTTGGTGACACCAAGGAATTACTGTTGCTTGTGTTAAGAGTTTAACCCCCTTAGACATAAATGCTTCAGCAGACTCGGGTGGGAGGAAGGGAGTGGCGCCTGCAGCCTTCTCAGGCTCTGGGTGCCCCAGGAGCCCGAGGCCAGGCCTGCTGGGCGGAGGTGCTCTGCCGGAACCAGCCCCCAGCCTCCCAGGCGAGAAGTGCAGCTGAATTATTCAGCAGGCTGAGCCTGCCTGCCGAGCCATGTTCCGTCCTGTTCTGCTCTTTGCAGAGACCATTGTTTGCAGGGCCTCTCTCCAGAGCAACAAAAGACACATCCTCGAACATCTGATTTGCCCACCGAGGTCCACACTCAAACGGCCTGATTTATTGCCGCAAACTGGGGTGCCGGCTGCTGCCGACTACGCAGCTCTGGGTGTCACCAGAAGTGGTTGGCCGGCGGCCTCCCCCCTTCTTTTTGCTGTCATGTCCTTTCTCGGGACGCCCAGCAGTGCAGGTGGAAGTTTGGAGACCTTTGCTGGTGGCTGAACGCAGGGAGCTCAGAATGGCAGGAAGGCCACCCCTGTTGGCGCGGGGTGTTGGTTGGCCCCCCGTGGCACCCGGACCCTCCAGGCGCTGCCTGTCAGTGGGCCCCAGGCTCCGAGGCAGGCAGCCTGCGTGCCAGCTCGCCCCGCCCCCGGGCCAGGCCGCCGCCTCCTGCACGCGGGGGCTCGGAAAGGGCTCTCTGTCCCCCTCTCACTTTTCCAGGACAAGAGCTGCCCGTGGACATGGAAACCATCCAACTGGACAGAGACGCCGAGGTAAGGCCACCTGCCCCGCCCCGCCCCAGGGGGCGTGGTGACAGACCACGCTGCCATAGGGTGTCTTTGGGGAAGGCGCCGATGAGTAAGCGATCCCTGAGAAGAGGTGTCTGAACCTCCCTTGGCCGGGTCAGGTTCCTTGGGTTCTTGCTGTTTTTAGTAACGGTGATCGAAATCCCCTATCTGTTTAGCCGTTGTGGCAAGTGAGGCACCTTTGAGTCATAAACCGCACGGGTCCAGTGACCCCACTGCGAGTGTGGGGCCCCCACGACCCCATCCAAAAGGCAGTCACGACGCAGGGCTTGCGGCGACCGCCGGGCAGGGCAGAGCACCCCTGCATGACCCCCTGGGGGGCGCCAACAGGGCCGCGGTCAGTGCATCTCCTCGTGGGGTGTTTGTGCTCAGGGGGGGCCGGCGGTGAGAGGAAGGGCCCGCCCGCCCCTCATTCAGAGGGTTAGTTCTAGACAGAGTGACAGCGAGTCATGGCCAGACCCACGGCATCTCGGAGGTCACCTCACGTCACTGTCACCTGTCCCTGCAGGCTCCCGTGGGGTGCTGGCTTGCTAGTTCTCCCGCACCCCCACCTCCACCCCCAGCAGGCCCCCCCACCCCGCCCGCCCGTAGCTCCTGTTCTAGGAAGGAAGCAGGGCCCGGGCACATCCCTGCAGCTGGCCCGACCTCCCTCTGTTTCAGGACGTCGACCTGAATCACTACCGCATCGGGAAGATCGAAGGCTTCGAGGTCCTGAAGAAGGTGAAGGTGAGAGGCGGCTGACAGTCCAGAGCCCCCGCCCCCACCCCCGCCAGCGGCAGGCGCAGACCGTGGGCACGGGGGAGCCTCGGTCCCGAGTCCGTCGCAGCCCTGCTGGCCTCCGTCGGCGGCCACTGTCGAGCGGCTGCGGCGTGGATGTGGCAGGTGTGCAGAGCGGTGCAGGCGGCGGCTCAGACCCCTGCTGCTGCGCGAGGAGCCTCCGTTCCCGGCCGCCGGCCGCTGCGCACACACCGACCTGGGCAGGCCCCGCCCCGCCCCGCCCGAGTTCTGCTTGGTTTCCAAAACGGAGCCCAAGGCTTCCCTCTGCCGGGAAACAGCACACGGCGGCCCACCTGACCGAGGTCTCCCTCCCCGAGCAGGCCTGCTCCGTGCCAGCCGGCCTGCAGCCTCCCTGTGGGTGTCTGCCAGCGCCCCGGGTCGGCCCCTTTCTGGAAGACATCAGGACAGTGGAAACCACATCCCCCCGCCGAGGCTTCCCCGCGCCCTGTAACACAGAGCTGGCCCTTCCCACGGCCACCCCCCTCGTTGCGCACGTCAAGTGTCCTTTTCCCGCCCCCAGACGCTCTGTCTCCGTCAAAACCTGATCAAGTGCATTGAGAACCTGGAGGAGCTGCAGAGCCTGCGAGAGCTGGACCTCTATGACAACCAGATCAGGAAGATCGAGAACCTGGACACGCTGACAGAGCTGGAGTGAGTCCCGAGACCCAGGGACGGCCGGGGAGCTGTCCGGGCCCCCAGAACCTGTGCCCTGTGCAGTCCTGGAGAGGCCACCTGGGTCCTGCCCGCCCCTGGGTCCTGCCCGTCCCTGGGTCCTGCCCGTCCCTGGGTCCTGCCCGCCCCTGGCTCCAGAAGTGGCAGCAGCCCAGCTAGTCCCGACCTGAGAGGTGGCCGTGGGCGGGGGCTGCTGGCTGGTCCCTGCCCTCAGGGTGGTCCTGGGGGCTGGGTGGGGCCCTGTGGAGATCTGTGCATCCTGTGCTCGTTAAAAAATGTGTGCTTTACTTGTTCCAGGATTCTAGATATCTCTTTTAACCTCCTAAGAAACATCGAGGGGGTGGACAAGCTGACACAACTGAAGAAACTCTTCCTGGTCAACAACAAGATCAGTAAGATCGAGAACCTCAGCAGCTTGCAGCAGCTGCAGATGCTGGAGCTGGGGTCCAACCGCATCCGGGTAGGTGCGGGCGCGGCCTGGGCGCGGGGAGGAGCCCTGGGAACGCCCCCGGAAAGACAGACGTCGGCCGGAGTTGGGGGGGGGGTAGCCAGCAAAGAAGAGGGGGGCTCTGCAGGGCAGAGGTGAGGCCACGGCCAGCCAGAGCCCCTGGTCCCCTTTGGCCGGCCTGCATGTGGCTTTGGGAGTTTTCAGTGGACGGCGGTCAGTCCGGCTTGGGAGCTGGACTCTCGGGCCCCTGAGAGCTGGGCAGGACACAGACCACAGAGGCGGTTCTGGCCGGGGCCCCTGCCGGCACCTTCAGTGGTGGCGTGGCCAGACAGCAGAGCCGCACACCCAGAGCTAGAGGGCAGCCAGGCGTCGGTGTTCGATGGGGTGTCTCTGGGGCACGTGACCGAGAGAAGCAGGGCTCGTCACAGGTCACGGCAGGCGGGCGGTTACGGGCACCCCCTCGAACATCCATCCTCCTAGACCCCGCCCACCCCGGCCCCGCCGTGCCGGGTGGGCGGGCTGCACCACGTGCGTCTGCTGGGGCCCGGCCGAGTCAGCACGCGCCTGCTTGCGCTGTGTCGTGTCTGTCGAGAAGGTCACGGCTAACTCCTTCTGAGAGAGCAGCGGACACAGAGGCAGGAAAGAGACCGAGTTCGTGCATGTCGTTAAACCCCCTGCCGTGCCCACACAGCGGGGCGCAGGACCCCGGGGGGGGGGGCGACAAGGAAGGAGGGGTACGGGACCACCCTGCGTGGGCGGCGCTTCCGGGGAGACGGAGGCTCTGGGGAACGCACTGCGGCAGACCTCACAGAGGCTGGCGCTGGCGCTGAGGCAGACCTGGGAGGACCGCCAGACCCAGTCCGAGGGTCCCCTGCCTGTCTGTCCCCAGCGCCCCGGAGGGCGGGAGGGAGCCCGAGACTCGTTATTTCCGTTCTGTGCCTTCCAGCGCGAGTCCCGGGCCGTCTCCAGAGTGTACCAGCGGTGACTTGCCTGACACCCCAAGGCCCAGTCCAGAGTGCGCTGTCCCCTCCCCTGCGTGAGCTGGGTGGCCGCACCGAGCCGTCTGATGCTCTGTCTTCCCCACAGGCCATCGAGAACATCGACACGTTAACCAGTCTGGAGAGTCTGTTCCTGGGGAAAAACAAGATCACTAAACTCCAGAACCTGGACGCACTCTCCAACCTGAGAGTCCTCAGCATGCAGGTTCGGTCCGGCTTCGTGCGCCCCACTGCCTCCTCCCCGCCGCCCCCCCCCCCGCCCCCGCAGCAGGCCCGCTCCTCAGCCGCCCCGCCCTCTCCCGCTGGGCCCGCGGCCAGCCTGAGCCTCAGCAGGGGGGCCAGAGCGGTAGCTCTCACGTGTGCACGCGCCCCTGCCCGTGCCCGCGTCGGACTGGCCTCCCCGCCGTGTCCCGGTGGGAGGCCCAGCTGGCGGGTGGGCCAGGGCGCAGCCCAGGGGGGAGGGTGGGTTCCAGGCGCTCCCAGTGCGTCTGTGAGTCCTCCTGCATCCGCCGTCCTGCGGAGCGCAGCCCTGCCCTGGGGAATGGGGCCGCACCGGGTGTCGCCAGGCCGCGGGACCTCCCTCGGTGGGAGCCAGGGCGGGTGGGACCAGACCCGGAGGCGGGCGGGGGCGCCTGCCCCTTCACGGGGAGCCACACGTGCCCTGGAAGAAACGAGCGCCTGCTGCGAAGCGCCCGGTGGTTCTGCCGCTCGAGCCTCTGAGTTAACTGAGGCGACGACGCTCCCCGGGACACACGCGCGTCTGAAACCACCCAGCTCCTCTGCGGAACACCCTGCAGCCGGGGCAGCAGGCTGCAAGCGCTGGCCCCCCTCTCCCTCCCCTCCCTCCGGAAGCCCCGGTCTAGCCCCTTCGAGTGCAATGCCAACGAGAGGACCCCGTCCCCAGCGCGGTTTCCCCTTGTGCCCCCCCAACCTGACGGCTGCCGCTCTCCCCCCAGAGCAACCGGCTGACCAAGATCGAGGGCCTGCAGAGCCTGGTGAACCTGCGGGAGCTGTACCTCAGCCACAACGGCATCGAGGTCATCGAGGGCCTGGAGAACAACGTAAGGCCCCCTGCGCCCCCGCCTCCTCTTGCTCCCCTCCCCCACCCCCCCCCCCCGCCCCAGGCCGGGCCACGCCCCCTCCGCCCCAGGACCAATCCCGCTCAGCCCCGGGCGGCTGCGCCAGAGCCCCGCCCCCAGCGGCCCTCGCCCTCGGGGCTGCCTGCGGGCAGCGGCCCTCCCCAGGGTGGCCCTCCTGCGGCGGAGGAGGCGCTGTCCTCGCTCTGGGCTCCCGGCCGCCCTCCGCCCTGCTCGCCTGCCGGCGGCCTGACCGGTCCCTGCTGCCACAGCGGCTACCCCGGCAGAAAGGGCTCCTCTGGCCTTTGCCGCAGCGCCCGGGCCCATCACCGCGAGTGCTGCCAGGGGAGACCACGTCCTGACTGTCACGTCCCCGACATGCTCACACCATCTGGGAAGCTGGGCTTTGCCGGTGGGGCGGCCCCTCCCCCTGTAGTGAGGCCCGGTCCTGCGGGGGCTGTGGGCGGGGCCGTGGGCAGGCTGCGCTCCCGGGAGGCCTGGGCAGCGCGGCCCACGCCCGAGGGGAGCGGCGTGCCTCACCCCCACCCCCGGTGCTGAGACCCCAGGCCTTGGAAACGGAGCAGAAACACGCAGCTGTGGCTCTGGCGGTCATTAAGGCCACGCGTCTGCCCTGACCACGTGACTGCCTTTGGGGCCTGGTCAGCCGGAGGCCGGACACGCGGCTGTGCTGAGTGTGAGCCCCTCACCTGCCTGGCCTCCACTTTTGTGGGAGCAAGTGAGGCCGTCAGGACCTTCTCCCTGAACGGCAAACCCCGGCCCCCCCACACCTCGTGCTCCCCTGCTCCGGGCACTGGGGCCCCCTGGTGGAGGTCGGGGCCTCTGGGGCCTGCTCTGCCCACGTCCCTCTGTACTGGGCACAGCTGAGCTTTCGGAACACTGCCCAGCTCCCCAGAAAAGGGGCTGAGGACCCCACCGAGTTTCTGTGCTCCAGCAGAGTTTCAGGGGGGCCCTGGCAGCCAGCGCCCCTCCCTGCTGCTGAGCCCCTGCGCCCGCACCAGAGGTCAGGTCTCTGGGTGTCTATGTGGAGGAGCCCCCAGTGCAGGCAGAGGGCTGGAGAGCCCTGCCCTGCGCCCAAGGGCCGCCCACAGGCCATGCTCGGGCCCCCGTCGGCTGTGGCACCCCCTGAGCGCTGCAGGCACGCGCCGGGCTAAGGACACGAGTGAAGCCAGCGTGAGCGCCGAGTGCATGCAGAGCCCCCCTCCCCCCCCCCCCCCCCGCACACTGTGGCCCCCGGAGGGGCGGGGGCTGGGTTGGCCGGGGCACGTGGGCGGTGGGGCCGGGCACACCAGGTGCCGGACACGAGGGCCAGAGCCCTTCCGGGTCGGTGCAGCTGCTGGCTGCTGGCGTGGGTTGGGGGGACGGGGCGGGGATTTCGGCTGACACCTTCAGCTCCCCCTTCGCCCGGCGCAGGCGCAGCGAAGGCAGAGGCACGGCAGCGCGCGGCCCGGGCTGTGGGCCGACCCCTGAGTGGCCACCCTGGTCTGGGCTGCGCTGATGGGTTGGGCTAGACCTCAGCAGGGCCTGCTTTAGGTATTTGCTTTTAGGGCAAGGGGAAGGGCGGGAGAAAAGGAGGGCAACATCGACGTGCGAGAGATGCCTCAACCAGTTGCCTCTTGCACACGGCCAGCCGGGGACCTGGCCCGCAGCCCAGGCGTGTGCCCTGACTGGGGATTGAACCGGCGGCCTTCGGTTCGCAGGCGGGCACTCAGTCCATTGAGCCACGCCGGCCGGGGCGGCAGGCCCGTGTCAAAGCACCCCAGTGCTGCGCTGGCCCTCGGAGCTGGTGCGTCCCCAACCGCGTGTGCCGGGCTTAAGCCCCTCGCCACCCCCCCCCCCCATCGGCTGTGCGTTCTCCCTCCTCCTGGCCACCTCCCGCCACCCCCACCCACGTCTGCGCAAGCTCCGACCCTGGACCGGCCCGGGCACCTCGTCCCTAAATGAAAAATGAAACACAAGCCTGTCATGTGCGTCCCGGGGGGGGGGGTCACTGCAGGAGAGTCACCGTCACACCAGGGCTGCCCTCCCTGCGTCCCTGCGGACGGGTCTCTGGGGGCCAGGGGTCGGGTCTCACAGACCAGCGTGAGACCCCCGTGACGCGGGCACACGGGGCTGCGAGCCGGGGCCCCTGCCGCACGGCCCTGTTCTGTGAGGGCAGTGGGGGCAGTGGGGGCAGTGGGGGTGCGGGCCCGCAGCTCCGAGCCCAGACCATGGCTGCCCCGTGACCACTGACCTGAGGTAATGCGGGACAAACTTTATTTCCTTTTTTTTAGAACAAACTCACAATGTTGGACATTGCGGCAAACAGAATCAAAAAGATTGAGAATATCAGCCATCTAACAGAGCTGCAGGAATTCTGGGTGAGTGGAGACCCCACTGGGGTGGGTGAGTGGACTGCTGGGCGGACGGGGTGGTGGGGTGCAGGCTGAGGTGGGTGTGTAGGGGGGCTGGGGGCCTGTGGGGGGGCGTCCTCGGGACCTTGTTGAAAATACACATCTCCGGCCCCTGCACCCGGGGGCAGACCAGCCCCAGCCGGCGTCTGTGAGCCCCGGGTGGCGGCGGTGCCCGTGGCCGAGAGCTTGGGCCTGTGCCCGGGCAGACCTGCGAGCAGGCACGGGACCGGCGGGCCACAGTGCCGGGGACGGGTGGGTGTTCTCAGGCACCTGGTGGCTACAGGTGTGTCTTAGGGAGTCCGTCGGGGGAGAGGCAGGTGTCGGTCTGGAGACCCCCAGCGGGCCACACGCCCACGGCCGAGTCGTCCCCGGGGCTCCCTGTGGGGCTCCCCGGGGCTCTTCGGGCAGGCGTCCCGGGGTGGCCGCCCGTCAGCCCCGCCCTGCGGCTCCGTGAGCAGGCGCCGTCCTCGCTGCGTCGGCTCCGGTCCCAGACACGTGCAGAGTCGAAGGGCCGGCTCTGCCTCGCCCGGCCAGGCTGTGGGCCCTGCTGGCGCCCTGTCCGAGCGTCCTGACAGCACAGGTGGCCCACGGTGGGAATGTGGGAATGTCCCCTAACCCTTATTGATAGCACTGGATCCTGGGTCGTGTCTGACAGGGCGCCAGAGACGGACGGCGAGGTGGTACGGGGGGGCTGCACCGGATGGGCAGCCCCCCTGAGGGTGGGTCGAACTCGGGGGATGCGGCTCTGGGGGGGCCAGGGAAGCACGCAGAGAAACCAACCACGGAGACAGGACCTGTGCCCGGCAGGGGTGGGGCGGTCACTGAGGTCAGGTTCCTGAGGTGTGGGCCCCTCTGTGTGCCCAGCCAAGGGACAGCGCATGGGACACAGGGGCCACCTGCGTACCCCGGCTCCCCGGGAGGCAGACAGGTGGGTGACGGCTAGAGGCAGAGCAGCCCCTGGGCCTGGGACACAGAAACGCAGTCTCTCGGGCCCCCGGACAGCCCACCAGCACGGGCAGAGCCCCCCGTGCAGCGAGCAGGCGGCTGACGCGTGGTCACAGCAGCCTGGAGGCAGGCGGTGCCGCCCTGCCCACAGCTGAGGACGCAGGCCGCGGTGGGTGGCGCCCTTACCCTAGAGAGGCCCCTGCAGAGCCGCCACTGGACCACGGCGTCCCGGGGGAGGGGTGGCAGACGCGTGTGAACACACATACGGCATTCCCTGCCGCTCACACGGAAACAGCGGGACGCAGCCTTCGGCTCCCCGGGGAGCAAGGACTTCTGTGGATGGCACAGGCGGCCGGTGTGAGACACGCTGGGCACGCCCAGACGGGGGCACGGGCTGCCGTGTGGTGAGGAGGCTTTTCTAACGCGCACCCGTGTGTGCCCGCGTGTGCCCGGGTCTGTCCGGTGTGTACACGTGGTCTGGGTGCTTGCGTGTGCCCCCAGATGAACGACAATCTCCTGGAGAGCTGGAGCGACCTGGACGAGCTGAAGGGCGCCAGGAGCCTGGAGACGGTGTACCTGGAGCGGAACCCGCTGCAGAAGGACCCGCAGTACCGGCGGAAGGTGATGCTGGCGCTGCCCAGCGTGCGGCAGATCGACGCCACCTTCGTCAGGTTCTGACCCCGCGCGCCCCGGCCTGCTCCCTCGCCGACAGAACCTCCCGGCTACGGTTTCCAGTCCGCCCGCTGCTCCTGAAACCACCACCACCACACCAACGGCCACAACCCAATGGCAATAAAAGGCACTGAGTGATCCCTGCCGTGTGTACCGCCGCTCACCACTGAGAGGCGCTGCTGTTGCCGGCACCACTCGGTCCGTTGCTCTGTGTTCGCGGAGGGAGGTGGCCTGGGCCCCGTGGGCGCAGGGAGCCCCCTCGGGGTCCGTCCCGGCACCTGGAGCCTGACAGCCCACAGCTTCCTAGTCCGTTAGGCCCGTCAGTGCCAGTGTCTGCAGGTGACTCACACTAAAAAGCAAAGCAGCGGGTGGGGGGGCTCAGGCCTCCACGCCAGGACCCTCAGCGCGGCGCGCAGGCCCTGTCCCCGGCCGCCCCCGCGGCCCCTGAGGTCGCGTTGCCACTGACGGAAGGGGAGCCCGGCCCAGGCTCCTCAGAGACTTTCTGCGAAGAGTCGACCTCTGACCGCCGGTAACACCGCCTCCCGCTGCGCCCGCACCGCTGTGTCCACCCTGGTTTTATAACGTCGGCCTCCACGGCCCGGGGCCTGGCTGCCGTCTCCATGGACCTTGTCACCCTCCGCCGTCCTCGCGGGCCCGCCCGCCCCCACACCGCAGTGCCGCCCTGTCCCGTGTGGGGGCCGCGTGCTGCCCGCCGTGGCCGGCCCCGTCCACGTTTCCCTCGGTGACAATAAAGTGGAGTCAAACACGCAGTTTCTCGGTTGCGCTCGGCACATCCCAGGGGCTCGGCAGCCGCGTATCCCGAGGGCGGGCGGCCCTTCCAACCGACCCGGCGCCCTCCCGGCTGGCACTGCCCGGGACCCCGCGGCAGTGCGGCCCTGGGCTGAAGGCCGTGCCCAAGCCCCGACTTCACCCTCTGCACAAATAAACCGTGCGACCGGACGGCGGGCGCCCCGGAGCGGCACGCAGGGAAAGGAGAGGAGGGGTGGGCGGGCCTGGCCCCAGGGTGCCGGCCGGCACCGGCACTCCGTCCTCAGCCGGACACCGTCCGTGTCTCTCCGGGGTCAGGGCCTGAGAGACGGTTCCAGGTGCCGGGACTTGAGTGCCGTCGCTGAAGACAGCATTCGGGGGGGGGGGGGGGGCGGGGGAAGAAGAGAATCTGCCTCGAGGACCGCGGAGGGGAGACGAGCGGAAGCAGCGGAGGGAAGCCCCGCAGCCAGCAACCCTCCCCGCCTGCGAGCGCCCGGACGGGCCGCGGCACCTGTGGCCGGACAGAACGAGGGGCCGAAACGAGGTCCCTGTGCGCTCAGCCTGGGGCCTGAGGGGTGACGGTGGAGGCTGTCCAAGTTCCCCTGGGTGCAGAAAGGGGAGCGGTCGCGTTTGTGGGGAAAGAGACGCTTAGAGTAACCACTAGGAGGACAGAAATTAGTTACAGAGCAGCAGGGAAAACCCAGCACCTTTCAGCAAAGAGACGGGGAGGCTGAGGAGGCCCCGGGCCGGGGGTGCGGTGTCCGTCTGTGCGCCCTCGCAGGGAGGGACGGCAGGACGGGCGGGGCCTCGGGACGGGAGAGCCGGCAAGGGCCCTGGGACTGGGTCCCGCGGCTGCAGGTCGCCGGCTGTGCCAGGTCCCCCGGCCCAGTCCCGGCCCAAGCTCCCTCTGGCTGTTTGAGAAGCTGGTTGCACCTTAAAATGTATGTGGAAGAAGAAAGGTCCACATTGAACCTTGAACCTTTGAAAGAGGTCACTTGGCTTTGAAAAAATGTCAGGCGAGGTGACCTGCCGGATTCTGACCACCGCAGACCCCCGAAGGGCAGCCCACCGGCGGGCTGGGCTGGGATGGGCCCGGCCGGGGCGGGAGCGGGGCCGGGCTGGCCGCCCTGCGGGCCGCACCATCCCGGAGGCCTCGGTGTGAGTGAGAAGCAGGCCGAGAGTCCGTGGGAGAAACGGGGGAGCCTGGGGGGCAGCCCGGGGGGCAGAAGAGCTTCCCAACCCCAGAAGCGCGGCCGTGAGGCGAGGTTTCGTGGGTTCCTGACGTGAAACTCCTGTGGAAGGCAGGGCACCGCCCGCAGCCCGCAGCCTGCAGCCCACCCACAGGCGTTCCAGGGTCCAGAGCTGGCATGGGCCCGACGGCAGGTGGGCCGAGTTGCCGCGAACCGGAGAAGAGGAGACCGGGGTGCGGGAGGAAGTGGGCGTGGGCGGCGTGGGCCATCGGCCCCGGCCCGAGAGCCAGACGGCCCCTGGTCTGACCGCGGTCGGGGCCGAGGCCTGGGTTGTGGGCCAGGCCCCTGGTCAGGGCGTGTGCAGGAGGCGACCGATCGATGTTTCTCTCCCTTTCTCTCTCTCCCCTTCCTTCTCCTCTCTTTAAAATAAAAAGATTTCTTTTAAAAGCCTTTTTTTTTTTAAAGAAAGAGCACTCCCAAGGATGCCTCAGACGGGGAGGGGAAGGGGGCAGGGGGAGCCTGAGCCCGGCCCCCAGCGCCCGGGCCGGGAGTGCATGAGCACAGGGCGGCCGGGGCTGCGTCCAGTGCGTCCAGGACGCCGGTCTGCGGGGGGGAGGGTGGGAGGAGGGAAGAGAGGCCAGCCAGGGGCACTGCACTGCTGGTGGCCCCGCTCAAGGCCACGAGCAGGACAAGCGACCATGAGGAAGAGGGGCAGCCGCTGCGCCGCACCCGGGCAACCCGCACAAAATGACCCTGAAACACACTGTGGTCGGAGAAGGAAAAGGCAGAGGGGTCTCCCCGCTGGCAGGGACCTGCCAGGGGGCCAGCCGCGCCAGCAGTTTTGTTCAGACCGACAACGTGCCCGGCCCAAGGAGTGTCCACCTGTCCCCAACCAACCCTGCAGGCCTGTCCCCGTCCCAGGCTGCGTCGTGCCCAGGGGCAGCCTGAGACGCCGTGCTGTGCCAGTGACGACCGCTTTCCTGGGAAAAAGGGCAGGTGCCGCTGTCGTGGTGCCTTGAATGTGGATTCAGCGGCTGGACCTGCTGCAACCATCTTGCAACCATGAGGCAAAGGCTCTGGCCCTGACTTCCCAGAGCCCCCAGACCCACCCAGGTGCCACCACCGCCCCAATTTCTGCGGCTGAGAAAAATCTTTTGGTTCAGCCACAGTCGTTGGGAGCTTTTTATTTGAATTTCCACCCAATGTGTATCTGGATGTTACATAAACGGATATAAAAAGCTGTAGTCAAATAAAGCTGGTGTAGCAAATCCTGGGCCCAGGCTCTTCCTAGTGCTTAGGACCCAGTCCGACACCTGTGCCGGTTGTACCACAGCCTGCTTCCTTCCTTCCTTCCTTCCTTCCTTCCTTCCTTCACCTTTTTAAGTCTGTGAAAGTCACGGAACCTTTAAAAACGTCAACCCATAAAGCACTGCAGAGAGTAAAAACTGAACACTGGACCCAGAATGAGTCCTTGTCCCCCCGCCTCCACACACACATCCCCAGGCTGCCCCTGCGGCTCCGCTGGGGCCGGCTCTCCGTTCCAGCGCTCCCTGGAAGGGGCGCAGGGACCGGGCAGGGCTTCAGCTGGGAGGAGGGCGTGGTCCAGGGGCTTGCCAGGCAGGAGGAGCCTCGAGTGCCGGGAGGGCCGTGGGGTGAGGGGCTGGGACCCCCTCTCCCAAGCAGGCCCTGAGCTGGGGGACGTGCCTGAGGCCACACCCAGGACGCGGCAGGCCCGGCTCTGCAACCTGGGTCCCCTGGGTCCCCAAGGACACAGCACACGGGAGGATGACAGCAGAGCCCCGTGGCCGTCCAGCTGAATCCCGCCTGTCCGTCCCGTCCCCCCCCCCCCACCCCAGGCAGCAGCTGGTGGGCCCTGGGCTCCCTAAGCAAACAGAGGGGAAGGCGGGCGAGGCATTTGCATGCGGTGGGCAGGCTCCATGGAAATGCGCAGCCTGTTTGCAGACCCGCGAGCACACCCCCTTGGCAAACACAGGCAGATCCTGTTCCCGGACCTGGAAGACCGTGACCCCTGCCCCCCCGGCCAGACGTCTTTCCTGCCTGTGTGCTGGGTGCGGTTCAGGGCATGCGAGTGGCCGCCCCCGCCCGCCCAGGGCTCCCAGCACCGGGCAGCCCTAGTGCTCCTGCCAGGACGGCCCCGACTCGCCGCTCAGACCCGGCTCCCGAGGCCTCTCCCGGAAGCCCCCGTGCCAGGTGGAGGCCGGTCCACGTCGCATGGGTGCAGGGCGCCAGGTGGGCAGACGGGCTACAGGGAGGCTGGGGAGCACCCCACCCCTCAGGGCTCCACGGGGGCAGGGACCCCGAGACCTGGAGCCCCGGGACCTGGCCCAGGGTCTGCCCCAGGCCAGCTGCTCTGTGTGGCGGGTAGGGAACCCCAACCCGAGGGAACCCCATTTCCCCGCCTGCCCAAGGATCGCACCCCGGAGCAGGCTGCTGCTGGGCCGTGTCCTCTGTCCCGTCCCTTCTGCCCCCGCCCACCTGCTGACCGCAGCAGAAACGCCCACTCCCACCCTGGCTCCGGGGTCTCCCAGCCCTCCCAAGTCCTGGGTCCGGGCACCTGGGTCCTGGCAGGGGTCAGAGGTGTGGGAGCCGCGTCCGCCTCCACGGCCGCACTGTGTCTGGACTACGTGCACTGTCCCCTCCGCCCTCCGCGGCTCTGCCACCCACACACCCTCCTCCCCGCCGCCGTGGGGTGTCCCGGGGCCACGCTGGATCTGCGGGGGGCCACCGCCAGCTCTGGCTGGAATCCCACCCCCTTCCAGGCCACGGGGCTTCTGTCCCTCTGCCATGCTCCGCCAGCCCCTCGCTGGGACGGTGGAGGCTGCCCCCCGCCACAGAGGGACCCGGAGGCCGGGGGGAGGACCCAGGGCCCACAGGGCCAGGCCCGTCTCTCTGTTAGAGGGCACTGCCTGTGCCCTGCAGGCGGCAGGAGGGACACATGTGCAGGGCTGGGGGGAGTGGACACCCCTCCGACAGGCAGATGGACGGACGGATAGGCGGCTCCTGTGCCCAGGTCGGGGTCATCACGTGACCTGGCTCAGGCAGCTCAGCCGGCCTGGCCCTGCCCGCGGCCCGGGGCGCTGTCCTCACCTGTCAGGGGGTCTGCAGCTGTGCAGTGGGGGCCAGGTCTCAGGCGCCCCCTCCGTATTCCCGGGCCACCCCAGTCCTGACGGGGGCAGGAGCAGGATGCTGCGGAGGCCAGCCCCAGAGGACGACAGCGCCGTCTTGATAGACATGGCCCCGGGGACAGAGAAGGGGGACTCCTACGGGAGCACAGCCAGCACCTCGCAGGTAACCCTCCGCCATTCCGAAGCGGCCCTGGGCTCCAGGCCACAGTCCGGGGGGGTAGGCACAGGAGGGTCTCTGAGCCCCACTCTCAGGACGGACCCAGGGACCACGGGACACACGGCCCCACACGCCCAGAGCCCAGTCCCAGCCTCAGAGCTCGTGACCACCGCTGGCCCCCCCACGGGGCCACTCGCAGCCCAGCTCCCCACTCGCCTCTGGAGGCCAGCAGGGGTGGGCGCCCTGGGCGCTGGCCTTGCTGCGGGCCGACCTGGCCCCTGCCCACGGCCCAGGCCAGCCGCTCAGCGACTGGGGGCAGGAGGGGAGGGGGCTGCCTCACGCCTGCACGGACCTGGAAGGCCCCTGCCCACACCGCCCCCTGGGCCTTCCGTGTCACCGGGTGGTCTAGGGCAGGGTGGGGGCATGCCCTCACAGTCAGGGGCTTCCCTTCCAGCCGGACGGAGACCAGGCAGCCGCCCGCGGGACGGCGAGCCCTGCCAAGCCGCGGATCGGTGAGTCCCTCCCGGCATCTGCCAGCTGTGGTCCCGAGGGTGGGGCACAGACAGGGCACCCGCAGGTGGCGGCCGCAGAACAGCGGGTCTGGGCCACGGTCCTCCGTGACCAGGCCCCCGCCCCCACCTGGCACTGTCTCCTGAACCAGCTCTGTGCCCAGTGCTGTGCTGGGAAGCGGAGTGGGGCCTCGTGGTGAGCAGGACACCAGCTGGGGGGCAGCAGGAAAGGGGTCCCTCCTGGGGGCTGGCGCTGGAGCGGGCCCTGGAGGGCAGAGGGGTGCCGCCCCCCATGGCACCCGCCACGCCCACGGGGCCCTAGTTTGGAGGAAGTGCAGCTCGGCGTGGTGTATCGCCGCGCTTTCGGTTCATGGCTTTTACACCTGCGTTTCCTCCTGAGAGTCTCATCTTTTTTCTGAAAGGTCTACAGTTGTGAGTGTGCAAAACACAGAGTTTATTCTTGTATTATTATTTATTACTTACTATATTGTGTCTGTTTCCATATGAACAATTGTAAACCTACCTTTAAACTTTCTAAAAAATTTCATTTATTTGTTTTTAGAGACACGGGAAGGGAGGGAGGAAGAGAGGGGGAGAAACATCCATGTGTGGTCGCCTCTCATGCACCCCCTGCTGCAGACCAGGCCCACGACCCAGGCATGTGCCCTGACTGGGAATTGAACCGGCGACCCTTTGGTTTACAGGCCGGCGCTCCACCCACGGAGCCAGATCTTATCGCTTTAGTTCGTACTGTTAGCTCCCTGATTTTCAGTGCATGAGCCCAGCTCCTCTTGGAGTCGGTTCTTGTGCGTGCTGCGAAAGAGGGTCCGAACCCGCTCACTCCCGACGGCTGTCTGCCTGGCCCGGCGCCTCTGGCTGAGATCCCTGCTGTTTTTTCCCACTGAGTGTATGGCTTCACTTTCAGAGTCTCAGATACACTTTATTGATCGGTATGTCCCCCTGCCAGCACCACACTGCCTTGGCCACTCCGCCTTTGCAGTGAGTTTTGAAACTCAAACTCGTGAGCTGTGCAACTCTGTTCTTCTCTGTTTACATTGTTTGATATTCTGGGTCTCGTGGGTTTCCACGGGAACTTTAAACTTGTCTGTTCACGCAGAAGAGAACAGTCAGCTGGGCTTTGACGGGAATTACACCTGCAGGCCAGATTTCCCTCCCGACCGTGTCCGGTGCCCTCAGGGGCTCCCGTGCGCGAGGGTGTCTGTGCGTTCATCTCACTCGTCTTCAATCATGTCAGGGGTGTTGGGCAGTTGCCAAGTCTTGCACATTTTTTGTTACGTTTGTTCCTTTTTTGGTGCTGTTGCATACAGAATTATTTTTCTTCATTCCGTTTTCGGCTTGTTCGTTGCTAGTGTGTGGAAACGCAACCGATTTTTGTATGTTGACCTTGTACCTAGCAACCTTGCTGAGCCTCTTACTAGTTCGGACAGTGTTTGCAGTGAATGCCTGTGGCTCCTCCACAGACAGGATCACGTCACCTGTAACCAGGTCCTTTCACCTTCGCGTCTAATTGTGTGTCTGCCCTCTGGACGCGCCCGCTCCTCTTGCTGGTCCGCTGCCCCGCCCGAGAGCCCCTCCTCCGTGGCCCCGGCGGGGCGGGGCTGCCGGGCCCTCACCCCCACCTCCCGATGGTTTGAAGAGGTCTCCCGCTACTTCCACAGCGACAGCGCCAGGGCTCCGCGTCCTCCCCAGCCCTTTCAACACGCCGTTCTATCGCCTGCTGGCTCCCCTGGTTTCACTGAGAAATCGGGTGTCCGAACCCCCGCCGTTCCCCGAGGAACGGTGTGTTGGTGCTCCCCCTCTGTCCCTGGGGTGCACCGCAGAGCCACGCTGTCTGTGCCCTTCCCAGCTGGAGTCTCCTCATGGGTGGGACGCACTGAGACTTTTGATTCTTTAGATTGCTTTCTTTCATCCGATTTAAAAAGTCTTCACCATTTGGCCCTGGCTGGTGTGGCTCAGTGGACTGAGTGCTGGCCTGCAAACCAAAGGGTTGTTGGTTCGATTCCCAGTCAGGGCACAGGCCTGGGTTGCAGGCCAGGCCCCCAGTAGGGGGCGCACAAGGGGCGTGTTGATGTTTCTCTCCCTGTCTCCCTCCCTTCCCCTCTGTCTAAAAATACATAAAATATTTTTTAGAGATTCTTCACCATTTTTCTTCAAAGAATGCTTTCTTCCCCACTCTGTCCTTCTGGTTCTGGGAGGACAATGTGTTGGTCCCTTTGACCCTGACCCTGTCCTGTGTATGGAGAGGTGGGCCAGTTGTTCAAGCACTGGGCTCCTACTTCCGGCCAGGAGGCTGGCACCCCCGAGTTCGCCTGCCCTTTCTGCCTCTGTCCCCGTTGGTTCTCAGCAGACTTCGTCCTGGTTTGGGAGGAAGACCCGCGGCTGGGTCAGCAGCAGGACGGCGCCGCCCGGGACAAGACAGACACACACAGGGCCTGGCGGGAGACCTTCCTGGATAACCTTCGTGCGGCTGGGCTGCATGTGGACCAGGTACACCGGTGGCCGTGGCCAGGGCCCTGGGCCCCGTGGCTACAGGCCTGAGGGCGAGACACCCTGAGGCCCCAGGGTGGGTCAAGCCCAGGGCTGCGCTGGATGCCTCGCCCCAGGTCAAACAGAGACCCTCGGGGCACACCGAGCTGGCTCCTGGTGGCCAGAGCCCTTCAGATTTGCCCCCAGATTCAGAAGCCATCTTCTCCACTCGCCTCTCCCACCTCCGACGTTAGAGCTTCTGTCTAGGTGTGACATTTGTCATTACAGCTCTGGTGTGCTTGTAGGGTGTCACACCCACGACGCCCTCCACGGGCCCGGTGTCCGTGGTAACAGCCAGTCTCACTTCCACTGCGGGGAGCGCGTGGTACCGGGCGTCACGGCGAGGGGGGCGGAGCCCGGTGCAGGCACCCAGCGGGGCTTGAGCTGGCGGGGATCCGGGCGCAGGGCTCCACTCGTCCCTGCCCCCACCCAGGTGCCCCCCCGTGTCTCCTGCATCGTCTGCCCTGCTTCCCGACCACCCCCCGCTGTCCCCGGGAACAGGCTCGGCCGGCAGGTGTCCGTCCCCCTCCCCAGTCCCCCGGGGATCAGTTCTCAGTGTTGTGTTACTCACGTTCTTGGATTCCTCTCTCGTTTAAATGGGCACCAAGTCCCTGTCGCCTAACGACGCAGCTGGGTTTGTGCCTGAACTTGATAAACCGGAGTCGTGCTCAGTGTGACTCCTCCGGACCTCACGGCTGCGAGACCGTGCGCACCGCCGGTGCGGCTCCTGCGGGGCCACCGTCCGGGCCCGGAGCGCGGCGCCCGCGGCTCCGCCGCTGCGCGCTCCTCCTCCTGCGCTCCTCCGCCGTGCGCACGCGCAGGCGCTTGGCTTGCACCGGGTTTGGGGATAGTACGAAAACCGGCCTCCGTAAATTCTCACGGGTTTACACGTGTGTCCCGTGCCCAGGTGCAGGAACCTCTGAGGGTAGCGATGCCGGCCAGGTGTGTGCGTGTGGCCACCTGCTCCCCAGGGGTGGCCGGCGAGCACCCCCGTCAGCCGCACGTGTGTCCTCGGCACCTGGCTGTGTCGCCCCTGGTGTGAGGCGGCGCCTCCCCCGGGTTTTAATTTGCATTTTCTCGGCTCCCTCAATAGCCTGAGCGTTTTTGCATGTTTATGACTGTTCATATTCCCAGGGCCCTGGGCTGCCCTTCTGCATCCTTTGCTCTTTTTTTCCATGGGCTTTTTACCTTGTTCGCGTCGATGCGCGGGCGAGCCTGTGTTCTGGACTCGGCTCTCCGTCGGCCGTGCGTGCGAGACGTCAGTCCCCAGCCCGGCTGGCCGTCACCGTCGTCATCGTGGGGTCCTAGTGGGTTTTAGCCAGTGGGGACTCCCGCTCACACCGCGCCTGTCACTTCCCACCTACCCTCGTGTCCTTGTTTCCTGCTTCCGGTCGGAGTGAAGAGCTGCCTCCGCCCCCCGCCCCCCGCCCCGCCCAAGGCCCACGGGTGCCACGACCGCCCCCACCCCCGGGGCGGGCCCAAGCGTCCGCAAGCACGTCCAACCGCAGGGGATAGGGGCAGGAGCTAACGCCTGAGTTCGGGTGCACTCGTGGGCTTGCGGGGTGGGGATGAAAAGCCCCCCTTGTGGAGAAAGCTTAGGGGACGGTGTGGCTCACCCACGAGGCCACAGGAGTGCGCCACGCCTTCGCCCAGCGCTGGGCGGGCTCACCCTTCAGTGGGGGCGGCGCTGGCGGCGGGCTTTCTCGAAGTGCTTCAGTCCTCAGTGTGATTGGCCGCTCCCAGCTCCCAGCACAGCCGCCTGGGGACCCTCAGCGCCGAGGCCCACCCCTGCGCTGGGCATCTGTGCCCGCCCAGCCCGGGGCCTGGGTGTTGGCGTGCGGGGAAGCCCAGACGGACGGCGGCAATGCAGTGGGGGCGGCCAAGATGCCCCGGCCTGGAAACAGGTGTGGGCGCCGGAGACACTGGGCTGTGGGGCCGGAGGTCCCCATCACAGGCCCTCGGGCATCGCAGTGCCTGCCACGTGCCCACACACGTGAACATAACGATGCCACCCCAAACCACATATCCACACACGTGGGCACACTCCTCCGTTCACATGCATGGCGCACCTAGCTAGACACCCGGAGGTTTGTCCCGGGGCCAGACAGCCATCCGGGGTCTGAGGACCAGAAGCCGCACCGACAGTTGGTGGAAGTCGGGGGCGGGGCTGTTCGCACCAGGGTTTGCGGTCACAGGGGCCGTGTGGACGCGGCCCTGGCGGCCCAGGGTCCCCCGCCTGTGACCCACAGGCTGACACCCAGGCAGGAGCGGGTGCCCCGAGAGCGGCCTCAGAGGCTCGGTCCCAGATGCACGCCGACGCGCGCCCCGCAGGTCCGAAGGCAGGCTGGGCGCTGTGACCACGGCGGCACGACACCTGCCTTTCCTGAAAGTGCGAGGACACACAGCCCCACACCCCTGTGCACACACGCGTGCACACACATGCACACGCACAGATAGGCGTGTGTGCACACAGTGCACACGGGGACACACACTCTCGAGCCACGTGCGCACCCGCAGGCTCTCACGGAGCCCCGGTCCCCACAGCGCCACGTCCAGGACGCGGCCGGCGCGGTGCACTACGTCCTCCTCAGCGCCCCCTGGGCCGTGCTCTGCTACTACGCGGAAGACCTGTGCCTCAAGCTGCCCCTGCAGGTACCGGGGCGCATGGGGTGCAGAGGGGGCCTGGAGGCGCCCCCACCCGGGGTCACTCGTGGCTGCGCCCCATGTGTCGGCTGCAGTGTCTGAGGCTGACCACCTGGGCCCTCCGGCTTCAGAGCCCTCCCGCCCCTGGAGGTTCCTGCAGGAGAGGGAGGGGCAGCCCCAGCAGGGGGGCCCAGGGGGGAGGGACAGCAGGTGACCTCAGGATGACATGCCTGGGGGCTGCTCTGTCACCTGCTCCGGCTCCCGTTGACCATCAGGGCCTCGGTGGACGAAGGGACATGTGCTACTGCCTGTCCCTCCCTGCCCCTCGGGGCCTCTGGGCCTCAGCTGGATGCACGGCACAGCCCTGGTGCCCAGGCCTGAGCCCGGAAGGGACTCCCCAGTCCCTTGTGGAGCCCTTCCCAGCGGCCGTGTCTGCAGACCCACCCCTCCCCACCCCAGGGCCTGGCATCCCTCCGCTCAGGGCTCATAATCCCCTCCAGGAGCTGCCGAACCAGGCCCACAACTGGTCGGCCGGCCTGCTGCAGTGGCTGGGGATCCCCAACATTCTGCTGCAGGATGTGCCCGACCTGCCCCCCGAGTATTACTCCTGCCAGTTCAAAGTGAGCAAGCTGTCCAGGTGAGGCCCGGGGCCAGGGCCGCAGGAGCCGGCACGACTCCTAGCTCTCCCAAACCTCCCCCCTCCCGGGCTCTCCCACTGCGGGGGCGGATAGGCGGGCGGGTGGTCTCCGCACGCAGCCACAGCCGTCTGGGGGGGCAGTGGCGCTGCGGGAGGACCGGCGCCCCCCAAACCTCGGTCGCCTGCACATGGCCCCTCCCACTCAGCCCCACGTCTAGGGCGGGCCGGAGAGCCCCCGCGTGGTGCTCCCTGGTGGGCCTGGTGTCCCCTTGCTGCCCCACCCGCCCTCTGCTGGCTGCTCTCAGGGGGTGGGGGCCACCGATGAGGCCCGGACCACCTTCTGTGACCACCTGCCTCCAGAAAGCCAAAGGCAAAGAGGCGACTTGGTCGTGCGCCAGGGAAAGGGGGCAGTGGCCGCTCCCCAGTGGGCGGGGTGGGGCGGCATGTGGTCCCCCCCCATCCTGGACGAGATCTCCTGCACGGTCCACATGCCCGCAGGTTCCTCGGGAGCGACGACCAGGACACCTTCTTCACCTGCACCCACAGGCACCAGATTGTGAGTGGGGGTCCCCACCGCCGTCCCCATGCCCTGACCCAGGTCCCAGGAGCCTGCTGGCCCCAGAGCCCCCGAGAGCCCCCTCCCGATGCAGGCGTCCAGCTGGAGGCTGACGCTGCCCAGAGCAGGGGCCGGAGCTGGCTGTGCACGGCTGGGGTCGGGGTTCAAATCCCGGCTCGAGTCTAATGGGCCTGTGACCCGGCCGAGGTCTCATGACTGCACTGGGAGAATGACCGCTACGCCTCAGGGGCCTGGGGTGTGTGAGCCAGGGTGGAGGTGGGGACACGAGGCAGCGTCCTCTTCGTCTGCCACCCGAGGGCTGCGGGGGGCCGGCTGCGGGGGGCTGGCTGCGGGCTCAGCCGGAGGCGGAGGGCTGGGATGTCCCACCCCACCATCACAGGACCGGTGACCCGCACCCTCCTCCACCACCCCAGCTGTTCGAGATCCTGGCCAAGACCCCGTACGGCCACGAGAAGAAGGGTCTGTTTGGGATCGAACAGCTGCTGTCCCAGGGCGTCTTCAGGGCGGCCTTTCCGCTGCACCAGGTGGGGCCCGGGGGCTGCTGGGGCCGGGGTCTCAGGCCCGGGGGTGGGGTGCGTTCCTGGACGAGGGGGTCCTGCTGCCCACCCTCAGGGCACATGGGGTGGCTGCGGCCCCACAGGCCGCCTGCTGGGGGTCAGCAGACACTTGTGACGTGGCCGGGCACTGCCCTCCCGCCACATGGCGGGCACAGCGGCTCCGTCTTCACGGGCAGCTTCCCTCCTGGGGAGGATGGGAGGCACCCTGTGCCCCCACAAACCTGGGCAAACTGAGGCAGCGGAGGGGTGCTCAGCATCGTCCTGAAAGGGTGTCCCCCGTGGGGTCCGGGGGCAGTCGACGCCCTCGCGCCCTGTGCACCGCCTGCTGGGCCTCGGGGATGCAAGACGGGCACCGGGGCACCCGAGGCCGTGCGGGGTGGTGGCCGGCTCCACCCCGGCTGTGGGGCGTCCTCTCCCCGCCTCTGGCTAGAACCCCGGATCCACAGTGCTCCCACAATCGGCCTCGCTGGCGTGGCTGTTGGGGGACAGCACAGCACCAGGCCGCAGAAGGCCACCCAGAGGTGCCGGTCCACCGTGGGCCGTGGCCGAGGCCCCCCCTGGAGTCGGGCCCCAGGGTCCCCAGGAGGCTGAGGCGCCCAGCTCTGTGTCCCCTGCCAGCAGGCCCTCCCAGAGCCCCCAAACCCCACGCTACTCCGTCACCCTCACGCAGCCGCCCTGAGCCCAGACGCCAGAGGGTGGGCCCCGGCCCGGCTGAGCCGAGGGAGCCCCCCCCATCTGCCTCTTGTCCCCAGGGCCCCTTTGCGATGCCCCCGGAGGGCGCGAGGGCCCCGGGCCTCAACCAGCGGCAGGTCCTGTTCTGGCACTGGGCCCGCTGGAGGTCGTGGCACAAGTACCAGCCCCTGGACCATGTGCGCAGGTACTTCGGGGAGAAGGTGGCCCTCTACTTCGCCTGGCTCGGTAAGTCCCGCCCCCCCCCAGGCCCGGGCTCGGTCGTCGGGGGGACAGTCTGCTCCTCAGCCGAATCTCTGTCTCCACGGGGAGCAAGCACAGGGCTGCTGTCCCCCCCAACACAGGGCAGCCCCTCCTAGGCCCACACAGCCCTGTCCACAGGCGGCTGGGCTCTCCTCAGGCCCCCGGGAGAGACCGTGAACACGGCTGACTCCTGGTGTGCCCCCCCCGGCCGGGTCCCCTCTGCAGGGTTCTACACGGGCTGGCTCCTGCCCGCGGCTGCCGTGGGCACCCTGGTGTTCCTGGTGGGCTGCTTCCTGGCGTTCTCGGACACGCCCACGTGAGTGCCCTCTGCCCTCAGCTCCCGGCCTCACGCTGCACCTGGGGTGGGGGGGGAGCGGGGGCCCCACCTGCAGAGCCAGGGAGGGAGGTGAGCACTGAGCCTGCCCCTGCCCCCACGGATGTCCCAGAGGGCCCTGTGGACAGGCTGGAAGGGGGACAGCGGAGGCCACTCCCACGACTGACCGCTGGACGGGAGGGCCCCAGGCTGCCTCATTCACCCTCGTTTCTCGCAGCAGGATCAACTTTGTTTTGATAACCAAGTGACGAGGCTTGAGTTTTACTTTGTTATGGAGCTGAAATGTCAAAAACTTATCTCAGAATTTATCACCACGCCTACTTTAGAGCAGCGCTGGGCGGGGCGGGGGTGGGTTGGGGGGGGGTGTGGGGAGGAAGCGGACGGCACTGAGCCCGATGGGCTCCGGCCCCCCTTCTGCCCTGAAGGCAGGAGCTGTGCGGCAGCGCAGACGCCTTCGAGATGTGCCCGCTCTGCCCGGCCTGCCCCTTCTGGACGCTGTCCAGCGCCTGCGCCCTGGTCCAGGTAGGAGGGGGTGGGAGCGGGGGAAGGCGGGTCCCGGGTTCTGGTCCTGCTCCGCCTGGGACCAGGCCCTGTGGGGTGGCCGCCGCCTGCCCTGGGGCTGTGACCGGCGCCCACCTGGGCAGACGCAGGCCATCATGGTCACTGCTGCTGCCACGCATCCACGGCCAAGGTCAACCGCAGGCCCCCAGGGCAGACACTGCTGGAAGCCCCCGGGAGCCTGGGGCCCCGAGGGCCCCGCAGCGGCCCCGCAGCTGTGAGAGTCTGGCTTTCCCACGGGGGACAGGGGCTGCGCCCGTGTGCCCCCCACACGGCCCGGAGCCCTTGGGCGAAGGTGGCGCACAGGCTGGACACGCCCCTGGGCACCCTTCTGCGCCGATTTCTGGGGGGCTGCTCTAACAGGTTACGGGGGCTGGAACAGCAGAAACGGTTTTCTCGCCGTGCTGGGGGCTGGAGCCGGCGCCCAGGCGTTGGCAGAGCGGCCTCCCCCGGGGTCTGTCCGTGCCCTGCGCCCCTGCCTCTGGCGGCCACCCCCCCCAGTCTCCGCCTCCGCGTCCACCCGGCCTTCCCCTCCGTGCATCTGCCTGCCCCTCTCTTACGCCACGGGGCGCAGGGCCCCCGAGGCGGGGCGCTCTCCGGAAGAGAGTCACCCCAACCGCACACAGAGGCCTGAGTCCCAGACCAGCTTCCGTCCTGAGGTTCTGGGTGGCGGCCAGCATCCCGTCCACTGCAGTCCGTCCTCTGGACCCCAAAACTTCACACCCGTCCTACGCACAAAATACACTCACCCCAGCCCAGCACGCCCAACCTTCTGAACACATCACAGCGTGGGCTCCAGGTCCAAAAATCTAAATACCAGCAGCTCCAGAACCGCACCCAAACCACCCAAGTCGGCACGGGAGACACTCAGGCGTGGCCACCTCGGGGCGACCTCCCTCCCCCAGGAGCCCGGACGGGAGTCGCCTGCGCCCACAATGCAACCTCAGGCCGGCGCGGGGCTGAGACCCAGAGGGGGCGCAGCGAGGGTGACCCCGCCCCCCCGCAGGCCGGCCGGCTCTTCGACCACGGCGGCACCGTCTTCTTCAGCGTGTTCATGGCGCTGTGGGCCGTGCTGCTCCTGGAGTACTGGAAGCGGAAGAGCGCCACGCTGGCCTACCGCTGGGGCTGCTCCGACTACGAGGACATCGAGGTGGGTCGGCCCGGGCCCGCGCCCGCCGCCCGCCGCCCGCCGCCGCGCGGCCCCCACTGAGTGCCCGCTCCCCTCCAGGAGAGGCCGCGGCCCCAGTTTGCCGCCCTGGCTCCCGCGACAGCCCTGAACCCCGTCACGGGCGTGGAGGAGCCCTACTTCCCCAGGAGGAGCCGCGTGCGCCGTGTGCTGGCCGGGTCGGTGCTGGTGCTGATGATGGTGAGCGCCCCGCCCCCGCCCCGGCCCCGCCCCGGCCCGCCCCGCCGGGCCCCTCCCTCCTGAGCTGCGTGGGGCAGCTGTTGGGCCCCTGACCCTCGGACCCACAGGACACTTGCTGTCTCAGGAAAGCCCCTGTGGGCCTGGGCTCCAAGGAGGGGGGACCGCGCTCAGGGCCAGGCTGCGGGGTGTGGGCAGGGGCATCTCCCCACAGATGTGGGCCTCGGGCATCCTCAAGTATGCGGGGCCGGCCTGGGGGTCCTCCAACCAGAGGGGCTTCCCAGCACGACCCCCACCTGCCAGAAGCCAGGCATCCCCGAGTTCCGGCTGGCGGGAGAGCGGGGCGGGGCCAGCTGGCTGGCTGGTTCTCAGCACTTGGGTCAAGAGCAACGCCAGTGGCCCCTGGACACCCAGACATCACCCACCCTGTGATTCTAAGTGGCCCCCTGCCACTGCGGCTCCCCACCTCCCTCCCCCCCCGTCCCCCCACAACCCACCGGAAGAGGCACAGAGCACAGCCAGGTCCGCAGGTGGGGCTGTGGGCTGTGGCTCGGGGCTCACGCCGGGGTCCCCATAGGTGGCCGTGGTGGTCATGTGCCTGGTGTCCGTCATCCTGTACCGCACTGTTGCGGCCATGCTGGTGTCCAGGTCGGACCGCGCCCTCCTGGTGGCCTGGGTGAGTGTCGGCCGCAGCTCCCCGTGGGCGGGGGAGGCCCCGGCCCACGCCGGGCGGCGCCGGCTCTGACCGCCCTCTGTCCGCCCTCTGTCCCAGGCTCCGCGCATCGCCAGCCTCACAGGCTCCGTGGTGAACCTGGTGCTCATCCTCGTGCTCTCCAAGGTCTACGTGGCCCTGGCCGGCGTGCTGACGAGGTGGGGTGAGTGGCCGAGGCCGCCCTGCGCTAGCACCCCAGCGCCGCGCCGGAGCCGCCCCAGCCCTGCCGCCGGGGCAGATCGACAGGGGCCTCGTGTGGGAGTCAGGCACAGCGGGGCACGTGACCCGCCCCCAGCCGTGAGCAGGGGACCCCCGTCTCCGCACAGGACCCCGCGCAGGGGAGCTGGGGGAGGCTCCGCCCAGCCCAGCCTGGAGCCCCCCTGCTTCCCTCTGTCTCCTCCACCCACACTTCCTCCCCGCTCCCCACCCCACCTGCCCCTCCCCCACTTTCTCTACACCTCCCCCACGGCCGCCCTGTTTCCCAGGGACAGACGCCAGTGAGCCAGCCCCTGCGTTCCACCCCTGGTCTAGGAGTGGGGCCAGGGCCCCGTGCACTGGGCGGGGGGGGAGCCCCCCGCGTGTCCCTGCAGCAGCGGGGCGTGTGCGCCCCGTCTCTGGCCTCGGGCGTGCCCTCCGATCCACCCGCTATGCCCACACCTCTGTCTCAGCGTCGTCACCCCAGCCCGCGGCCTGTCACTCCGGCCCCTGTGCCTCACCTCTCCACGCTTAGCGTCAGCGTGGTTCACCAGAACTCGAGGAAGACGCCCTTGGCCCCGCCCTGAACACGGTCCTGCCGGGTCCCTGGGTCGGGGGGCTGGCCTCACGGGGTGGCTTCTCCGCCCAGAGATGCACCGGACCCAGACCAGGTTCGAGGACGCCTTCACCCTCAAGGTGTTCGTCTTCCAGTTCGTCAACTTCTACTCCTCGCCCATCTACATCGCCTTCTTTAAGGGCAGGTCAGCGCCGCCGCCCCGGGCCCCTGGCCACCCAGGAGCACGCCGCCACCGCCACCGGAGATGCTCAGGGAGGGGCGGGGGGGCGGCCCAGGAGGCCTGGGGGGACAGCGGCGGTCCTGGGCCCAGGCCTCGGAGCAGAGCCGGCCCGGGTCCGCCTCAGGGGGTTCCCGCAGCCCCGTGTGGGCGCAGCGAGGCACAGAGCAGGCAGGGGGACAGCCAGGCGGCACCCGCTCACTCACGGCCTCGGGGCCTTCACTTCTTCAAGGTTTGTGGGGTACCCAGGCAACTACCACACCTTGTTTGGGGTCCGCAATGAAGAGGTGAGTGCCCATCAGAGCCTTGATTTGCAGGGATTCCCCGGGACCCCCACCCTGCGCAGACCCCCACAAAGCGCAGTCTGGGTCCCCGTGGCTGACGCTGTCAGCCGCTGTCGCTGCCCAAGGCTGCGCCGCAGACACACAGGCTGGGGCCTGGTGCCCTCCGGGCCAGCGGTGGCCCCAGGCCCCGCCCCTGCCCCAGGCCCCGCCCACAGGCACACTCCAGGCAGCAGCTCGAGATCACCTGGCTCGCGCTGGCTGGGGTTGGGGCTGGGTGGGCAGGAGCAGTGCCTGGGGGCCTCTGGGCAGGGTCTGGCCACAGCCCCCCCCACCCGACAGCTCCTGCTGGGGCTGTGCCCGGGAGACCCTCTCCTCTCCACCCAGAGGGCCTGTCCTCCCCTCGGCCCTGACCTCGGCATGGGAGGCGCCGCCCCTGAGGAGCCTCTTTATTTTCACACGGCAGGAAGGGGTGTCTCCGGGATGGGACGGGCAGTTGGGACCCCAGCTCAGGGTCTTTCAGTCGTCAGAGGGAAGACCCCAACCCCTGACTGATGCGAAAAATGGGGTTCCCTCGCTCCTGTGTGGAGGCTGGTCAGGTGCTGTGGGCTCCTGTGGGCTGGGTGCAGGGGTCTGAACAAGGCTGCCTTGCTCCCCACCCCAGGGGGCCCGACACCCCAGCAGCACAGGCTGACGCCCTCCAGCTGGGGCCGCTGTGCAGGGTGCGCTGTCCCAGGAGCTCCCCCTAAATCCCCTAGTGCACCTCCCCTGGCTGGGCCTGCTGAGGCCGCAGGGTGGGTCCTCCTGGGCCGCAGGCCAGCGCCGTCGGCCCCATGGGACCCCACCCACTCGGGTCCCCAAAGGAAAACTGGGGGCTGTGCAGCGGTGGCACTGTCTGCCAGGTGGGCCTCGGGGAGACTAGGGGGGAGGGTCGGGCCCCTCCCAGGGCTCCAGGAGACCGGGGGCACGAGGCCACTCCCCGCGCTCACTGGACCTGGCTGGGCAGTGCGCGCCTGGGGGCTGCCTCGTGGAGCTGGCGCAGGAGCTGCTGGTCATCATGGTGGGCAAGCAAATCATCAACAACGTGCAGGAGATTCTCGTCCCGTGAGTGCCCCGACACCCCTGCCCCGGGGCCAGTCCAGGCACCCTGGGGCCGCTCAGTGCCAGCCTCCTGGACCTGACGGCCTTACTGTGGGGGTGGGGGGCGCTGCTCACCGTCACCCCGTGGCCCCACGACTCCCACAGCCCATGGTGGCTGGGTTGGCACATCGAGTCCCCTTGTGTCCGGCCAGCGCCCGTGGGGCAGCGGCCCGCTCTTCTTGTGGCCCCCGTGGCCCAGGCACCTGGCAGCAGCCCAGCCAAGGCAGCACCGGGGAGGGGGGCACCCCTCTGGACAACTGGGCCCCTCCCAGGCCAGAGCCCTTGCAGCAGCTGCTTAGGTCGGACCCACCCTGGACATCTTCCTCAGCACACCTGCTCTCCCCACGGCGCCACGGCATCCCCTTGGCCCCACGAGCCGTGGCTGCGGGAGCCTGGCTGACCCCTGTCCCTCTCTGGGTGCAGCTGGGGCTGTGCAGCTGCATCCAAGGAGACCACGAGTGTAGTTGCCGCCTGGTGGGCGCCAGGGGCCAGATGAATGATGGCAAAGCCGCATACGTGTGACACAGCACAATGCACACGTGCTCCAGGCATGACACAGCAATGCATATGCACACACACCTGTGACATGCACGTCCCACGTGACACAGAATCACACAAAACACATGTCCCTGTAATACATGTATCTCACCTGACACAGTGACACACACATGCCCCACGTGTGACAAAACAACACACACACATGCCCCCACCGGCATAGTGGCTGCCCCCCCATCTGCTCCCTTCCACGTTGACGTAGCTCTCGGCACCTCTCTGCATTTCCCAGGAGGAGCCCATCCCCCGAAAGCTTCCCTGAGCACTGGTGCCTGTGCCGGGGGTGCTGCAGGGGGGCTGGGGGCGGGGCTGTCCCCCGGGAGGAGGAGGAAGGCGCAGATGCTCCCCAGGCTCTGTCTGCAAGGCCTCGGCCTGCTGCGCCCGCCCCGGGGCCCAGACCCTCCCCTGCCGCCCCCAAACCGCAGACCAGCCAGGGCCCCGCGTGAGGAGCAAGGGCCAACATCCCGGGTGCCCCCACCCCCAGGAAGCTGAAGGGCTGGTGGCAGAAGCTCCGGCTGCGCTCCAAACGGAGGAAGGTGGCGGCTTCGGTGGCTGCGGGGCAGGCGCCCTGGGAGGCCGACTACCAGCTGCTGCCCTTCGAGGGCCTGTTTGACGAGTACCTCGAAATGGGTAGGCGCCCGCGGGCCTCCGGCCTCGGCACCCTTCCGCCCACACCTCCTTTGCAATGAGGCGTGGGTGGAGACAGAGGGTTCCTGGGGGAGCCAGGCCTGCTCAGAGTCACCGCGGGGAGCGCCCAGGGGAGAGTGGCCAAGACGGGAGGGGGCAGCGCCCTGGGTACGGGGCTGGGAAGAGGACCTGGAGCCTCGACGGGCTCTCCTGGAGCGGCTTCAGCGCCCCCGACCCCGCAACGCACCTGCTGGAGCCCTGTCTGGAGCTCGGAGAGAAGCGGGGTGCGCAGGAGGCCAGGCCCTAGGGGTGGGGACGACAACCCCTCAGAGGAAGGCTGCACCTGGGATGCGAAGGGCCTCAGGCGCCCTGACCGCTGCAGCCCCATCTGGGAGTCGATTCTGAAAGCTTTCTGGCGGCCCACCCTGTCTGCTGTGCTGCCCACAGCGTTGAGCCTGAGCCCCAGGCCATCACCCTGGGCTCCCCAGCAGCCAAGGCGAAAGGGGTGTCAGGAGTGGCGCGCCTGCCTGGATAACGGGGAGGGGCAGGGAGCGGATGGCTCACAGGCCTTTCATCCTGTGCGAGCAGGGCGGGCAGCGGGGCCCCAGGCTCAGTTTAGGAGTCATGGAGCCCCCAGAGGCCCCTTTCCGGGAGCCACGGTCAGGGGGCACTTCGGGGTGGGAGTCTGCGGGGAGAGCCAGAGCAGGAGCAGGCGTGGGCGGGTCCCGGGCCTCCCTAGGGGACGGGAACACACTGGGGGCTCCCAGGCTTGTGGGTGGCGACACGGCGGGCGGTGACCCCGCGCCCTCAGTGCTGCAGTTCGGCTTCGTCACCATCTTCGTGGCCGCCTGCCCGCTGGCGCCGCTCTTCGCGCTGCTCAACAACTGGGTGGAGATCCGCCTGGACGCGCGCAAGTTCGTGTGCGAACGCCGGCGCCCGGTGGCCGAGCGCGCGCAGGACGTGGGCATCTGGTTCCCGATCCTGGCGGGCATCACGCACCTGGCGGTCATCAGCAACGTGAGCGCAGGACCGGGCTCCGCGGAGGGGGCGGGGCTCGCGCGGGAGGGGGCGGGGCTCGCGCGGGAGGGGAGGGGCTCCGCGGGAGGGGGCGGGGCTCCGCGGGAGGGGAGGAGCTCCGCGGGAGGGGAGGAGCTCCGCGGAGGGGCGGGGCTCCGCGGAGGGGGCGGGGCTCCGCGGGAGGGGGCGGGGCTCCCGCTCACGCGGAGCCCGCGCCCAGGCCTTGCTGCTGGCCTTCCCGTCCGACTTCCTGCCGCGCACCTACTACCGCTGGACCCGCGCCGGCGACCTGCGCGGCTTCGTCAACTTCACGCTGGCGCGCGCCCCGCCCGCCTTCGCTGCGGAGCACAACCGCACGTGCAGGTGAGGCAGCCGGGGGAGGGGCGGGCCGCGCGGGGTCGGGGCCCTGGGCTGTGGGCCGCGGCCGGGGGCTGCGAGCGCCCACCCGCCCCGTCCGCGGGCCGGGCGGGACTTCTGGACATCCGGGCGCAGGGCCCGCCCAGTGGAAGACCGCGTGGTGGAGCCCCTTTTTGCTGGTTCGTCTCCAGCCGATTTTGGTAATTTTTTCCGCCGCAGAACACTCACCTAAGCTTTAAAATGTAGTAACACACCTTTACTCATAATATTCTTCACGATTTTCTTAAGCTCACCTGTTTGTACTTACGGCCGCGTTTACTTTCCAGGCACAATTTGTATCTTCCCTTTCCTTTAAAAAAAATCGATTCTCCGGAATTGAAACTTCAACTTACTCGTTTTCAGTCTTCCCTGGGTTTTAACAAACTAATTCGTGTCTATAAATTTTCTTGACTATCCCCCTTAAAAGTCTCATTCTTTTTTTTTTTTTTTAAGATTATTTATTTGTAGACAGAGGGGGAGAGAGACAGGGAGAGAAACATCAATGCGCGGTTGCCTCTCATGCGCCCCCTACCGGGGACGTGGCCCGCCACCCAGGCATGTGCCGTCACTGGGAATTGAACCGGGGATGACTGGTTCGCAGGCTAGTGCTCAGTCCACTGAGCCACACCAGCCAGGGCGAAAGTCTCATTCCTGGAGTGCTGATAATCTGCTCTTCTTCAGTATTTCTTGTTTATCCGTTGTTTGGGAGAGGAAGTTCCCAGACACACAGCTTTTTTTTTTTTTCATTGAATTATACTCGACACACGATATTGTGTCCGTTTCAGGTGCCCCACATACTGATCTGGAGTCTCACACCAGGATGAGTTGAGTCCCTTCAGTTACCAATCAGGGTTGCGGACTGTGTTCCCTGTGGGGTGGACTCGTCCTTCCCCCTGCCCCTTCCCCCCTGGAGTCTGAGCCTCTGCTTCCAGGGGAAGGGAGGGAGAAAGAAAGAGGGAGAGAAGCATCAGTGTGTGGTTGCCTCTCCTGTGCCCCCTACTGGGACCTGGGCCACAGCCCAGGCATGTGCCCTGACTGGGAATCAAACCGGTGACCCTTTGGTTTGCGGGCTGGTGCTCAAGCCACTGAGCCACACCACAGGGCAGGGCAGCCATGCAAATACATTTTTGGTATTGATTCTGATTTAATTGCTTGGAAGGCAGAGAGCTTGAATGGCTGACACGTAAATCACATTGCTGAGGCTTCTTTATGATCTGGTCCCAAAGGATTTTGCATATGTTTCAGGTGAACTTGGAAATATTTTTTTTTCACTGTTAATTTTGGAGCAAGGTTCTAGATATACTATTAGGTAAGGCCTCTTAATTTTATTGTTCAGGTTTTCCTGCCCCACCCCTTTTTTCTTTTTCCCTGCTTACTCTATCAGACTCTGACAGAGGTCAGTTAAAGTCTTCCCAGGAATGTAGGGTCATTGGTGGTTCTGTCAGGTTTTGCTCTGTGTGTTTTGAGATTCTGAGTTACATGTAAGTTCACAGTTGTGCTCCCTTTTTCGTGGATACCTGATACTTCCTCCATTCATTCTTTTTTTTTTTTTTCTTAGAGAGCGAGCCCTTGCTCTTGAGTGAGGGGCTATTTTTGTAGAAGGAAGGGATGGGTTTTTTTAAGGTTTTATTTATTTATTTTTAGAGAGGGAAGGGAGGGAGATAGAGAGAGGGAGAGAGAGAAACATCAATGTGCGGTTGCTGGGGGCCATGGCCTGCAACCCAGGCATGTGCCCTGACTGGGAATCGAACCTGCGATGCTTTGGTTCGCAGCCCGCGCTCAATCCACTGAGCTACGCCAGCCAGGGCCATTCATTCTTGCCCTTTTTATTCTCTTCTCCTGACTTCTGGGAGATGGGTGGGTGTGCTGTATTTTTTTCTCTTTAATCTCACTTGGAACTAATCCTCTACATTTTTATTATTTTAGGGGCTACCCTATATTTTTAGTGTACAATAGTAACTACACATTTTTCTAACACAGCCTAGAGGAATTCCTTCCTGGCTCCTCTCCTTGTGCAGGACAGGGGTCTTCCCATGCTTCCCCGCCCCGCCGAGCACCCACTGGCCTCCCTTACTGCTCCACAGTTTCACCTTTCCTGTGACAGACACAGAAACAGTTTCAGTCGTGTTTTGATCACATCTGTTTGCTGTGCTAACTGCAGTGGCTGCAGTGGTGAGCTATTCATTCCGTTCCCTCTGAATTCCTGTTTTTTCTTGTGGAAGTGTGTCCTCTTACAGCGCTTTCCGGAATGCTGTGTGGTTCGTGAACTCTTGTGTCTTAAAATATCTCTCTGTCCTCCCAACAGCACGTGTACCATTCCAGGTTAGGAGTTCTTCTCCCCCGGGCCTCTGGAAATGCTCTGGGCTGACCTGGCTTTTCCTTGACCCGTGTCACCGTCAGGTGTCGTCCTGGCAGGTTTACTTACAAGTTTCCCGTCAAGAAGCATCTTCATTGTGTTCCCCAAATAGAGCGGCCCCCTCTTCCCTCCCGTGGAGATCCTCCACTTCTCACTGGCCCGGGGGCTCTCTCTTCGTGTTTGCACTGGGCACTCTCGCTGCCTGCCTTCCGGCCGGCTTCGTCGCTCCTCTCCCAGCCCCCTTTTCCGTGCGTCCAGTTCAGCCACTCGCAGGTCAGATGGCTGGCCTGCATTTTTACCTTTCGAGATTGTTTTTCTTCTCCTGCAAAGCTAGCCCTGGAGATGCTTTCCGTGGAGTGCCACCACCTCTCAGTTTGTCAGCCCATGGCAGAAGCAGGGGGGTGGTGTCCGAGGGTGGCGAGGGGACCCTACGTCCGGAACCCAGGCAGAGCTGAGAGCCCGGGGCGGTCGTGAGCACCAGGCAGCGGCCTGCGAGCAGAGTGGACTGCCTGGGGCACGCAGGCGCCCATCGTGGTGGGAGCCAGGCTCCTGGGACGCTCACACGGGGATGACGGGCAGGTGCCCTCCGGGGGACTCCTTCAGCCTCGCGGGGGGAGTGGACAAGCCCGCTCCCGCTGCTCCCCGCTGCGGGCCCGCAGAAGCGAAAGCCCAAAGCCCTGTCGGGGAATGCTGCTGGGGAGTACTTCCCCCTTCGGGGCGGCGCTGAGGAGTCACCGCCCGGCCCCCCACCCCGAGTCCCGCGTGTCCCGCAGGTACCGGGCGTTCAGGGAAGACGATGGGCAGTATTCCCGCACCTACTGGAACCTTCTGGCCATCCGCCTGGCCTTCGTCATTGTGTTTGAGGTAGCCGGGCTCCCCCTGCTGTCTCTCTCAGCCTCCGCAGGGTGCCCCCCACCCGGCTTCGCCTCGTCTCACCGCGTGGCCCGGGGGTCGGTGTGACCAATGCCGCAGAGCCCTGGCCACTCTCGCCTCGGGAGAACCAGTTCTCTGCATCTCACGTGTCCGCCTGGGGAGGGGCCCATCCCTGCCTGGCCTGGCCCCGGGCTCGGGGCCGTGTCCCGGGGGAGCCCCACGGGGCCACAGAAGCTGCGGGTGGTCTCTGTGGCCGGCACACCGCTGCCCTCCAGTTCCGCCCACCGCTGGGGAGCAGCTGCCCTCGCCTGGGCCCGTGGAGGGGCGCCCTCTCCCAGCCCTGCCCCTGCCCCTGCCCCCTGCTCCCCAGCACGTGGTGTTCTCCGTGGGCCGGGTCCTCGACCTCCTGGTGCCCGACGTGCCGGAGTCCGTGCAGATCAAGGTGAAGCGGGAGTACTACCTGGCCAAGCAGGCGCTGGCGGAGAATGGGGTGAGCGCCGCCCCGCGGGCCTTACACTTCACCCTCCCTGGGGCGCCCGCCCCAGCCGGGGGTCTGCCGCCGCCAGGCCCGGGGGCAGGGTCTAACCGCACTCTTCTCGGCCACCTTCCCGGACACAGGCTCTCGCTGGGACAAACGGAGCGAAGGACAGCCGGCCCCCAGCCTCCGAGGAGAGCCTGGGCCCGCAGGCTGGGCAGCCAGGAGCCAGCCAGGCCTCCCCAGACCCTTCCCCCTGGGGGCAAGTTGGCAGCTGAGGGGCCTGGAGCCAGACCTACCTGGAAGGCCAAGGCCTCCCACAGCCCTGAGGTCCCAGCACGCCTCTGGTCCCCCCTCGGCCCCTGCCCCCTCCCACCCCCTGCTCCAAGTCACAGCTGGGGGTCAGCGCCCCCCCCCGCCCGCCCCCCGCCCAGGACTCCTGACCAACTGTCTTCTCCTTTCTTGGCCCCGGCACCCCCTTCCCTCCCAGCCGCCACCAGCAGCCTCTGAGCTTCCATCTCCCCTCCTGCCAGTCGGGCGGGGAGGAAGACGCACTGGCCCTCGGCTCCTGCGCAGGCTGCGCCCGAGGCTGGGGGAGGCTCGGAAGACTTACTCCCTCACCGGGAAACGTAGGACATTCCCGTTTCCACACAACTGTCTCCAGAGTCGGGGCCAGGTGTGCGGGTTTCTCCGAGCACCTGTGCCTCCGCGTCACAGACCACTCGGGAGTGCAGCTCCGGGGACACTGACCGCGCAGGGCACACGCAGGCCCCACTGTCCGACTTCCTCACGACAGGCCCCGCCAACAGCCCCCTGAGCAGCTTGCTTGCCCACATGCCGTGGATGAAGCCCCACCGCTCTGGCCTGGGGCAGCGCCTCCCCAGTGAGGCCTGGTGGTGGTGGTGGAGGGGGGGCACGGGCTTGGCTTTCCAACACCACTCACCGCCTCTGAGAGAAGGGACCACCCTCCGAGCAGCAGGACCACCCACCGATGAGGCCCCAGGGGCCCCTGCGCGAACACCCACCAGGACTTTCTTCCAGTTGGCGTTGCTTCTGCTGCAGTCTCAAACTTGGCAATTTTAAAGTAAATTTCTTGAAACAAAAAACCCCAAAAATGCTCACGTCATACCTCAGCCTTTCAGGAAGTGAGCAGACCGCTGTAGTCAGCAGGCCAACAAGACAGCTGGTCACCAGGCCCCAGGGCCTGGCAGGAGCCCCCCGCACATACCCGCCCCACCTGGAGCAGCCCCCACCCCGGCCTCCGCTGCCGAGCGGAGGGTCTGACCGGGAGCTCTGGGGGCGCTGCTGCTCGAGGGCCACTCTGGTGCCCCGTGTGACAGGGGCGGGTACCCGCTGGGGCGCCTCCCAACAGCAGCCCAGCACGGGCCTGGGGCCTGGGGCCTGGGGGCTGGGCCGGTCCTGGGGTCGCAGAGGTTGGCTGACGGGGACTGTCGGGGAGGACAGGGCGCTGCTCCACCACAGGCGAGGCCTGGCCAGGACCCAGGGACGGGCGGCCGCCCAGCCATGGCCTCCGCTTGGCTCCCACGTGGCCCTGCAGGGCGGGCAGTCGGCACGGGATGAGAGCCACGTGCCAGCTGCGGGGCCCACGGCAAAGACGAGAACTACGCCTGTGTCCGCGACCCCTCGGGCGTGTGCCGCCGATACCCCTGGTCCCACGGGGCCGAGAACACACAGGTGGCATGATACGACGACACCAGCACACGGCATCTGGTTTTGGGTTTTATTTTAGAATTTATAAAATTCCAGTGTCATCCACAGTCATGAGCCTATACACACGTTTGCATATAATCTCCAAATTCCAAAGTTAAGGCCAAGGGACGGGTTGTACCTGGGGACACACGTGGCATGGAGGCAGTCAACGGGGGAGGCAGACCCCCACAACCCACCCCACCCACCCCGGGCTCTCGCAGCAGCACCAGGGGCGGCCGGGGCCCTGGGCAGCCGCCTCAGGAGCGTGACTGACGGCCACACAGCGGGACCCCGAGCGGCGCAGGAGGGGCTGCACCTGCGTCAGCAGCAAGTGCAGATGTGCGCACACCTGCCGCGAGAATTAAACACCCACCTTCGGGGGAGGGGCTCAGATGCCACCAGAACGGGGAGGAGGTCTCGGCAGACATCAGAGGGCAAGGGCGGGCAGTGCACGGGCCGGCAGGAGAGGCTCCCAAACCCACGCAGACGGCCGGGGCCCCAGGGGCCGGGGACAGTCCCGGAGACAAGGGAGGCACCTTCCCTTCCGGCTCCCCGTCTCAGCCCACTCTGCCCACCCGGCTGAGTCAAAGGTTCCTTCCTACACAAGCGGGCACGGGTTAAGGCTGCTTGAGCTCATGAGAACCTGCAGAGGCAACTGATGTCAGACTCGCGTGAAGCAACTCTGGTCTACTTAGGAGTTTCAGTCGAAAGGTGCCCGGGCTGAGCAAGGATGGAACAGAAAATGTCACAGCCGGGGGGTCAGGGAAGAAGTGACTGTCCACGGGGGGGAGGGGGGCTGGGCAATGGGCCCTGGTCGGCTCCTCCAGGAGCCCCCGTATCTGGGGACAAAGAACTCGGGGGGTGCATGCTGCCCCCATGGGGCGGGGGCGGGAGACCCGACAACCCAGAAGCCAGCGGCTGGCTGTGGCTCCCCGCCTGCCCAGGCCCCTTCCTCTGCAGAGCGGACCTTCGCCAGGCTGGCCAGTGGGGCACCGGCCCGGCCCGGGATGGCCCGCCACACCTCCGAGGGGAGCAGGCTCCCTGAGCAGGTCCTCCGGGCCAGGCCGAGGGGCAGCCTCTCTCTGCCCCCGACAGCCCGCTCCCAGGGGTCTGCACACGGCCCCCCATGCATCAGAGCACAGCATGTGGGGCGGGGGCGTGCACCCCCCACCCCGGACTGGCCCACAGCGGGGACGGCCACAGCAGACCCTGGGCCGAGGCGGGCCCCGCCCTCCACAGACCAACGCCCCCTGGCTCTGAGGTAGAAAGGGGGAGACTCCAGTAGGCATCCTTCTGGGGAGGGGTGGCAACTCAGCTGTCACTCAGAGCAGGGCCGACTCCAAGAGGAAGCAGGAGTCCACCTCTCCTGGGTGGGCCACACACCCCCCAGACCTCCCTCTCCAGACCCAGGAGCAGACAGACATGCAGCCTCACCTGCAGGCCTTGCTCATTCCCTGGCGCCTGGGGGGCAGGGCAGGCAGGGGCACCTGGCGCCCGGGGCCCTCAGGGACCTGGTGTTCCCGTGCACACACGGCCCCCCCCACCCCAACCCCGCAGTCTGGGCTGAGCGGGCTTGGGCAGCGCAGCGGAGGTGGCTGCCGTCTGCAGAGGCCGGGACGACAGGCAGAGGGGGGGCTGGGAAAGGAAGAGGGCAAACGTTTGGCTTTTCTAAAGTGAAGGAATTTATTTCCTGAGGTCACGACACAGGAAGCGGGCTCAGCCCCAGCTGCGCAGCACTCAGTGGGGCCAGGGCCTCGCCGACACGCCGCCGGCAGATGTCCCACCGCCTCTGTTAGTGTTCGAGCCGCGGAGAGCCGGCCCGCAGCCGGCGTCGGGGGCGGGTCCTGAGTGCGCACCGGGCGCCGCTTCCCTGCGAGACCTCGGGGAGGGGGGGCGTCAACAATTTGCGGAGGGTCCAGCTGCTGCGTCAGATTGAAACAAACCATCGTGTGGTGGGGTTTGGGTCAGCAGGCTGGAGAGGTTTCTGCTTTCTGGTCATTACCGCTTGGGGCCCCAAGGGAGGGTCTTGGGGGCCACCTGAGCCCCAAAGCTGGGGAATTCCTCAGAGCTGCTCATGTCCGGGGCCTGTGGGGACAGAGAGGGCGCAGCTTTACTGAGCAGGCTGCGCCCAGGCAGCTGCAACACGGCTCCGCCCTCGGCCCCCCGGCCCCCGGCCCCCGGCCCCCGGCCAGAGGGCCCTGAGGCGAGCGCCGTCTGACCTTCTCGCTGCTGCTGGTGGTCCAGGGCGCGTCCCGCACCACGAAGCCCTTGGACGGCGCCTTGGACTCCTCGTGGGCCGGCGGCTTCATGTACACCTGCAGCACCTCGCTGTCCACCACGTCAGCCAGCTGTGGGCACGGGCAGGCGTCAGCCGGCGGCGGGGACACCGGCGAGCACCCCGCCCCGGGCCGGCGCCCAGAGACGCCCGCAGGGGCCCCGCGGCCCGGGACTCACGTATTCCTCCTCCAGGTTGAGGATGTGGTCGACGGCCTCCTCCACGTTCTCCGGGAGTCCCGTCACGGTGACGCAGTTGGGGTCCGGGGCCCCGCTCTGCGGGAAGCGGATGTCCACCTGGAAGGAGCACAGGCGCTGGCTACGGGGGCCCGCGTGCCCGCAAGCCTTCCGGACTCAGCGGTCCCTGTCCGTTCCCAGCGCTCTCCGCTCTGCGTGGAGCGTGTGGGCACCAGGTCTGGGGGCCGAGGGCACAGGCGCCGTCGCCCCTTCACGCGCACGCACCTTCTGGGGACGGCCGGGGCGGCAGGCGGCCACACCGCGGGGGTGCCACCCTCTCCAGGCCCGCACAGGAGGCTGACCAATGGTGCCAGCCACACAGCCGTGACCCCACCCGGCCTCACCGCCTGAGGGACGAGCACCTGAGCGCTGAGGAGGCCTCCCCTCCGGACCCCTGCTGGCCTGGGAGCGCTGTGGGCAGCCTGGGCAGAAAGACTGAGGCCGGGGGTCCAGGGGGCCCACTGACGGCAGGGAACACACCCATCTCACCCGCAGGGCTTCTGGGACCAACACCCACGAGTCACACCGGGGCCGGGGGCGCACCTTGAACTCGTCCATGATCTTGCGGATGGCTTTGCCGCGGGCACCGATGATGCGGGCGTGGACACGATGGTCTAGGGGGACGTCCTCGGAAACCATCTGCTCGAGCTCACCCACGATCTTCAGGATGGCGTCCCGGGCGGCCTCGGTGTTCTTCTCGTACCCTGTGATGGTGATCTGGTCCTGCGGCTGGGGGGGGGGGGGGACCTATCAGAAGAGGGCGCCCGGGCCCGAGCGGGACGGAAGGAGGTGGCCCGTGGCCCGAGGGGACACACGGATCCACGCGGCAGGGAAAGGAGCGGAGAAACGTCAGGTCACCGAGATCCCCCCTGAGCCCCACCCACGGGACCGCGACACGTGGGAGGGGGAGAGCCCCTGCCGCAGGATGACTCGAGGGCGCCGGCAGGTGAGGTCCCTCCGGCCCCTCGTCTGTGGGGCCCTTTGTGGGGAGGGACCGACCTGGGAGCAGGTGCTGGACAGCGTGGCCGGCAACACACACCTGCAGGGCCCCACCCAGGGCGCCCTCCTGCCACACACACGTACCAGCGAGGGCACCGGACTGGCAGAGGGAGCCAACGGGTAGTTCACAGCACAGGACAGAAAACTACAAAAACAGTAACCCTAAACCACACCCCGAGGACACAC